GAGACATTGGCACAATTCTTTGCTGTGAGGAAGTAAAAACTGGCTGTAACCTCTGTCGTCTCAGTCAACACTGAACTTATCTGCTCTCCCATCTCAGATCTTTTGAAAGCAGCCCATATCTTTTTTCATGTTTGTTGCTTTCTGTAATGGCTTTGTAGAACTTGTAATATTTGATTTGATCTTTTCTGTTTGATTTCTGAAATTTGCCTTTTTTTTTTTTTTTTTTTTTTTTTTAGTTCTTTCTGTCCTGATTTTGATTACTTCTCTGTTGTATTTCCCCCTGTGCCGTTTGTCATGCTATATGCCTGGACCCAATCCACAGACACACGGGGACCCCGTGGATAGAAAGCTAGTCTGCCACAAAGCACACAATCGTGCATGTGCAATAACAGCTACAGGCAATTAATAGAAACCAGTACATCTAACATTACTGTAAATTTAAATGTACGCATATTAAAGTGGAATTGCTCATTTTGGTAGTGGATTGCCAGGTTACTACAAACATTCTGGAAGCTTAATCAAACCCATGAATGGACATTCAGGTACCAGGATTGTGTTGGTTCTATTAGGGCATTGATGTATAATTTAAGGTTTATTAATTCATTATATTGCTCCTGAAATAATATTCACTCATCACCATATTAAAAAAAAGAGCATTCAGCTTTACTGTTGACTGTCCAGCTCCTACTCTGTATTAAATGTACTGGTTTTGTTCAGTGTAATCATCAATGTGTCCTTGGATGCAATGGTTTCTATTTTAAAATAACAGCATACAGTAATTACCTTCATGAGAGAATTCCTGATTGGGGAGACAGGGGCCCCGCCCTGTAGCCAGGTCAGGGAGTGTGGGGGGCTCCATACATAGGAACTAGTTGGGCATAGCCTGAAAAGAGAGGAGGAGCCGTGGGGGTTGGGTGCAATGTAGATTGTGTGAATGTTGAAGGGAGGGGCCTCTGTTGAGATGATTCAGGCATCTATCTAGGATGCCTCCTGGACGGCTCCCTGGGGAGGTGTTTCAGGCATGTCCAGTCAGGAGGAAGCCTTGGGGCAGACCGAGGACATGCTGGAGAGATTATATCTCTTTGCAGACCTGGGAACACCTTGGTATTCCCCCAGAGGAGCTGGAGGAGGTGGCTGGGGAGAGGGAGGTCTGGGCTGCCTCCGCAAACCGGCCCAAGATAATCAACAGATGATGGATGGATGGATAGCACTTCTGGTTCTCACTGTGTGTACTGTTGCACAGTTCAGCTAAGCTCTTTATTTATTAGGTGGGAATGAAATAATCATTTTAATTTAAGCCTCCATACGTAATACAATTTTCTACAATTTTTAATCATATTAAACCTATCTGTTAAAATCCCTTTTAATACGTATTGATCAGGGTTGCCAATTCTCACACATCTGGCGTGATACTCATACTTTCAGACTCTCACGTTCACGCAAGAAGTCTTCCGGCAAATCTACATTATTCCATTATAAACCTAAAATTAGCTACATCAAAAGCGTTGTGGCAGTTTGCAAACCCTACAGACTACTTACAAGGTAATAAAACTGCTAAATACATGTAAATGCGTGTGCATGTGTGTGCAGACTTGTCTGGAATTGAAAATCTCACTACAGCCAGCAGACCAAACTTGGCAACCGTGACTGATAATTTGTGTGCAAAGTAAATATTGCATTTGTAGTAATCGGTAAAGTAATTAACCGACGTGTTATAATGTATGTAGAAAACGACACAATTAAACTCTTTGGTCTTTGCTGAATTGAACAATTGCTCTATTTAAATAACGAACGTCGCTTTAATCGTTTGAAAGTAGGACATCATGTTATTTTTTCATAATTACAAATGATACCGAACAAAAAAAAGCGTTTGGTGGGTTAAAGCGAGTCTTCAGTTAACTCATTAGGTTTAATGAGATTTCATGCGTGCTCTTCACTCGACAGCTCAAACAAGCCTAATTAATAAAATACAAGGATAGGGGAACATTCCATTGATCATTCATTGCCACATTATACGGTCAATACTGTGTAACAATGGGTGTGGGCTGTTTCCTCACAATGGTGAGATATCTTCCATGACATCTTGTTTGGAGCAAGAGCTGTGTTGCCCGGGGGACACACCAGGCCCCGCCCATGCTAGAAAGTAGATTTAATAGAAGCATCTGCCTCATGTTTGTCACAAAATAATGGAAACACCCGTAAACACCAAGGTATGGGCTTGGGTAGGTCCGATCACTCGGGCTATAGCTGGAGTATTTTTGTCCCGATGCCAGTCTTTCTTCAAAAACAAAAAAAAAGTCAAGCCCCAGGTAAACTTGACTTAGCCCCGTAACTTTTCGATAGCTCGAAACTCCCCTGCACCAGAGAAAAGGCGCAGTCCGACAGATATCCTAGAAAACACCTGTTACTTGCGGACGTGGATACCTGTTTTTTTTTTTACTGCTCTTTTGACCAGACTGGGCCACGTAAAAAAGCCCCGCCGTGTTCATCATTAAGTGATTTAGGGTTTTCACCTCCAAGACCAATACCCATCCTTCTGGCATGTATGAAATACATGAATGAAAACGGGACCCTGATTCTGCTTCAGTAAATCCATTTGTGTACTAAATATTCAGACAGAGTACTGCCCTGTATCCTGCCTATGGTGTCCAAGTATCCTTAACACTGATTTTATGTTTGGGGCATTAAACTGTATTGCTGGTATAGGTAATATGTGTTAGGGGTCTGGGCACAGCAAATTATAATATACTCAGATATACACGATGTATGCAAATTACCTACAAGAAAAGAATTGCACTTCTTAGGAATGTGAAAGGACACAAACGCTTTCCACCCCTAAAAGGCAGATGGGGTGTGCCAGTGGGGAATGGGAAAGTCTAAAATGTGAAAACACTGCTTGCTGCATTTTCTTTTGACCCGCACACACCATACCTTACAGCAGGGGTGGCCAATCATATCCGCAAAGGCCCGCTGTGTTTGCGGGTTTTCGCTGCGGCTCCCTAATTATATCCCTAATTAGAGGACTGATTGGCTGGAGTCCTCACACCTGGGTTTGAACACCTGACCTACAGGTTATCCTAAAAACCCGCATACATACCGGCCCTTTGCAGATAAGATTGACCACCGCTGCTTTACAGGGAAAGGTAAAACGAAATGTTGGTTATTTTTCGTTCATTTGACTTCCTCGGAAAGGCTCGTATGAACTTAAATAGCTCCGCTTTAATAAAGCCGTCTTCCATCTCGTACATATTCCTTCCTGAAAATAACCGGTGTTTGGTGGGTCTTAAGAACTATTTCCGGTATGGTTTAATTCTCCTACTCAATCTCCTTAACTTTGTCACTGCCTCTTCCCTTTCTTAATAAAATAATGATCCCGCTGGCCCTTCTTGAGGAGACCTTGCTCAACACCTCTCCCCATCCGCCGATCCCTTTCCTTAGGCTATATAAAATGAGGCTATTTGCGTTTCTGCTGCTCTTTCTCCGCGTTTTCTTTTCTTTTGAAGCGCCTGGGGACATGGCAGGTGTAGTAATTATCCTTGTGGTCCTCAACAGCGCTCGGGAACCTGATTCTTCCCCCACAGGGTGTCCTCTCGATGGACGCTCGGATTATTGCCCCGGGTCCGGTTACCTCCTGCATATAAACTAACCGGGCCAGGCGAAGGCTGACACAGTCGTAGTCGTTCACCCATAAACATACATAGGTAGACGGGGCACAATGGAGCCGGAGTCGGATACCGTTCCGGAGGCAGAGGAGTGTATCATGCAGTTAAGTGGACCGGGGCTTTTCCACCATTATTTACTCTTCACAATATGCTCGGGATCGTTTTGAGCAAACATTGTGGCCTGAGCTTTGTGAAGGTTTTCTGTGTCTAATTTGGTATTTCTGCGTGTGATCTAATCTGCATGATGGGTCCTCACTCTTTCAATGGAACGCACGTACCATCCACACACAAACGTTCTACGTTCAGGTTTCTTATGCAAACCTAGCCGTTAGATAAAAGGACGACGTTTCTGACGGCCATATGGACAGCTGCGGGGACCATGATCGTGCTGTTGCGATTAATGTATTTGATAGATGGAGCAGAAAGCGCAGCGTGTCTCATTTGAAGTTATACTGTATTTGTCGCGCACTTTGTGCGGATTCCACCAAACAAATTGAACAAGATGTTGACATGCTGTTACGTGTGACTTACCGCTCCTAGCTTTCTAGTGTTATTACACTCAGGGCAGAGAATGTCATTAAGGAGTGAATTATACCCACTTTACATGAAGATTAATCAAATTGCGGCATTATGCGGACGTGGACCCATAGAGAGACAAGTTTTTCAATGCATCACGGATAACGAAACTAGTGAAATTTTTAATTGTGTTGTATGGTGATTGGGTGTTGTCTAAACTAAACATCAGATTTGAACATTTAGTTTCCGACTTGGACCGTAATGTCAAACCCAGAAGCACAGGCTGCACAGTCTATCCTAAACCTGAAGCACACTCCCTCTTTATCGTAAGTGTTACTGGTACAGGGCTGCTGCTTCAGCCTCCTTCAGACTGCTTTTGCAGACGCTGTTGAGTCGTGCCACCACTTGCTAGTGACTGTCTCTGTATCATACCATAGGTTTGCCTGGCCGGGGTTCATTACACAATTATTGCATCTAGCTGATGACTTTGCCATTGCCTCTGCCTGTATCTCCTGTCTGCTGCTTCCTTTACTTCCTGCTTTGGGTCTGCATTGCTGATTCCAGCTTTCTCATACCTTTGCTTTGTGCTTGTATTTCATTCCTGTCCTGCCATCCCAGACCTGTTCTTGACTCCTGCTTTTCCTAGAAGCTCCTCCCCAATTTTCCTTTCACTCAATGAACTCCAAAGCCAGTGACCTTCCAGCACTGACTTTTTTTTTTTTTAAAAACCCTGACCATTCTGATCTTTGATTTAAGCTCCTCCCTGACCTCTCATGGTATGTTTTTGCCCTTTGCACCACAGAATGCTGCCCTTCCTGGCAGCACCAGGACAGTTCGGGCCAGAGACTCGTGAGCCGGGTCTGATGTGCTGGCGGGTGGAGAAGATGAAGGCTGTGCCGCTAGAACCGGCGGAGTTCGGCGCCTTCTTCAGCGGGGATTCCTACCTGGTGCTCAGCAACCGTGGGGAGGAGGGGGCAGACCTGCATATGTGGATTGGTAGGTTGAGTGAATGGGGTGGAGCCTGCGAGTTCTGCAGGCTAATGCAGTGGTGATGGTGGAGCTTCTGAGATGTTCTGGATAACGTGGCGATGCAAAGACACAAACAAATAGGGGGTAGTGGTATGAGCTCAGAGGAGGGACAAAAGAGGAGAAAATTGGAAAGGCTAGTTTTCTTTGAGTGATTAACTTTTCATGTGCCCCATTTCAGGACTCCGATGTATCTTTTCTCCACCATGAATCCATTGCTTGATTAACACTAAGCTCACTTACTGCAGTATGAAAACCTGACCTACTGACCTTTTTCCCCCAACCCCTGTACATCAGGTGAGAAGTCTTCCCGTGACGAGCAGGTGGCCTGTGCCATGTTGGCCACCCAGCTGGACAACTATCTGGGGGGAGACCCCATCCAGCACCGGCAGGTCCAGGGCTATGAGTCCCCAGAGTTCATGAATCTGTTCCCCAGAGGGGTCACCTATAAGGTGAGGAGGAAGGTGTTTGTAGAACTTATTCAAAGATGTTGAATAAGAACAAATTATGTTGGTTAAAAAAAAACCCAAACCACAGCCGGTCCTTATTTCCATCTTGGATTGTTGGACACCTTTGTTACTGGCAGTACACTCCCTGGCAGAAAAATGGACCAACCCCAAATTGTACAACAATATAATGCTTTGGCCCATTAATTTTTGCCCAGGAGTGTACAAACGCTTCTGACACTATCTACAGTTCAGTTCTCATTCTTTCAAAAATCATTCAAATCAGTATCCATTGAACATCCTATTCTGAAATAAAATGACTGAGGTCATTACTCTGTGATGATGGGTTTGAATGGTCTGTTAACTATGCAGGAATCTGACCAGGTCCTGACAATAGTCCTGGGTGTCTGAGAAACACTAATTTAACAGATGGGAACATGAGCGCTTTAAACATGCTGGGTGGTTGTTGTTGCCTGTTTTTGTGTGGTTTTGTTTGGCACCTAATATGATTGTTTCATTCCGACCAAATACCATCACACTCAAGCTAAGTGGGAATACATTAATTTTAGATCCCCGGCACCATCAATAATGTATCCCCCCCACTGGGTGCCACTTTGCCTGTTTTTGTTTGAGCCGCTTTGCATGGAGGCTCGCTTCCCTCTGCCTTGTCGTTTATCCGCTCCCCTTTCTGGCAGGAGGGCGGCGTCGAGTCCGGTTTCCGGAAGAACCAGTCAGACTCTGGCCTGATCCACCGGTTGTATCAGATAAAGGGCAAGCGCAACATCCGGGCCAAAGAGGTGGAGCTCAGCTGGGATAGCTTCAACAAAGGCGACTGTTTCATACTGGACCTAGGAGAGGTGAAGACAGATTTGCACTGGGCCCGGGGGGGGGGGGGTGAAAACAGATCTGTGCTGGACCTGCAGGGTGGTGATGATTGACAGGAAGATAGATCAGCTCCTGGGCTGTTTGCTAGATCTATCAAACATTTTCAGAATTACATCACCATGGTTTTCCGCATAGCAGCACATGCTCTGAAATGTTTCACAATTTGCACATTGATGCTTCTATCCAAGGCACGTTGAAAAAGCGGTCAGCTGGGCCCTGGAGCAATTCATGTTAATGGCCTTACGACGAGCACCCTCTGCCAATCACGGGATTTGAACTGTTGACCTTCCGACGAGGCACGGCGTCCTAACCCACAGAGCCGCACACCACCCCAGAGTGATCAAATATCACCTGTAACCCCTTTATTGTATTGCAGACCATCGTGTCCTGGGTGGGCTCAAAGGCGAACATCTTCGAGAAGCAGAAAGTGCACGAGATCGCCACGTTGATCCGCGACACCGAGAGGCATGGCAAAGCCCAGATCACGAACATCAGCGAAGGGGAGGAGACTACACAGATGCTTGAGGTGGGATTTCCTCCATGCACTCATCCCGCATCTTCAGTGTGCTTGGGGTCAGTGATCGAGAGCCTCTCCATGGAATGACGTGGCACAAGGTGCAGTGAACCCACAACTGGTCACCAGCCCAATGCAATGGTCCAAGAACAATAACCGCTAAATGGAAGTGCATAAGTGTCCTACCAGAAGTTGGTTTAACTCAACTCTAATTAGGCAGGAATTTTTATGGACAGCAGAAGATGAGTATGAACAGCTCAGTTAATCAGTTCCATGTATAGTACCAGATTTGTGCAACTTGCACTACACACAGAAACCAATATAAGGATTAACCTTAGTGTAAGTTTCAAAACAATTGTTTCATTGCATCAATTATAACATTAAGTATTGAATGAGCTGATATACTTTTCGGTCACGCCAAACTTTACTGCCTTTCTTATATGGCTTTATGATTATGACAGGTACTGGGCCCAATGCCAGCCCTGAAAGTCAGCACCCCGGAGGAGGACACCAAAGCTGACGCATCCAACTCTGCCTCCCTCTACAAGGTGGGGGGGAGCCAGAAGGACATCTGTGACCAATGACACATTCCACTGAATTGCTTGATGATTTTCATTTTGCTCCACAGGTCTCCGATGCCACAGGTTCAATGAAACTGACCAAAGTGTCCGAGAAGAGCCCGTTTAGTCGGGACCTCCTAGTGCGTGATGACTGCTTCATACTAGACAATGGAGCCAACGGGAAGATCTTTGTCTGGAAAGGTACAGGGGAGGAATGGGACTCGAGGGTGGGGGACACCTGGATTGTGGTGAAATTGGGAGAGAGCAGCTGAATGCACACGCTCAACTGCTTCATTCTGATTGGCAGGCAGTGGAGCCAATGCAGAGGAGAAGAGGGAAGCTCTAAAGATGGCCGACGATTTCATCCAGAAGATGAATTATCCCCGGATGAAAACACAGGTGAGCAGTAAAGTGGTGCAACACTGTCCATTTCAGAAATCAGTGTACAACATGAAGACATCTTTAAACTATGACATATCATTATTGGAATCAATTTATAACAGCAGTTGCTACTGACATGGTACCATTAGATTGATTCATGCAACTTGCATAGTAGGTAATACCATTCTTTGCATCATATGAAAAGATGCGCAGTTTGAGATTTGACCCCATGTCCCTCAAGTTGTTCTGCTCTTGGAGAGATGCCCAGTGTGTCTCCTCTTGTAGGTGGAGATACTTCCACAAGGCAGAGAGAGAGTCATCTTCAAGCAGTTTTTCCAGGATTGGAACTAAAGTCACGTTTTTGCTACCATTCCTACTCTTGCGCAAGAAACCCCACACGAGAGTCTTGCACTCAGTGACATTGAGTCCCATTAAAAATCACTTGGCTAATTTGTCCAGCATGTTTTGTATATTATAAAGATATGTGTATTTGGAAAAAAACTGTTGTAACAAGTATGACAAATTTGTGAGATTGTGCTATATTTAATATTGAAATGTAGAACTAGAACCCCCTCGGGCTGAATCACACGTCACTTTTCTTCACAAACGCCGACCACAATAAGGGCCGATAGAGCGCCCTCTAGTGACATCAATAATCCCAAACTTTAATTTGAACGTGCGCCAAGAATCTTTCATTACTTTTTTACGTATTAGGTTGAGTTTGTGTAAAGGCTTCACAGAACAGCAGATTGTGGAATAAATACGTGAGACGGATAAACTCGCACATTCTCATGTTTTTTTTTCCCCCCCGATGCACGTATAATATTCTGTTCTGGGTTGTGCAGGTAGCGTGGGCTTGGATACATTAGAATGAAGCACAAAGACGAGTACTGTACTACTTTAGTATTCTCCCACCTCCAGCACCCTAACCCTAACCCTAACCCTAACCCTAACCCCCCCCCCCCCCCCCCCCCCCCCCCCCCCCCCCCCCAAAAAAAAAGTATCTGCTAATCACCCAAGAAAATCATTATGTAATAGGCTAGAGCAGTGGTTCCCAACCTTTTTTAACTCACGGCCCACACAGCCAAACACATATGTTTCCGTGGCCCACTGCAAAAGAATTTAAACGATCCCGCTTTTTGTGTCGGGTTAACTAAGTACTCGGAAGCAAGGCTGTTAATTGTCTTTATTGAATAAACTGGTAATTTATTTAATTATATATCAAATTATGATTTATTTGATTTTGACTAGACATTTTTTATTATATTAACAATATTACAATTTCTATTAATAATAATTGGCGGCCCCCCTGCAATACCGTCGCGGCCCACTAGGGGGCCGCGGCCCACAGGTTGAAAACCACTGGGCTAGAGCAATCCAACCTCATTTTACATGAAGTTCACACCATAGCAATTTTTAACTAATGTAATTTAAAATAATTTATTTTATACATTCTTAGACACACACACACAATAAATCTGCTAATGATAACGGAAATGGCTCAATTTTCACATGAAGATTCACGGTACACGATAATTCGACAAGATTTTAAGTTAGCATATGGGACTAGAGTGTGGAGGCGTCCCATGATCAGGAATCACGGTACTATAGCGAATGCAGGACTCCCAAATACTGCTTCCTTGCGACCAAAATGTCGATTTAAGCTGGATAGGTGTATGGACGGATATATTATGTAAAAAAAAAAAAAAAAAAAAAGCTTTTGAATTTACGTTTCAGATGAGTAACTGGGAGGCTGCATGATCAATAAAATGTTTGAACAGGCCTACATCTTAAAATGGTTTATGTGAAGGAGCTGTTGACGAAAACCATGATCGCAGTACATCCCTGCATATCTACATACCCTGCGTGTCTGCGGCTTCAATCACAAATACGTGTAGCATACGGAATCGCGGGAGATCAAATAAAGGGGATTAAAAATACGTACGTTCAGTAAACACCGCGTGAGGTGACTTACTATCTGATCAGCTGGGAATAAGGAAACAGGAGTTGTTATATGCGCAACTCTGTTTAGAGAAATCAATGATAAGGGAAATCCCGATGTGGGCAGAGCTCCAAATTAGCAATGCGTAATTTCGATGCAAGACATTGAATAACAGAACTGTCTTCGGCTGAAACAATAAAAAAAAGCAGATCCTGGACTAGAATTATGCAGTCACGCTTCACGGCAACGGTTTGGTTTCAACAAATCAACCTTGAACCCCCCAACACCCTAAACACTAGCCGATTTAATACAGGCGACAATGGCGACAATGAGGGCGACCACAAACACACAAAAAAACAGGCGTGATATTTATGCGATCAGTTTTCTATCACAAATTTGCACCTCACATCAGTGATATTATGTAACCGTGTGGGATACTTAACCTTGCTGGAGTGGGTGCCCCGATTAGTCTGTAACCTAAGTAGGCTACCACTCAAAAGTACGATAAGGAGAGGGCGAGGGCGGGCTGACCTCAGGTTGCCCCACCGGAAGCCCGAGGTAGAAGGAACAGGGGAGTCCATCACATGACGCACATCAAACTTTGTACAGTACTAAATCAATTAGGCCTAGTAAAATCAGTTTTAAATTCATCACTACTGTATTTATTTCTATCGTTCAAAATTTCTTTATAAAAATGACAGTTTGGCAGGGAGGGTGGGGGTTGGGAGATTCATATGATGATTCATCCATCCATCCATCCATTGTCCAACCCGCTTATCCTACTGGGTCGCGGGGGGTCCGGAGCCTATCCCGGAAGCAATGGGCACGAGGCAGGGAACAACCCTGGACGGGGGGCCAGGCCATCGCAGGGCACACTCACACACACCATTCACTCACACATGCACACCTATGGGCAATTTAGTAACTCCAGTTAGCCTCAGCATGTCTTTGGACTGTGGGAGGAAACCGGAGTGCCCGGAGGAAACCACACGACGACACAGGGAGAAATGATGATTCATATGATGCTAAATATATTGATATTTTTGTGTGTGCTTGTTTTATTCCGATTCACTAATAAATAAACTTTTATATATATTATTTTGTATAAATCATATTATTTATTGATAATTGCGGATAATACCGGTCGAAGCCCATGTGGCGCCCTAGTGAAGCTTCACCGCCGGCGAAGTCAGCACCCCCCAGGAGATGGCGCCATGGATGGCCGACCGGGGGTCTCCCTTGGTACATTTCGCCGATCTGGGGGCGGGGGGTTCAGCGCGGTGTCAGGATTACATTGACCGGAGTCCGCCCCGGCCTCAGGGTATGGGGCTGGAAACTTACAGGTGAAAGGGAAGGGGTTTATTGCGATGCATCTCCGTAATGCGTAGGCCGGCCTGCGTAAATGTGATGCTGATGGGATACAGTACGTCATTAATTAGGCTACTGTCTACAGTATAGTGATAACAGGAATGTTTCCTTATAGTTACAAATGTTCAGTTACATAAATTGTCATGCAGATCGAGTCATTAACTGCTATGGTTTATGAGTTTAGCGTAAATCGCCCACACTAATCACAGGTACGCTTGGGTCAGCACGCCCATTAAACGCAACCGTTCGTGTACAATAAAGTCCAAAGATCGTCAAGCAGGTAACAAAAGCGGCGAACCCGAGGGCTTCACTGTCTAGTTTGTCCAGATCTGCACTGCGCACCGGCCCGTCTTCCAAAAGCAGGTAAGAGCTCAAATTATTTTTGGATGTATTCAAATAAAAGTTGAATTTACAGGCTATGCTCTTGTTATAACTGCAAATAACTTAATTGGAATTATGCATACTATTATGCATACATATTAGTTTAGACCATTATAGAAGCTATTCAAAAAAATTTAAGCAGTTTTTTCTTTATGATAGTGGTAATCAAACGTAGCTTGTAACAGGAGGTACATTTTGAAATAAAATTAACTGAATATAAATTTTCATATGCGGTATTCAGTTCGCGCATTACTGTAAAAAAGGAAAGGAAAAAAAGTTTTCTTCCACAGGAAGGAAGTTAAAAATTAATCAACCTGAAAACTAGCGTCTTATTTGTGCTCCCAGGGATCTGCTGTGTTTGCTTTCTTTGGTCCAAATTGAATTCTAATTTATTAGGCTACAATTAAGCAGGTTTCCAGATTTTTCACCATGATTGGTGATTTCTGTTTTCGGTGACAGATTAATTATTATTATTTAGCATTATTTTGAATACGCGTTTAAAGTCATAGTCACATTTCTTCAAATGTCTTGTCTTCCAAAAAATGTTTATTGGTTAATGATAATTAATTATTAATTATGACCATGAACAGTAACCGGACTGTAGGAGTGTCACGGTGCGTGCCGCTCGGAGCGGGGAATCAGGCGAACGGACGTCAGGGATCGAGGAATACGGGTTTTAATCACAGCACACAAAGCACATCACAACAACGTCAATGACCGGACTGGGGATACAAACAGGAACGCGGACTAAATACACTGAACTAATGACAACAATCCGAAACAGCTGTAAAACACTGGGATTCCACATGAGGTTAACGAGGGGGCGTGGCACACATTAGGATCGGACGGAGCGGGGCATGACAAGGAGGTAGAGGGTTGTTTCATAAACGTTCATCCATCCATTTTCCATACCGCTAGGCTCAGAACCTCCATGATTCTGCCTTATATTAATAAATATTAAATAAATCTTTGTGTTTTATGTAATACTATAAAGTACTGGTTACTGCTTTTAGAAAAGACAAACTGTCATATCAATGTGCATTTTCTTTCTTTTAAAAAAAAAAAAAAAAAAAAAAAAAAACCTGTTTTCCCGCTACTGTTTTTATTGCATTAAGGGACAGTGTCCAAAGTTAAGAATGTGCTGTCATCAGGAAGGGAATATCACAACGTAAAGCCAGTTACTCTTATCCCCTTAGATAATTATCCTAGTGGGAACTGCTCTATACGACTTTAGCTTTTAGCTTTTCTTATGCATTGATCTTTTACACTTAGCATGATCTTGCAGAACAATACGAAAGTTACAGGAAAATCTTTGAAATAAGTATAATTGCTGATATTGGTTATCCATGGGTATTTTTGACAATGTTTTTATTATTACATAACCATGCATTTTACAGTCCATGAAAATTTCTGTTTTTAATATACAAGGTTATAAACTGCTTTTTAATGAATGTTTATGAATTATAATTAACACCATACCATGCTATTGGCCTTTTTGTGATAGATTGTACATCTTTTGCACAGATATTTTATACCACTAGTTAAGGTGACAGAATTTGAAATGAAGGGCATTCTGAAGGACAAAACTCACAGTGAGTATTTTCTTTCTGTCAAAAACATGTAGAATTTGTTATTTATTTTATTTTATTGACAATGGCGTACTGCTGGTTCAACTGGTAAAACTGCTGCCATATGGGGCTGGAGTGTGGCTGTGCGATTGAATGTGTGGGGAGGGGGGGCTCAAAATGTAGCTGGAAGCACAAGCACAGCAGGAAAATAAAAGCAAGTTGTGACCTTTGACCTCTGAACCCACAGAGACTCACAGGGTGAGGATGGAGGGCACGACACAGAGCCACTCCATCAGCGCCGTGCGCTGGTCCGTTCCCCAGGAGAAACTCCAGGCTCACAGTTCTGCCCCTATCAGCCTGGTCAAGAGTTCCACCTGCATGCAGGTATTTCCCAGGACACGGGTGTTCGGCGGGCATCACCGATAATGGCTGATATACATGAGAATCCAACTGAGTATGATCCACCCTCACAGTTACGGCACAGATACATGTGCGCTGAGTAACTGTTATGCTGAGGATGAAAGAGATGCAAAAGCAAGTGAGAGGAGTAGAAACGCACTGTAATTAAGGGTGAAGGTGATGGCCAGGACAGGAAAACAGATGGGTGACACCGAGAATGAACACAGCAGGGAAAGCGGGAATGGAGAAACGATACAATACGTAATAGTATGGGTGATGAGTTTTGGTAATCTCATTCATCGATTGAGTTTGCTTTCTTCTCTTCATGCTCGCCAGCATAATTCCAGGCACCAGGGCCTGAGGAATCTACGCAGCCTGCAGGAGTGCGTCAAGTTCATCAACGAGTGGAAGGAGAGGGTGGTGCAAATCTGCAAGGTAAGACTACACTGTGAACTCAGCCTGAACGTAATCTTGGAATGTAACAAGCCTGCTAATCAGGGCTGGATGGAGGGGTAGGCAGCTGCTTAAGGCCTGATCGGCACAAGGAGGCCCTGACAAAATGTGAAATCTACTTGGGGGAATCCCCCCCTCCAATCGGTGAAATCTACTGAGGGGAATCTGAGTCAGGGAACATGCAAGTATGCAATGCTGAAACCTGGAATTCTCACCCTTGCCCTAATGACTCTTGAGTCAGAGGTAAGCACTCATCTTATCAGCGATGAGTTCGCCTGGGATGTCCTCCTCTTCCGCTATCCTGCTCTTTTGTCACACGCTCTTATGGGCCCCTTAAGAGCTTTATAGCCATATCAGTATTTGCGTGCCAGTGCTGGTTTGTGTGCCAGTGGTAATTCACGTGACAGTGCAGAATGCAGTGACATTCACCCCGTTGTCCTGAAACCAGAGCTGGAAGGAGTCACAGGACAAATTACTCTACGAGCTTAGTTCAGTTACAGGTCTGTTATTTTCAGTCTCGGTTTATAAAACCATGTGGTAACTGGTATGATTTTGTAAAATGTTATGAATCCATGGAATCTTAGTAAATGTTTTGAATCATTAAGGTTTGTCCTGAGGGCCACAAGGAAGGGTTGTCCTTGTAATAGGTTTCTAAAGGCAATATAATAGATATTTAAGGTGAACTCAAGTGAAGCATTGTGTTGATTGTTATACCGCATTATGTTACTGGACGATGGGTGGTACTTACTGGTTCAGGAAAATAATAAAAAGCTGTTTTGAAATGGGCCAGAAGGGACTTACAGTGTACCACACACCTCAGTGGGATTGTCGTTGAGGTGCATTGGTTTGCTTAAATCTTGACCTTCAATTGCTGTTGTTTATCCAGTGAAAAAATAAAATTCAGGGGAAGGGAAGATAAGCTTTTATGAGCATAATGAACAGTATTGACCTAGACTTGCACGCAATCTTTCGTGCTGAGGTCTTAAGGCACATTTTAATTATCCTAGTGGTGCCAGAAATGGAGATCTTATCACATTTATGGATCTGTGAAATTTTCACGGCAACTGGTTTCAAGAGTCAGGATTAAGAAACCTGATGATTTTGGGAGGTGATTGTATAGCACAGCTCATAAACAGTGGTATGTTTACATTGAGTACAAGAATAACATGAGAAAGAAAAAAAAGCTGAAACAAATTTATTAGAAAGAGGTATGTTGATTACAGAACAACATACAATTTTTTAACCAAAAGTGAATGACGGTTGTTCTTTTGGGTTTTTTTTGGGGGGGGGGGGGTTGGCATTGCATTACATTAAGAGACGCCAAGCTACCAAAGCAGTCCATTGAAACTGGGACTGTGCCGTTTCAGGAGCCTGATGGAGAGGAGGCGTCGTGCAGCAAGTGGCAGCAGCGCAGCCTGGAGGAGCGCAGCCTGGAGGAGCGCAGCCTGGAGGAGAGCCGCAAGCTCATTCTGCAGTGGGCGGAGGAGCTGAAGAGCGTGGATACGGTGAGGAGCAGCTCGTGCTTTAAAGAGCGGCGCTTTTCAGAGAAACCCGCGCTTTTCAGATAAACTCGCGCATTTCAGAGAAACCTGCGCTTTTCAGACAAACCCGCGCATTTCAGAGAAACCCGCGCTTTTCAGACAAACCCGCGCATTTCAGACAAACCCGCGCATTTCAGAGAAACCTGCGCATTTCAGAGAAACCCGCGCTTTTCAGACAAACCCACGCATTTCAGAGAAACCCGTGCTTTTCAGACAAACCCGCGCTTTTCAGACAAACCCGCGCTTTTCAGACAAACCCGCGCATTTCAGAGAAACCCGCGCTTTTCAGACAAACCCGCGCATTTCAGACAAACCCGCGCATTTCAGAGAAACCCGCACTTTTCAGAGACTCTTTTATGCTCATTCCTACTTGCCTTGATAAATAACCTCTTCCAAGCTGATTTATTGGTTTCATTGCCTTAATCCAGAATTAAATCAGACAGCTGTATAAATACCTAAATGAACATATGGTAGTGGATGAAAGCATCTACATTTTAAATAATTATTATCCCTGTCTGTCTTCTTAGCTGTTTGAACAGGCCCAGACTCAGGGAAATGACAGTGTGGAAAGCACAGAAGACGACAAGAACACCGATGACCAGGATCTTGTGGAGCAGAGGATCATGGAATGGGCCAGAGAACTGCAAACTGTGTCAGAGGTAGGGGATCAAGTATGTGTGTGTGTATGTATCTGTGTGTGGTCATGTATATATTACATTGTGGGGACAAAATCTCCGACTCAGCAATATTCAAATATTCCCACAATGTACTAAAAACCTGTTATTTTGACCGTGTAAAGACATTTTTTCGGTCCCTACAAGGGGAAACTTAATTTTATAAAAATCTGTGAATGCAATCAAAACACTAAAAATTCCAAAAGTCTTGCATTTTGTTTAGTCAGAGGTGGCAATTTCAGATCCAGAAAGTAAAAATCCAGACCATGATTTTGTTTTAACCAACCATTTGAGTACTCTGTGACTGTGACTCTTTTGCTCAACTGGTTGGTTGAAAGCAAATCATGGTCTGGATATTTACTTTCTGGACCTGAAATTGCCACCTCTGTGTTTAGTTACTTATGGTTAAGGTTGTCATTGATGGGATTAAGGTTATACCAATAGAAATGAAGGTGGAGTCCCAAAAAATGAAGGTTCCTACAAAGACTTAGACACCTTGTGTGTGTGTGCGTGTGTGTGTGTGTGTGTGCGTGTGTGTTTATGTGTGTGTGTTTATGTGTGTGTGTGTGTGCGTGTGTGTGTGCGTGTGTGTGTGCGTGTGTGTGTGTGTGTGTGTGCGCGTGCACGTGTGTTTCTGAGTCTGAACAACCTCTGACCTGTTTCCTGGGAGTATGTGCTATACGGCCACCGTCCTGTACTATCTGTGGATGGATGGATATAAGCTGAATGCATTACGAATCGACACCACCCCCTGTGTGTGTGAACAGCCTTTGTTGTGGGGTGGGGGTTGCAGCAAACTAACTCTGTCATGATGTCTCACGCTGACAGAACTGCGGGGTCCCGGGTGACGAGCTGCCACAGACGCTTCGCCACATGGGACTGAGGAAGAAGAGGCTTATGCACCTCCTCCCCCTGCTGGAGTTCATCACCTGGTCTTTGCTTAAGGAGGACAGCAAGGTGAGTCCAACAGAGTGTGTGTGGGAGGGGGTGGGACAGCCTGTTACCTGTACTCAGCTGTGTGCCCACAGGAGTTTCTGAAAAGATGACATTTCCATCTTGAGTTTTTTTGATGTCCCACCTAAGTCTTATTACAAGAGCAGCTGACTTAATGAAATAGATTATATGTTTGCTTAATGTTTAATTTCAGGCCAGGTACTGCCCTACTTCTGATTTTATTGCATCAGGGCAAAAGCCATTGAAATGACATTTTTTGTGCATCTAGCATATTAGTGATTGGTTGCATCATTAACTTTGCATAGTGGCTGAATGTCGTCAAGCTGACCTCAAACTCTCGAGTCTTGGCCGCTTGGCGACTGGGTGTCGTAAAAGACAGACGGGCTGCTTCTGAAGCCTGCTTAACTAACGTTTAATGAATGGTTGTAAGGGCCAGAGACCGGGTGCAAAACTAGTTCCCTGGGAGCAGTTCAGTTTGTAATGCCAAATGTATATTGTAATATCTAACAGGATGCAACATTTTGTCTGGGGGTGGGGGGGGGGGATTCCAGTTTGGCCTTGCCCTCTCTAAGACTCCTGGACTTGCCAGATACTAATGTTTCATTCAACCAGCACCTCCTAAGTAGCTTATACTGGTTTTTATTTTAAGACTGGCCCCGCCCCACCTTCCGCTTTGGGTTAGTACCCTGTGCCTGGGATCAGAAGGTTGCCGCTTTGAGGCCTGGCCTCAGCAGAATAGTCACATGTCCGTGGGCTGGTGAGCGAGGCCCCTAGCCCCCAGCTCCAGGGGTGCCGCATGCTGGCTAACCCAGCGCTGGGCCCCCCAAGCTTGCTGTCGCCCGCATATGTGTCTGTGTGTCTCATGGAGAGCAAGATGGAGTAGGTGAAGAGAAGCATTCCAGTGTACCTGTACTTGTGTAAATGGCAAATAAAGGACCATTTCATTTTTGAATACTGGTACCTCCCATTCCCCTGCCGACATCTTTGACTTTCTTCCTGGAGTGCACTTCCCCTAACGCCCCCCCCGTTTCCTCCACAGGGCCTCGTCCCCCAGCTGTGGCTGTCGGCCAAGCAGCACACCTGGAAAGCGGGTGAGTTTGTGCCCTGGGCCGCATGGAACCGTGGTATGAAAGTGCGCTGTACCGGTCTCCAGCAGCCTGAGATAACGCGAGGAGACCGGAGACCCAGGCATCACCAAGGCGATCGTGTGCGAGTGCAGGTACCCGCAGATCGGTCCTCTCTAACCTGTCGGCCTCTTTTTGGGCAGGGACTCCGAGATACATCCCAAATTCAGGTACGTGTTTATAAAAAGTCTGTTCATTGGGAGCTGGGTGGGGTACAGGTAGCTTTAACCCCTTAGTACCTCGAGTGGAAGGACTTGAGTGTTTGTCCCTTGAAGGATGGAGGGAATGCATGTAGAGCAGTGCAGCTTCTGCTGCCCGAGCGCCACTTTGTAGGATTAGCTCTGCAGACTGGAGCCTGTGAGACGTTGCCTGCTTCTACTCGTCTCCCAACACGTCTCACCGCGCCTGTATCTCCAGGCCGTCTTGTCTCTCCCTCTTGTCTGTATGATTTTTATTATTGTTTTTAGATCACTGCGTCTCCTTTATCCTTTACAAGCCACGCTGCTTGTTTTCTTCTCATTTATCCTTAACTTTGTTGTAATATCGGTCAAAATGAAGAGTAATAAACTCACTTGGGTCAGAGGTACATGCATCATCATCCCCCCGTTTACGTTTTACTGTATTACACCTTTTACCTTCTTCACTGTTTTTAACCATGACTGTCGTCCTGCTTTCTAGTTTGGGACTGGATCTGCAGCGCTGAAGGTAATTGACTTTGGACCTCGAGGAAACAGCCACTGCTTTATGCAGTGACAGTGCGTCTGACCCCTCCCACCCCCATGTGCACACAGATGACGTGACGCTGGATCCCATGAGCAGCCACCCCTGGCTGCTGCTGTCGGACGACCGCAAGCGCGTGCAGGAGGCGCTGTCGGAAGCCATGCTGCCCCCCAGCAGGCAGCGTTTCGACGGCTGGCCCTGCGTCCTCGGCTGGGAGGGCTTCTCCTCCGGCCGCCACTACTGGGAGGTGGACCTGGCCAACGACGGCTACTGGCGCCTGGGCCTGACCACCGCCTCAGCCCGCAGACAGGGCCGCTTCCCCATGACCCCGGCCGCCGGCTACTGGGCCCTGTGGCGCAGCACCCACCACTTCTACGCCTGCACCAAGCCAGAGACGCCGCTGCCCATGGAGCTGGTCCCCCGCAGGGTGGGCGTCTACCTGGACTACGAGGACGGCCAGATCTCTTTCTTCGATGCCAAGAACAAGTCACACATCTACACCTTCACCGGCACCTTCCGCGAGAAGCTCTACCCGCTGTTTGCGCCCCTCGACGGCAGGACGCTGATCACCATCTCCTCGCCGAAATCTGCCGCCGTCCCCTAAGTGCTCAACTGGGAGCATCCCAGTAAATCAAGTACAGTAAGCCTCTCTGGCATCTACACTCATTGGCCACTTTATTCAGGGAACCCTACACCTTGTGCTGTGTAGGACTTGCGTCTTCCTTGCGATGCTTTTCAGCTGAGTGTTCAGCGAAGCCTTTCTGCACACCACTGTTGTACTGAGCTATTATTTTTGCTTCTGGGAGTTATACTTACACAATAATGTTCTGAGGGCAGAATGAAAAATGATTGGTTCAGAGCTGAGAGATAACTAATCAGATCCTCCAGTTGCTCCTCTAGTTACCTTCCCTACAATCTGATTAGTTATCTCTCGGCTCTGAACCAATCATTTCTCGTTCTGCCCTCAGAACATTTTTGTGTAAGTAAAACTCCCACAAGCGTTATTTTTGCACTTAGATTACATTAGATAAACTTCATCGAACCTAGCGGGAATTTTTCTTATGGTCTTCCTGTTACCTTTAACGAGTCTGGCTATTCTCCTCTGACCTCTCTTATCAACAAGATGTTTTCAGCCACAAAACTCTGAATGACACAAAACTCTGGCCACTGTAGTGTCTAGGGAGACCGGTGGCTGGTTCTGAGAGGCTGAGACCACCATGTATGGTAATTAACAATCACTCCATGTTTAAAAGTCCTCAGATCATGTCTTAGCTGTTCTGATTGGCTGCACAGCCACTAAACCTCTTGAATCAGTCTGTGTGCTATATGTATTCATTTGTAGCCATGTGATTAGCTGTTCAGAGGAATCTGGATGTTTGTGTTAACGAGCAGGCGTACGGAATAAAATGGCCACTGAATGTAAGTTCCATGTCGTCAAATAAAGTACCGAAGAGATAAATAATATCAAGCATAAAAATTTGCAATTGAGAAAAATATGGATAAAAGCACAGTTTTGATACAGCCTTGCACAAATATCCCGAATGTTTAAACCATAACTTGAGCTTAATATATATTCCACGTGGTGACGAAAATTGTCACTCTTTCTGGGTCAAACATGTATAGTGTAAATAACATGTACAAAAAAAATCAACTGTTACTTCCTCTTTAGTTGTCTCAGTGCTCTGCATCATTCTATATGTTATATGTTCCTTATCTTTGTAGTATGCTAACCCCTAAATGTTGACAATCCCGTCTCTGGTGGGAGTATAAGGACACTGACGATTGACTGCTACTCATGACTTCCTCCCATGGGTCAGCTGGTGATCACATTTACCATGTACTCAGAATGAAAATGTTCTGTATGTTAATAAAAAGCACTAATAAAAGTACATCTGGAACACAGAGTGGCTTGTGGACTGACACTAAATGCATGACATGCTGCTAAAACCTATCATGTCAATCATTGAGGGGTTCTAAAATATACAAAACCTTGATTACAGTAACTAAGTGAAGAGGGGAATTCCCACTGACCGTTTCCTCCCAAAGTCCAAGAAGTCATTCACAGCTCCATAAACTTACTGCTAGGGACAAAGTTTTCTTTTTATCGGTGTGTCAGGCAGTGCGGTGTGTGCGCTAATGGCCAAAATTGTGGAGACACCTAGCATCTTTAGCACTAAACTTTAAGACTTTCTACACAAATACTGATGGAAATGTTTATAAAGAATGGTACAAATGCCATAGACTGGGCGATTAAATAAATAACTGGAACAAAATTCTGCAATCTGCAAAAAAATGGAAGTGTTTCCACAATTTTGGTCACCAGTGTAAACTCCTCCTCTGCCAACTTCCTTTCCGCTATTTTAATACATGTATGACTAAGCATCTCCGCACCTTTGGAATAGAGCAGAAGGCTGGGGGCTGCACTGGACGGGATGCCAGTCTGTAGCAGGGCACACGCACACATAGTCACGCATTGTAGGCAGTTTAGAGGCACCAATTAGCTTAACAGCATGTCTTAGGGAAGAAAGTGGAGTGCCAGAAGGCCACCGGCGCAGAGCACAGTCGATGAACTATTAACAGGACCGATCACCCGGAAACAACAAAAATCTTGGCCATCCATATCAGGAATTCATGAAAATCAGTCTGCAGTGAAGCACGTTGATATGATTTAAAATGATACCAGTAGATAGTATGATAAATCAAAGGTCTGACTGCCTGGAATAGGTGTAGAGGGAATTGAGAGCGTCCCCACGATGTGGCTGCCAGGGGTCAGGGGCAGTGAGGGAGATGCTTGCCTCGGACTGTGCACAGGTGGGAAAGGTTTCGAGGAGACACACTGCCATAGAGAGCAACATCAGGCCCCCCCAGCTACCGTATCTGAGGTCTTAAAACGAACAGACAGTATTCATATTTAGCCTGCTGGGGGGATTTTGCCAACTGGGAGACTGAAGCAAATTTACAAGAGCTCAGACTCGCAATTTTACTACTTTGCTGCATGCTTGATTGGTAATAACAATTGTTTTGCCGGGGGTGCAAGCCCAATATTTTACTATGCGGCTGTGCGCCTGGACACCACGGGAGGGCGCTCCAAGAAGTCACAGGTGTTGGGTCTTAGTCACACTTCCACCCCAAGTCACCAGAGAGAAACTGGAACTACCCCCTAGCCTGGCTGGAGCTGGGTATCCTCGCTTCCGCCTCTCCCACCGAGCTCTCGCACACCCAGGGCCCGATGGCATCACAGCACACGGCCAGCAGGCTCCCATAGCCCCTGATGTCGGCGCAGTCCGTCTCGTTCGAGTTCCAGCATATCTGCATCCTGCGGGAGCAATGTGTGACATGACTGGGCTAGGTCATGTGACTAAACACGTCATGCAGCGCTAACTGAAAGGCACATTTTCCCATCCGGATTTTATGTCTCAGTCACTTTTTCCTTAATTTTTCAGAAAACACTTCAGAGCTAAATAAAGAACAGAAAAAGAGGAATGCTTTTCCATGAGGATAAATTATTGAAAACAATTTCAAATATTGCATCTACCTTCAAACAGCTTATCCTGGTTGGGGTTATGCATTCAAAACACTATGCAAGATATTGCTATTGTATTTCTTGAAGATTCACTTTCATTGCACATGGGATTTATTGTAAGAAATAACTTTGAGTGCCACTGGCTTCCCGGATAAAAAAACAGCAGTTAATCACAAAATGAATTAAACAATCCATTTTATTACATCCCCCACCTTAAGTTACTGTTTTAAATGCTTGTAAAATTATTATGACCAATTTATGACTGCAACACGTTCCTTTGCGTCCCATCCTGCCACACCCACTGCTCCTCCTCCTGAAGGCCACTCAGCCCCATCCACATGAATGGCAGCTTCTGGGACCTTCTCATCTCGGCCAGGATGAACTCCTGAGGGAAATAAGGGGCTCAGTGAATGGCTACACAAGAACACTGCGGAACCAGTGCAGAGCTCGTCCAGAACATTATAGTCCTCTTCTGCATCCCTCCCTTCTCTGTCCTCTCCTGCATCCCTCCCTCCTCTGTCCTCTCCTGCATCCCTCCCTCCTGTCCTCTTCAGCATCCCTCCCTCCTCTGTCCTCTTCAGCATCCCTCCCTCCTCTGTCCTCTCCTGCATCCCTCCCTCCTCTGTCCTCTTCAGCATCCCTCCCTCCTCTGTGCTCTTCCTGTTTCCTTCTCCCTAATTCCCTCTCTGCTGAGGCTCACCAACCCTGCTCATCATCAGACTCAGGTAAGGTGAAGTGAAAAGGAGAACAACATGCTGCTCTTCATGGCCGACACCAAGGCCAGTCAGAGGGGTCCAGAGACAAGAATGGGCGAGGCTGACTTTCCTTGTCTCACACATCATCTCGTCCCGGTTCTCGATGATGGTCAAGTTTCCCCGCTTCATGGTGCAGAAATCCACACTCTGCTGCCAGGTGAGCTCCTCCTCACGTCCCATGGAGAAGAAGTAGCAGTGTCCCCTGAAGCAAAGCCAGCCCTGTGGGCATAGCTGGCACTGCCGCTGTGGTTCTGGGAGGGGGGCAGGAGCCGGAAGAGGCAAAAGTTAAGAGGCTCTATGGGACCTCCTAATTTCCAATTTTTTCTGCAGATTTCCATAAATATATAAAAACGCGAGCCTGAAATCCCTGACTGGCTCCCAAATTCTAGTTTACCTTTTGTGCAAAAAAATCGTTAATACAAAACTGTTATAAATCGTTAATACAAAAAGGGTTATAAATGATGCATTAAATGAAAACACCCAGAGAAAATCAGTTTTTTTTCCATTAATGAAGCTAATGAATCAACTGTTCGTTAATAAGTAAAATAATAAAAATGCAAGCAAGGCAACTGTATGTGATCTGCTGTCAGCCCTCTGTGTGTGTGTGTGTTTGAGTGTGTGGATTATGTTTATATTACATTGTGGAGACAAAATGTCCCCCACAATATACTAAAAACCTGTTATTTTAACATTGTTAAGTAAAACACTCAGGCAAAGGCCCTTAACATATTAACTTAACATATTCTAGACATATAATTATACCATCTACTAAATGTAGACTAAAATAGGAAAGATTTTGGTTTACCTGACATAATTCTGCTGGTGCAAAATATTTAGCTTCGGTCCAATTACACTATACTGCAGGCGAGTGGCTCCCGACAGTGTGCGTGTGGCTCAGTGAGCGTGTGGCTCGTGATAGTTAGCGAGTGTCTCGGGACAGTTAGCGAGTGTCTCGCGACAGTGTATGAGTGTCTCGGGACAGTGGGCGAGTATCTCGGGACAGTGTTTGAGTGTCACGGGACAGTAACAACAGGACAGTGACAGTTTCGGCTCCTACTGCTGCTGCTGGCGGGGCTGACTAAGTACGTACAGCTTTGTCAAGGAGTCATGAAACGCTCCACCTTCTGTTAACATGAGAAACACGAGCCTGAGCACTATACGGCGATCATGTAAAGGCATAAACTAAGAGGTATAACTCAGGAAAAATAACAGTTTTTAAACGGCACCAACTATTGAGACCGGCTCGGAGCAAATGGGGAGGGGGCTAACTTAACGGCGGAGTCACGTGACCATGTAAATAAGCAATATCTGCATTGAAGCAGCACAAATGACAGTTTTAACGGCACAAACGTCGCACAAACGATTGCGATCGGTTTGGTGGAAATCAGACGCAAATGGCAGGGGGGGCAACCTTACAAACATTAATATCTCAGAAACTAAAGCAGCACAAAGGACAGTTTTAACGGCACAAACCAGCACAAACGCAGCATACACGATTGCGATCGGTTTGGTGGAAATCAGATGCGAATGGGGAGTTAACTTCACGCTGATGACCTCACCATGTAAACAAATATTTATCTCTCAGAAACGAAAACGGCACAAACAAAAATATTAACGGCACAAACGATTGAGACCAGTTTGGTTGAAATCTGAAACATATGGGGGGGCAGCTTCACACGTCTAGCTGTTAATTACCTTAAGCCTCCCAGTCCACGGTGCCAGCCGCCTCACAACCTTTGTTCCTTACTTTCTGGTGTCTTCAGTCTTTTTCGGTGAGACTCATTCTGATTCTCAACATGGTATCATCTCTCGGAGCACCACACGTCCCCTTCTGAATATGTTAACGCCCCCTCAGGAGTGGGTTTCCCTTAAACTCCACTTCTAATGATTAAGGAAACACATCCAGCTACTTGTGTCAATTACTTTCCCAAAGTGTGACGCTCTTTCTTTAGACAAACCTTTTCATGACAAATTAAGGGCTGTTTTTTTTAAATATGAAAAACACTACATTTCTCTTCACTCTTCCAAAAGCAGAAGTGCAGAAATGGCTGTGAGAGTCACTGTATGCTTCCTGTTGAACTACAGTGGTGATATTCTTTTTTTATTATCATTTTCTGGTCGTCGATGAGCGTTCATTAGGTCTCCAGGGTTATTCTTAGACATTATCTTTGTGAGAACCCCAATGCTGAGATTCCAGCCCCGTCAGGCAGCAGGACACCTCCCAGGCTCGATCTACAACACGCTCAGCACAGCTTTACTAGCCATGCAGGAAGCGGTAGGCCTTTGGATCGCACAAATCCACATGAAGATGTCAAGCAACAGGCCCATGCACTACAGCACCATGAGATTGCGACCTGCACCCTAGGGCCAGTGTGTGCTTGGGCTCCAAGAAGCCAAGGTACCGCCAGATCCATCACACTGGGATGCGAAATCCGGAGATTCAAGACAAGACAAGACTATGGTTTCCATGACTACGAAATCACCATCGAGGCATTTGAGGTACCGAATGTCCAGTTGGATGATGCAGGGTTAACAGAAGCCTACATATTTGGCCATATTGCAAAACTCATCAGTAGAGCCAGCAAGAAACTCCTCTTCAGAAACAATTCAGAAACCCTTCAGTTCTACCATAATGATCAGCTGACCATTAGACAGCATCATAAACCTGCGGTTGAACAAAGAATCACAGAGCATGCAGCCAAAGATAATGCTGACAGCCACATTGACTGACATCTGCCATCTGTGAACCGAAAGCCAAAGCAGTAACATCATACTCTCTGCCATTTTCACACAGATACAAGGACACCACCTATGGGTGAGGGAAGGTAATAGGAAACATGTCTTTGTCACATCAAACCATTTACGTCAAAGAATCTCCCAACTACAGCTACAGTAATGCTCTATCTCATAAAGATGTGTAATGTGTAATACATATTTCTTTTGTCATTGCTCCACACAACAGATACAGAGAAACAATGTGATCTGTTATCTGGAAGAAAGGCATTTATGACAGCCTATGCACTATATCACCGGGGTTGACTCATCCATACCCATGAGGCTATGCCCCAAGTGTGTCAACACAAGTGTTTCCGTTTCAATAAATATACAGCGACATTTGGTGGATTGCAGACGTTATATCAGGCAGCCTAGATGAATACATCCCTTTGAACTACGTGCAATAAGATAGCTGGATGCTATCACACGTGTTACCTATGTTCACCTATGTGGCACTGTTTGTGGGAAGTAAATGAAATAAGAATAGAGTTTTACTGAGAACAATATTCGATAGCAAACAAACAAATAACTTGCCTGAACTGGATGCACATTCTGGAGCTTGCTTTGAGGTCCGTAGTGCTGACTGTAAAAACAGTGAAGTCTCTGAGGCTGATGGGGTGGGATCTGAGGCCCTCAGCTTTAAGCCGTGGCTCAGCGTCATTGGACTCCAATGAGCTGGAAATGCCAGGGATTTTTTTACCTGGTGTCCAGCAGAGTTGCCATGGTAATGACACTCAAGGATTCCAGATTACTCAGACTGTATCTGGTAGTCTATCTCTGTCCATACAGTTCTGTTGCTGTCAGTGTGGTTTGGTTGTTTTCTTCAGAAAGTAATGCATAATCCAACATTTTCATCACTGGGTTTCTACTTTGGATGCAGAAAGGGAAGTTTATCCTGGATGACCTCAAACTCCCCCCACTTATGGTCACGAGCTCTGGGTAGTGACCGGAAGAATGAGAAGGGCAGAACTGAGTTTCCTCCACAGGGTGCCTGTGCTTGGGGGGGGCAGCTGAGGTGGCTTGGGCACCTATCTAGGATGCCTCCTGGATGGCTCCTTGGGGAGTTTCTTCGGTTTTGTCCAACCAGGAGGCCCCTGGGCGGACCCAGGACACGCTGGAGAGATTTTGCCTCTCACCTGGCCTGGAAACGCCGTGGCATTCCACTGGAGGAGCGGGAGGAGGTGGATGGTGAGGAAGAGGTCTGGGCATCTCTGCTGCTCCCGCAAAACAATCACAATGCTATGAAAAAGCGGAAAATTTTGGGCTACCTGGAGTCATCTCTGTATTATCTACAGCCTGTGCATTGTTATGTAACGCTCTTTAATACCTCAGCATTGACTAGATACTTTTATTCTTGTATGCCAGCTCTTTGAAGCAGAATCGGCACTGAAATAAAACAGTGATTCTCAAACTTTTTTTACCGCGTACCACTACATATACGCGTACCATTGTTTGATAACACCTGAAACAAATTGTTTTGTATCTAACATTAAGCACGCAATTTTTATTGTAAATGAACGCAGAATAATAACACAATGCAACTTATTTTCAAATAACATGTACCTAATCTGACGATATAATTTTAAAACTTCTCTTTCTTGAAGGCTCCATTAGTGGACATACTTGACTTAGCACTGACTCACGGGTTGGTATCTGAAGTTTTGCTTCCTGATATTCAGACCGACACCTCAATTGTATCAGTCATGTGATTCTCATTGAAGCGATACTCGCTTTGATGCATGCCTTTGGCAGGCATCAGTGCATCGGTCCTGAATGGACCATCGCTACTGTTCATTTTAACAAAGAGTTTTTTTCCACTCTCTTCTGAAATAGATCACATAGCATCGAATTACTGTATCGAATTGAGTTACATTTCAAAGTTCACCTGTTGTATCATACTGAAGATACTGTACCCCAGTTAGTGTATGATTATGACCCCTATTGAAAAGTGGGTGAATGAAAATATAACAGGATACCGATGGTAGGGTTGCACAGAAGGGAAAGGGTTTCACCTTTGACCTCTGACCCCACCACCATCACTTCCTGTGGCTTCCTCTGCAGCAATTGTGGACTTGGCTACGTTGAAATGGAGCGGCAGTCCTAGAGCGATGGGGACAACACCAGCAGCACCATATGCTTTGGGCTGAGTAGGGCACCCCTGAACCACACCATCAGGCAAGCTTTCCAGTTATCTTTCTCACTTCCATCCCACTGTCACCACTATACCAGATTGTGTCAGAGCATTGGCTTTGGGGCCTTGCGGTGACCTGATTGCAATAAGGATTTGCATGAAAAACTAAAGGGGCGGCACGGTGGTGCAGTGGTTAGCACTGTTGCCTCACAGCAAGAAGGTCCTGGGTTCGATCTCTGGGTCACCCAGGGTGCCTTTCTGTGTGGAGTTTGCATGTTCTCCCCGTGCATGCGTGGGTTTCCTGTGATGAACTTGCCCAGGGCTACGTTTCCCAAAAGCTCCCCTTAATAACTCACATAGTTGGGACTGTCCACTTGTATGGTTCCAACTGTAAGCTGGTAACGTTGTCAGTGGCTATGCTTTTGGGAAGCACAGCCCAAGGTTTCCCCTGGCCAGTGCTGCCTGAGATATGACCCAGCCTCAACATGAACTTAAATTGAATCAAAGGATATGGAGGACAGATGGTTAAAAGTGCTGTGAAAACAGCAACTTGTGGCTTTCATGTGTGGTTTTACATGTCCTGCACCAGGGAAATCCAGGGGGAGGTATGGGTCAGTGGACACAGCTAATCTGCTAATCTTTATTTTAAGCATGCAAAAGGCAGATGTATTTTTACAATCAATACAAATACATGCAGTGTGACAAATTATATAAACCATGACAACACAAAATTGAAGAAGTACCAGTCTGACAAAACACAGAACAAACAAAGCTAGTCAAATGAAGTAACATTCCTTTAAATCAGGGGTATTCAACTAAAATTTAAAGAGGTCCAGTTAGAGAAAATTTCTTGAAACAAAGGTCCGGAATATCATAATGTCTATACTATTTAGTGTGATATATATTTAAGTAGCCTATTAGTTGCATCAACATTGCATTTAATCAGTACCTGACTGTCAAATCAAATTAATTCAGTACAATTCAAAAACGTTTTGACNAAATAGTCTGCTTTTGTATTTAACCGTATAAATACACATTTGACGTAGCTAATTTTAGGTTTTATAATGGAATAATATAGATTTGCCGTAAGACTTCCAGCGTGAGTCTGAAAGCGTGAGTGTCATGCCAGATGCTTGAGATTTGGCAGCCATGAAAACGTACATTTTTTGTTTATATAACTAGGGTGACCAGATAATCCATGTCAGAGAGGACACTTTGAGCTACTTCGGGTTTTACAAACTACTTTCAAATTGAAAGGCTCCTCTGATTGGCTAAATAGTTCAACACTTATTGTGCTTTGACTGGTTTGTTTCCTTGACTGAAAGACTCATCCAGCTGTTTCACATTAGCATTAGTGACACATGCATGATTATAGGAGACTGACCAATCGGCACACAGCAAGAACTTGGTGCTCAAGTGAAATCCAGGTCCGTTTAATTGAAATGGTCATTTACAATTCCTGTCCTAGCTCAGAGTGTCCTCCCTGACATGGATTATCTGGTCACCCTAATATAACAGATTATTTATATAACAGATAACATTATTTTATACATATGTTAAAAAGCAGAAACTTCAACGAACATGAAATCAACAATAAACTATTCTATTAATCTATTTATCCAACATGTTATATAATACATACTGTATTTAAAAACTTTTCAGCTGTATGATTTCAGGACAAACCAGTCACTCTGTTAGGAACATTACTAATTTTTGGTTGTGGGTTTTAGCTTCGCTGCTGCTATTAACACTAATGGCACATCAGCGCAGACAAAGGGCTGCAGGAGACGAACTACGTCTAGCTTGACGGTTAGAGGCGTTTGACGTTCATTGGCGTGGGAAACGGCGGTTCTCCTGCTAAAACCCTACCGAAAAGACCACAAAAGCTACGCCGGAAAAAAATTGAAGCGTCAGGTTTTAAATAATAACTTAATGTTTTGGCTATCGGTCCGGGTCCGTATAGGACAGCTTCTGGGTCCGGACCCGGACCGCGGTCCGCCTGTTAGTGACCTCTGCTTTAAATCATCGTCAGTGGCATATCTACAACCAGGTTAATAAGCTACCATGCATCATGATGTACAAACATTTATGGAAAAAAAATGCTCAGATGCTCTGTATTCACATTTTCTGATCCAGGTGCAGCGTAATCATGGACAGATTCAGTTCACGGCCTGGGAATGTAGAGAACAGAACGTATTTATTGTCATTGTACAGGGAGCACTCACTACAAAAAAAAAAAAACTTCAATCTTCACATATGCCATCTTGCTCTCCTATGATACACGCAGATATATCCAGGTAAGACTGTGGCTTGGGGCCGGACTGATGGCTCAGCCGTTCATCTGGCACCATTAGAGCAGCTGAGGTTAAGGGTCTTGCTCAGGGGCCCACTGGTAATATGATAAGTCTTCCAGCCACAAGATTTAAACTGGTAGCAGTTTCAGTGCATAGGCATGGGCTCCTAACACAAAAAGCCACCCCCCAGCCTCCATTCAAGACATACTACAAAGGATGTTTATCAGAAGATTAGTATTGTTACTCTGCAAAATTTTATTAGGGCCTCATGTAGAGAAGGATGACTGTATGTGTCCTTGCTTTACAATGAAATTAGTTCAAATTAGTCAGTCACAGTGTGATAAAATCTTTTAAGTTCTTTTACGATTAAGTTCTTTTGCTTTTAACCTAATATTCAGTGTAAGCTTGGGCGACATCTGCTTTTTCATATTGTTCATGCATTATACTGTGGTGTACAGTATTCCAATGTCTTTGAAATCTTTTTGAAAGTTTTGTAGAATCTAAAATTTAAATTAGTCATGTGACAAATCAGTAAGGTTTTTAAATAACTAAAAATACCAAAAATAGCTCAAAAATGACTTAAAATACCGTAGTAGACCATAGTACCGTTTTATTGTTCCATTTGAGGTTCCACACCACTTGCTTACCAAGCGCGTTGTTGATTTTGTTCTGTAACTGCACACACAAAGATATGGGCACTTGGTTAGTCACTGCTAGCCACTTGTATTTAGCATATGTGCTATCTCTGGCATATGTAACAGGTTATATGGCTAATGTAGTGTATATAAATGAGACATGGGCCTGACCGCAGTTAAGGTAGCTTCCTTGGCAGTATCATTTTTGCAGAAGAGGGATACATTCGATGAACATTGCAACATGAAGGTAATAACTTTCAAGACAGGCGCTGGCAGAGATAAGACAAAAGTGAAATGCAAACAGAAATTCCCACATGTATTAAGACATTTTATTAAGAAATTATACTCTGGATTTTAGCTTCCAGGAAAATGGAATCCAATTACATTTTTTATATCATCTTATCTATCTATCTATCTATCTATCTATCTATCTATCTATCTATCTATCTATCTATCTATCTATCTATCTATCTATCTCTCTCTCTCTAAATCTGGTATTGGGTGAAATGAAAAGGGGGTATCATGAAAGATGAATAATTTCATAGAAACACAGTAAACAGTAAAGGATAACTTTACCTGTGGTGGCACTGACTGTAACAGCGTCACTGGAATTCTGGTCAGTCACTGTCTTAATGTAAAATTCATATAGAGTTCCTGAACGAAGGCTATTGAAACTTGCTGTGTTCGTTAAAACAGTTTGGCTCCCCCGCTCATTCCAGAATGTGTTATTGTATGTCACCAGATATTTTGTTCCTGTCTGGTCCAACTCAGGAGGGACTACCCATGTCAGCATGACAAAGCTCGCATTTACGAAGGTAGTACTGGGTGTACCAGGTCGGACAGGCACTGGGGACAACAAAAACCAGAGTCCACAATTTATGTCACATGTGAACCTATGAGCAGACTGCAACTGTACACGATTTAGTATAATTGGTTTCATTTTTGAAGGTATATTTCCAAATATTGTCTACTAGTGCATCCTGTCTCAGTGGGAAGATGCTGCCTCAGTTAGTACATGCTGTCTCAGTGGGAAGATGCTGCCTCAGTTAGTACATGCTGTCTCAGTGGGAAGATGCTGCCTCAGTTAGTACATGCTGTCTCAGTGAGCAGCAGCTGCCTCAGTGGGTAAAACTTGTTCCCCTAGCTTTACATTTGTTTATTTTACTTGTGTGTTTGTGCAGCTTCTCCTTGGTATCTATCCTGACCTGGGCCAGATTAACCATGTGGGCATTTGACCATGTGTCCAGGGACACCACATCCCTGGGGGGGTGTACCAGGCAGAGCAACCCCACATAAGATCCCCCATCCCCTTAAATAATTTCTTTTAAGTTACTGCAATTTAATAACTAATATATTTAATATTGTTCTGTTAATATAGCACTCACTGATAAGCCTATGTAATATTTTCCCTGTCTTAGATGCATTTCTGAATTTCGTGAGCTACCAATCAGTTTATTTCTGTTGTGACATATTCTTAATCCAGCCCTGTCCAGAAACATGCTATGGCGGGGCTATTCAAATCACAGTCCTCAAGGTCCAAGCACTGCTTTTCTAGCCTTGCTATGATAGCCAGGTGTAATTTCCAGTCAATTTCAATCAGTAATTATTAAACTAACTACCTGATCCCAGAGAACTGAAAACAAAGTACATATTTGAAAAGCCCTGTGCTATGATGTCTCTAAATTGCCCATAGTGGGTAATTGTACCCATGGGGTGTGCTGAGCTTTTTGGGACAGTCTCTAGGCCAGCCCCAACTCTGCCATGGATAAGCCGCTTTGTCAAATCGATGGATCTACCTTTCATGGCAGCCCAGTTTAAAAATTCACGGCTGAGCAGTTAAACCAGTTTCTTTTGTGATAGTGAAAGTCAGAGTGTTGGATTTATATTTGAAAGTCAGTGTGCGATTGAAGGTCTCAGCTTTGGCTGATAGTGTGAAAAAGACAAAGTGACAGAGTTATTCTGAATGAAATTGTATCAGTGAAGGCAGTGGATAGCATTTACTCACATGTATATTGTGTGCCGGACACTGGCTTACTGAGGAACGTCCCGTTCCCTGCCTGGGCGTATACTGTCACATTATATTGTGCAGCTGATTTGAGGTTAGAAATAGTGCTTTGGGTCTGGCTGTTCACCAGGATGCTTGTAGTTGTGTTAATTGAGCTGATATTCAGCATGTAAGACTCAACATTTCCATCAGGATGATTCCAGCTGGCTGTGATGGCAGTTTCGTTGCTGTTCAAGGTCAATGCGGAAATGGGGTTTGGATCTGTAAACAAAAACACAGTTGTTGAACGTTCTGCATCACCAGGACGCTGGAAGTGCATTTCTGAAGCTGATTTTGTGTTTTGAGTCACCTGTGGTGATCTAAAGCCGGAATACTGATATCTCAATAAGTATGAAGTTGGGTACAGCAAAGAATGCTATGTTATTATGCATATCAATGTCATTATAATGGATATCTTTCAATTTATCTTTGTTGATTATCTTTCAGTTAACATCTCAAGCTTTCGATTGAATAATCAATATGGAAATCTTTGTCAACATACAAATGCCTATGTCAGTTACTATATGTTCTCAAGGAAACCTTATGTTAAAGTTTCTCTGTTCCATTAACCTTGTATTAGTTCTACTTTCCTGTCTGTTCTTATATGCATTGTTCCTGTCAAATAAACACACAGCTGTAAAAACAATGTAACTTACTGGTATATGTCGTGATTGTGACATTCTCCCCTTTCAGTGAAGGATCCGGCACCAAGGAAACCACGCTCAATTGATACTTTGTGCCCGAGGTAAGATTATTCAGTGTCACAGTGGTGTTACTGGTGCTTAAGTTGCTCAGGTTTGAGCCCACCTGAGCAAATTCGACCAAAAATCCTGAGCTATTCCCTTCTGGCCTGTCCCACATCAGCCCGATCGATGTTTCGTTATTAAAAGTCACATTTAGGTTTTTCACATTACTGGGTCCTGGAACAAAGCAGTTAAACCAGATTTAAAAAGATGCAAATCTCATATTTTTGGTTAAAACTATGTGAAGTATTACCACTCTCAGTTGACTTCACTTACTAGTGTAGGTTGAAAAGTTTTCTGGGTCCCCCTCAATGGACTTGTCCAGCACTTCAGAATAAACTGCAAATTCATAAAAGCCACCGGGCAGGAGGCCAGTGATCCAACAGCTTTCGTTAGTTGTGCTATTGACGATAGAGTTGTTGACCACTCTTACAGTGTAGGAGCTATGACCACCTACTGGACTGTTCCAGAAGAGAAGGACAGACCTTGTTTGGACTTCTTGAACATCTAGACCAAGAACCTGATCAGGTTCTTGCAGAGAGGAGGACATACAGCATCACCATTAATACCAGGATCTCCTAATGTAGTAAATCATGAGACATGCCGCATTCCATTCCCATGCAGAATGCTTACTCACTGGTGTAGAAGGAAATGTTTTCCGGATTCAGGTCCCTACTACATTTCACGGGGAAGACCTGGACATTGTAGAGCATGCCTGGGGTGAGGTTGCTAAGAGGCATATCCAGGGAGGTTGTGTGATATGAGATAGTAGAGTCATATGACAAATTTTGGAAAGTCCCATTGATTTCCACCCTATAGTTGGTAATGTTTCCAGGTCCAGCCATCCAGCGCAGATCTGAGCTGTTCAGGGTCACATTAGAGATTGTTGCCTGCCCATAGAAGCGGTCTGTCGATGGATGAATATTTTGGAGAGATGGTGAAGTTGACAGGAGAGTATTAAAGGATATTGTGGAAAAAATGCAAAGTGTTCCGATAAATTAATGAAATGATTACTTAAAGGACACTTCAGTAGAATCTTAACAATTAATAACAAGTGTGGAAGTATAAATAGTAGGGGTGTAACGGTACACGAAAATTACGTTTCGGTATGTACCTCGGTTTTGAAGTCACAGTTTGGTACGTTTTCGGTACAGTGGGGGTCAAAGAAACAAAACATAAATTGCTTCTTTTTTTCTTTGTTAAATTGTGGTTTACTGGTTTAATTCTTAAATAAAAGGTCTCTGTCAATGCTGCTGCAACTTACTAATAAACAACTAAAATTTAAATGTAAATGTAATTCAAAATAAATATTCTCTCAAGTAAATAAAAATAAAATAAAATCCATTAAGGTGCACGTTTAGAAAATTAACTGTACCTGATCTGTACTGTGTTCACATTAGCAGCTTTCAGCTTCATATTAGAACTGTGCAACACAAATATTGTCTCAAAATATCAAAGCATAACAAAATAAATATCCATTACGGTGCAGCATTAAAAAAAAAACCCTGTGCTGTACTGTATTCACATTAACAGCTTCCAGCTTCACATTAGGACGTACGCTCGCATGCGTAGTGGTGCGGCTTCATCCGCCCCTTTCCGAATACCGCTTGGCGGAAACACACAAAGTTTCCGTATTTGTAGCATTTGTTTGGTACATATCCATACCGAACTGAAAGACCTGTACCAAATGGGTGGATGGAAGTATCAGTAGGAAATTTATTGGCAAAACTTACTATGCAAAATTCAATCAAAATGAAAGTAAAGTACTTTGCAAAAGTCTTACGCAGTCTAAGAAATTATGTTTAAATTATCTTCATGTTGGTGTAAAACTATGATGTCTGTCAAAGTGTGTCAGCTTAGCCTTTTCAAAGCCTCCCCTAAAGTCACCCCAGTATTTGCAGCAACCATCCACCGCACTTACTGCCTCGGCCACTAGCACGCCTCCTATGGCTAATTAATACCTCACTGACGTTTTGAAGTGAGCTGGTGCTGAAATTTAACAAATACATGGAATGGTCCAGGTGCCCCTGAAGAAAGGTTTGGGAACTGAAGTGATGCTCATCTTACCATACAATAAGATATCTGTAACTTTTTGGAGAATAGTACAAATTCTTGTTAGTTTTTGTTGTGTTGTGTCATAATTTGTATATGTTATAATCAGGGCTTTCAAGTTTCATCAAAAGTTTGGAGTGAGATTGCATCTTTTAGAGGTGGGGTATGTGTCTCACAGTCAATGCGTGAGGCTTGAGAGCCCAGTCTACCGAATTCATTGGATCTTGCTCTTCCACTTCCACCTTGTGTGCACTCCGTGTGCGTGCGCATCCATGTATTAACGCACTTGCAGTGGGATTACATGACATGTAACTTATTTTGGAATTAACCCAGAAACAACAAATGCTACTTCCTGATTGGCTGGCAGGTGGCTATTAGTTCTGTATGACTCGGGACAGCTATTAACTCTGTGGAAAACTCCACTCCGTTTGCCTACGCATTGTCCATTAATTCTATACTGTATAAGGGGACACCTTGGTGGCCGTTATCCTTTACTTCTCAGCGTGAGAAACACAAGGTTTGGCGTCTGAGTATGTGAGCTGATTAAAATGCGTGTCTCACGGTCCATGCATGCGACCTGAGAGCCAAAGTTATAACATTAAATTGTGATTTTTGTTCTGATCAAATATATACTTATTACCCAGATAAATAGCATTAAATATTTCCTTTGGCTGCCTAAGACTTTTGCACAGTACTGTATATCCCTTACCTTCATAACAGATATAGGGTTTCAGTTCAGAGCAATTTTGGTCCTGCCACATCCCAAAGCTCATCACAGATACACAGGTGTCTTCAATGACGGGCACCTCCTGGGTGATTGGAGGAGGTGCCTCTGATTCTTCTTTATAAACATAAAACTTTGTATAGTTGGTGTAGTTTCTGCACACATCCTCAATTTCTATGTAACAGGAATTGTTGGGTACTTCTGGCGGAAAGTGGGTCTGATTGATCACAACCTGCTTGGTCTTTGGGGGTGTGGGCCAGCCCGGGTACCAGTTTTGAAACGTCACAGGGTCACCATTGGACCACAAGGACCAGCTCATCGTGCCGCTCAGGTTCTTGCGCAGACCGACCCAATAGGATCCATTGAGGCAGCTGGCTATTAGTGGCATGTTTTCGGCTGTCAGGCTCGCCAACTCCTTGAAGCACAGCTGACAGTATTTTCTGGCATCATCCCAGTCGGACGCAGTGCCTTGTGGGTAGTACTGTCGCTCTGCCCAGCAACCCATATACACTGGATTGAAAGTCCACAAATTGGGACAGAAACAGTAGTGTTACCATCTGAGGGGTGGGGGGGTCGACTGCTGTCAGAAGTCTTGGGGGGTTCCCTGGTGGGTAGAAGCTATGGGGCACCGTTTGTAAAATTGCACTAAATGTTGAAAAAGTGGCAAGTACAAAAATGTTTCGTAACTTTACAAACGGCGCCCCATAAAAATCTGACAGTAAAAGTTATTAATTGGTTGGATGGGGAGGGGGGGTGATTATATAAAATCACTAATGATTGGTTAAATTTGTTCAGTCCCTGGTGAATGGGAAGATGATTGGCTGGCCAGATGATCCAGTGCCCTGCCCCTGTGCACCTGTAGCCCCTGGAGGAAGCAGGCCTTAGGATGCAGCCTAGTGCTTTAGGCTTCAGGACAGGGAGGAGCATGGTTTAATAATTGACACAGGAGAGAATTCATGTAAATTCAGAGTTTCTGACATAGATTAATCCTATATATCTGGTTTGTGTTGTGAAACAACAGGGGTTAGTTCTCCTTATTGTCAGTTCTCCACTCAGGCATTTTTACCACATTTTTAAGGACTTACCCACAAGTAGCACAAGTCCTATTTTGTACATCTTCAACTCATGCACAGAAGTTTCTATGTAAAAACAGACAAAGACATCAAACTGAAAAATACATAAATACATTAAGCACATGGGGCTCCAGCATTGATGCGGTTTAACCCCCAGCTCATTCTCTTTGTATTCTTTGAAGTTTTCTGAAGCCGCACTGGTTTCCCCCACTGGACACAATCCAAGTGAACCAGTGACACTAAGACGGGGAGCCCATGCAGGATTTATGCTGCCTCACAGCATTGACTTCCTAGGATTACTGTACTTATTTGGATAAAGTGACTACAAACAAATGGATGCACACACATACACACACACACACACACACACACAAAAAAATACCCATTATTGTGTTTATAGAACAGACACCCATTGAGAGAAGGTAATACAGGTGAACGATAATAGAAAAAAAACATGTGGCATAGCCTGGCTTTAAAACCTGCTAACTGCAGACGTGTGCAGGAAGTATGATTTTATTGAATTGAATACAAAGGGTCTACAGGCGTACGTGCAAAATATTTTATAATAACAGGCCAAATCAGTGTTGTATATATTTTTCATTTTGCCAAAAGTAGTCCGCCTACTACTTTGGGGTCCCCATGAATTATTAATCATTATTAGTAATAAAAATTGAAATAGATAATACTCGTAATAACTTTTTGCTTAGCATCTTTTTCAAAACATCCTATTTCATTGGGCTTAATTAAACCGTTAGGAAGTCCTCACAATGATGTCACAATACAATAGCCCTGTTAAAGCACTGAGCTAAGTAGATGTGTGGTAATAAAAATCTTTGTGGCTTCAGATAATTCACTGGTCCTGTTAGTCACACTTAATATGTATCAGTTTTGTGATTATTTGCACCTTGACCTTGCAGGCATATTAGTTATTGAACATCGAGTCATGGATGAATGGAAATTTGATATGTGCTTAGAAGTTTCAAATAAGCTTTAGAAATCACAATTTAGTCATTTCAGAATCAATGCTACTGAGTATGTGAATGCTTTGTCATTAAGCATTACAAAATTTTAGAAAATGATTAGCCTGTTTACAACCTGTGCAACAGGTTCACTGTGCCTTTTGTTTTCCAGAACTAAGAAATCTAACTGTACATAAAACATCGACATTGGTTTAAAAATAGTCACAGCTGCAAAACGTAGCAAAACTATAAACCAGGGATAAAAAAAATAATAAAATATTTGCTTGGTTGGGAAGAGAAATGAGGGTAACACTTTACTTGAGGGGGGAACAAGAAATTTAGTAACCCAGTTGCTACTCAAGTATAAATCAACAAATATAGTAACTGAATGAAATACATTAATTAATGATGAACGAACATGGGATCAGTACATAACTAACATTTAATTTCTGGTTAATTAATACATTAAGTAAGAGTGTACTATTACATTATTTGTGCCCCCTCGAGTTAGAGAAATGAGAAATAATTGAAAAATTTACCTAGTGTGGATGAGACGAGTGTCTTCATAGATCCCATTTTGCATCCTCTGACAGTCTTTTCACAGTTACGAGGAAAGAAATTTAGTTCGGCTTGCGTGAACAGACCTCCTATGATCTAGGTGGACATTATCTTTGTTATTTCTATGCAAACACACCCTACAGTTTTTTTATGGGGAAATATTCGTCTATTTGCATGTATGCACACGGCCACATCAATTTTACTGTGCATGTAAATATCCTTTCATCTTGCAAACTGCACGAAACAAGGTGGACATGCAAGCAAGGCACATGCAAAGTGATGGGGGAGAGGAATGTACAGTCCTGCAAGAGAGACTCCGTGGGGCCATCCATTCAGTCACTGAGGCATGGGCAATTTGCTTTTTGTTCCTATTTGATCCAATAACAAGGCTGATAATGCAGAATTCGATACTGATATTCGGTGTGGGCCCAACCCTGACGGTAAAATGTATTGCCGGATAAATTATTCCATTTCCCTGGTCACTAGTGTCTAGGACCGTGAAAGTCTGCTCCCCTCTTATGGGAAGTAGTTTTTCATATCCTGCTCTCAGGGGCGGATTAACGCACAGGCTAGATATGGCCTAAGCCTAGGGGCCCCACGTGTGCCAGCCTGCAAGGGGGCCCCCATTGGCGCGGAGGGGGGTGGGGTTGGGGGGTCCACAGACTTCTGTAGCCTAGGGGCCTCTGTGCACCTTAATCCGCCCCTGCCTGCTCTATATATAACAGTATTAACATTTAAATTACCAGGTAGAAAGACGTTATTTTAACATTAGAATCAATTCTCAAAATAGAATCATTATTTCACTATCGATCTACACCTCCTTATATTTCAGGCAGACCTACATATGTGCGTACATTTTCCATCCAAAAAGGGGGTGCTTCGAGTGACACTAGTCTGTCTCAGATTTAATTTAATTTTAGTATAAAAAAATGTCTAAATGTCAGCTATTTAAAAAGCATATTTCATACTTGCTAATATCTGGTGTTAGAGGTGTCAGAGATCTTTGCTCCTCCCTCCCAGCATATTTTTACCAAGTTCCCCTTTTGATAACAGAATTCACAACAATTTACAGAGACCCCCATCTCTGTCCCTGTCCCCTGTTTACAAAACTCCCAGGACTCCATTTGCATTTTGGTATGCAAACTAATGAAACTGGCTCCCCATGTGTTGTGGAGCACACAGCTCTGTAATACGGATATAATAAAATGCAAAACTAAAACATCAGTTTCACTGTTTATGCTATGCAAAAGCTTTGGCTGCAAAAGTCCTATTAAAGGACTATTAAATGGCAGGATTTAGGATTCAGGTTTCAGGCAGGCAAACATGTAAGGATGTTTAATTTATGTTTATGGGCTAAATGTAAAGGCATGGTTGATATCTTAACATAATTGGCAATTTATCTGTATGTGCATACTTACTGAGATACTTTGAGGGAAGGGTTTAAATCAACCAGCTTAACATAGTTTAAGTAAGTACTTTAATTCACTTGCAAGACACCTGTAAGTGTCTAGTGACCAGAGGAGAGCGGAACAACTCTGAGGTTTGACCCTTAGTTCACTCACTTGGTTAGAAGTTTTTATGTAGTTCCTGCTCCAATACCGCTTGTACTTGTAGCTGAGGAGTCATTGGAAGCTCAGCATAGCTACACTTACGTCTTGTCGACTCCTTGGCATGTTGCTATGGACAAAACCGGCTGCTCGATATGTAAATGTAGATGTGGCTAACCTGCAGACCCCTGGCCTCCGTTTCATAGTGTATGAAACATCACCCAAAAAAACTGGCCCAAGACAAATAGTACCGAAATCTATCTCCAGTCCAACCCAGCGTCCAGCAGACACCAAACTAAAGACAATAATCTGCATACACCAGCAGACTGTCACAGCTGGGGTAAGCACAGCCCAGGGACACAGAACAAATTACACAGTGTACACATCACATGACTGCTACACACTTTATATGCTTATAATGTCAGGGCAACCCAAACCACTGCTGGGCCAAAGCCACACCCCCCTTCAGCTTTCCCTCCATGTTTATCCTGCCTGTAGTTGGTGATGAATCCCACAAGACGTACACACATACACACACAGGTTTGTAATTATGCATTTGTGGGGACTCTCCATTCATTTGTATGGGGAAAACTCTAATCCCAGCATGACAAGTTTGACAACCTTAACCCCTACCCAAGCTTAATCTTAACCATAAGTAACCAAACTAAGTATGAGACTTTTGGTATTTTTAGTTGTTTTTTTTTATGCCCAAGCACCACCCCCCTCATCGGAGGACAACTTTTTTTTAATTAGCTGAACAACAGATCAATGCATTAAGTGAAGCCCACCCCTACCCTGGCATTTTTGTTTTTTTGGTTGCATTCACAGAGCCTTGTGGGGACCATGTTAAAAAAACAGGTTTTTATCACCATGTGGGGGACATTTGGTCCCCACAATATAATATAAACCTAATCCACACACACCCCTGCATACATATGCACACACATACACATACAATGTGTTCTTTCCCATTCCTGTTTCCAATGGCAGAGTGGTTTAAGGCTCCAGTCCCTTTGGAGGTGTGAGTTTGAATCCCACTGTTGCCAAGGGTCTTGGAGTTGGCATATGACTCAGTGGGCTAAGCCTCTGTGATTAGAAGGTTACCAGTCTGAGCCTGGCCTTGGTATGTCTGTGGCCCCTGGAGCGAGGCCCCCGGCCCCCTGGGTGCTGCCCTTCATGGCCACCTACAGAGAGCAAGTCGGGGGAGGGGTAAAGTGAATTACCCCACACTGACCAACAAAGTATCAGTCGTTGTTGTTATTATTATTAGGTGAATCAGTGTCTCCAAACTGCCCCTGCCATGGGTTTGTTTGACATCAAGCAAATACTTTTATCGTTTATAAAAACCCTCTTGCTTCACACATTGCATGTGCCAGCCTTCGACAGTTCAGAGCTTTGTCTAAAATTAAGATTATAACAGATGCACAAAAAACAAGACAAGACCTCTGAGTTTATTTGTGAATTTTTTTTAATAGAAAAATATGCAGAAAGTGTACATTTCAGAAGTGAAACTAATATAGGAAGAAAAGGCAGAAATGAGGAGAGAAACCAGTCTTCTGTTTAGAAATACAGGCTTTAGCTGCTAGGTTGCGACAGGTTATAGACTTTTTAAGCCTTATTTTAATAGCATGTAAAATGCATACATGCTTTTTTATGTTTAAAACTGGCAGGAAAAAAAAACTATCTGCAACCCCTCGTACAGTAAACATATGCACTGAAATGAACAGAGTTTTACATAATGGTAAACAAATTACAGCAGCCTGTGTTACTAAAAAGTGTTATAAACATAGCTTTATTAATAAAATAGTGTATACAGACAGTCCACGGGTTATGAACTTCCAGCTTAATTTAGGAAGTTCCAGCCTCATTTACTAAAGGGACCCTATAGTGTTTCCCTGTGTTGTATAGGGTTGTAGTATTATACGATATGTAGCTATTTTTATTATTACTGTATTAATATTCAAACTCACCTACTGACCTAAAGACAGACTTATGCTGGCCTTACACCTAATGCTTTTTCGGGCGATTAACCTGTCACAGACATATTTCCAATGTCAAGATAAAATCGCGAGCTTTGTTAGAGCTGTCGTGTGCTTGGTGTAAAATGGTCGATAGCCATCTTTTTCTGGTCTTGATGTTATGATAAGGTCAGCCATGTTTAACACTATTATAGGTGATTAGTCTCGGCTCATTCTAGCGTGGACATCGAGCAGCAATAGATGAGCCTTCTCCAGCATCAGAGAGACCTTGTGAAAGCACCAGTCTTTGCAGAACTGTAGTCTTTAACTAAATGACACACTGTCTTTAGATGTGACAGGGTGTTTTTCAGTCTTCTAGTGTATGGTTAGGGTTAGGGCAAGATCTTGTTTGTAACCTGGGGACTGCCTGTATTCCCCTTTAATAGTTTTATTGGTGAAGACTGATGTTTATTAAATACAATGTGCATTTAAATTGCTCAAGGGAATTACAGAAAATTCAATCAACACCTGTCAGTTTTACTCTGAATTCATATAGCAAAAAAATAGCAGAATAGCAAAGCAAAAAGAAACATAGCAGTGCTGGAAAGCTGAGCAGCACAACCTGCAGGATGAGAGGATTGAAATCCCTCCCAGATACAGCATCTCAGAACTGCTCTCCACCCTCACAAGGAGTATCTTCCCTATTTTCTGGTCCAATGCTTGTTGTTCTGGTTTGGCTGGTTCTTTGGAAGCTGATGAAAACAGCAGCGCGATCAAAACAACTTCGCCAGCAGCCACACAGACAGGAAGAACTCGCTTTAGACCCTGAAGGCAACTCACATCGTCCGCAGGTACTTGTCCCGATCCGCTGGGGGCAACAGGTCCATTAGAGTAAGAGCGTCATTGATTTTCTTCATCATTGCAAATCGCTCTTTCCCATGTACCTGGGGGTGCACCAATAAGACCAGCATAGATACACACACATACACCCTCACAAAAGGAAGGTAACAATATGAGATAAGATACAATTAGTATCGGTGGCATATTTACATATGCCTGTGTACTTCAGCTCACCTCCAGCAGAAAGACCTCTTCACTGCTGGCGTGCTTCACCTGCTTGCAGGTCTTCTCCTGAGAGGCTGGATCGGACACCTCTTTGATACCTACCAAAGAGCGCAAGGAAGTAAGTCCAATTTAAATTCCCTGCAGCCCAAACCCTCGGAGACAAGCAGTCAGACTGCGCTCTTACGACGCTTGGCCTTGGGGGCGGTCTTGACCTCGGGCTTCTCATTCATCTTCCGAAGCTTGTCCTCCTCGGACTTCCTATCCCGGCCGGGACAGGCGCACACTCGCACCTCGAAGCACTGACGGCCCAGGAGCTGGCCACTTCAAGAGAGGTGCGAGAACGTCAGACGTCGACGGATACGTGTATTTGGAAAACTGGTCTTACAGGAGAGAACAGGTGGATTGCCAGACACAGAACTAAACAGAGGGGCGCGTGGACGCAGGGGGCATGGGGGCATGGGGGCAGACTCACTTCGGCGTCTCCAGCGTGATGATAGTCAGGATGGGCCTCCGGTTCATGCCGCCCTTGCAGCTGCTGTTGCACATGTAGCTGTAGAGCACCGTGGTCCCGTCTGAGCCAGGCTGCACACACACCGAAGGGGTTGGGGCTCTTTTTGTCACTCATTGCTCCCCCAAGCAAAAGGAACCATCGGGCACAAAGGGGTAGGCCTATACATTTCTTAGTATATTTACATATCAGATACGTTTATTCAAAGTGACAAATAAGTCAGAACGCAGGGTCAGCCAGTGTAACTTATGGTTAAGGGCCTTGCTTAAGGGCCCAGTGGTGAAGTCACTTTGGAGAACCGAAGACTTTCTGATCACGGGGACATCGCCATGACCCATGGAGCAACACACCTGTGGGTGCTCATACGGCACCACGACACTCTTCATGTTCCCATCCTCCACGTAGCGAGCTTGCAGGCAGCCTCCCACGCGAATCAGGTGACTGCGGGGGGTGGAGTCTAGGGGAAGAAGGAAGTGTCTTGGTCAGAATTTAATTTCAGCTGGAGCCCATCCCCTCCTGGCGAATCAGGGACCGGGGTTCTCACCGTCGTTGTTCTCATTGGTCTGCTCATGGTGGGGACAACGACGCACCACTAGACCCCTGTGCTCCGGGCTCTTGTAGACAGCTGTTGCACGCAGGATGGTACCCTGTGGTGGAGGATGATCCAACTGGACTTCCACAGGGCATAGCTTGCCAATTTGGCAGAACAACTTCTTCAAATCCAAGGAGTACTGGGGTCAGGAGGGCAGAATGGCATTAAACAAAAAAATACATCAAACCTTGTTCTTCCTCTCAGTCAAAACCTGTATTTACTCCATCCTCAGACAATGAACATACATCTGAGAACAAGCTTCAAAAATCAAAACATTAAAAGCATCACACAAAGCTGTAGTTTTATATTACAGGAACATCCCTGTCTAATCAAAGCTGGTCCACAAACATTCATGGTAGACCACAGGTATCACGCAAATAGCAATAAAGCATTTCATTAAACAATACCTAACTATGCAATAAAAAGAGGGATTATAAAAACAAATTTATAAATGAAATATTAATAAAATAGTTCATAGTAAAAAGATTTACAAAAATATAAAAATGCCCCATTTCACAAAAATACACAACACATCATAAAAACAGCAATGAATTTGTAAATTAATAATGGAATTTCAAAATATACTTCAAAAGGCAATTTAAAGAGAAAAATAAATAATTGAATTCACAAACAATTAAGAAAATAGTGATTTTGAATTTGGCATTTAAGAGGCCACCTTTCCATTTGCATTTCCATTTTCCAGCTGCTTTTCCTTTTCAGTATTCAATTTGCTTAATCACGTCTCCTTTAGCCTATTTGATTTGCTTAATCATTTAGCTTCTCCATTTAGCCTTTCTGTGACACTTTGGGCCTTGTGCTGGTAAATCAAGGCCAAATAATGCAAATTAGCCATGGGATACAACAAGCTCTCTGACTGGTTAGAGAACAGCACTCTCTCATACCCTATAGATACAGATCTGGTGCCTGTTTGAAGATACCCCCACATAGGTTTCAGATTTTAACCATACTGCTCTTAATCAATTGTGCTACATTTATACAGGTTTGTGTCATTGAACTTTTCATTTGTGCTGATTTAGTTTCTGAGATATACATGGTTTTTTTTTTACATGGTGATGTCACCACCATATGTCCAATTTGGGCCAAACCACTGTCAATCGCTTGTGCCACGTTAGTGTTTCTTTTCCTATCATTTCTGAGTCAAACCACTTAGTTTATGTCTTACTTGTTGTACATAACTATTAAATAAAAGTGTTCATTAATGAAAGATTTTAGTCTCCTGATCCATACAAGCTGAAGCACCATTTATCCAGTCACAATTGAGTCTTGTTGAGGTGGCGACCAATATAATTTCAGGTAATAAATACCTTAGCTAGTGCACCAATCAGTGGCCACTACATTACAAAAGTGGTCATTAGGATAACGAAGGCAGATAAACAAACATTCCATTGAGATATGAACAGCTCAAGCAAAAATCTAAAGTAACAAGTAGACAGGATATAAACAATGTAGCCAAAAATGATTTGTACATTGTGAAAAAATGGTCAAAAATGGAAGTGATACTGAGGATATTGAGCACACTTTAAAAACTATCTAAAATGTTAAAATTATGTGTGTGTTATGTGAAGAAACAAGACAAACTTTTATTCAAAACATTTTCTGCAAATTGTTTTCAAATGATGTAATTTCATCATCATCCATTTTTCCCCACATTGTACAAATAAGTAATACTGTGTAGCCAAAAAGTCATGGTCATTTCTGTTTATGTTAATTATTCAGGAAAGTGTGCCCCCTCAAAATGAAACATGTTCAACAAAAATATTAACAACAATAAAATGATATAATTAAAATACAAATGGGTAATATTTGCTGAGAATCTGAATTTATGAAAGAGTGCAGCTCTCTAACCAATCAGAGACCTTGTTGCATCCTATGACTAATTAGCTTCATTTGGCTCAAAATGTCACAGAAAGGCTAAATGGATAAGCTAAAAGGAGAAGATACGTGATTAAGCAAACTGAATAGCTAATACGAAGAGGAAACGCAGCTGGGAAATGGGAATGCAAGTGGAAGTTAAAATGCCAGAGTAAAATCACTATTTTTAATTCAATTTGTAAATTCAGTTATTTCTCTTTTTAAACTGCATTTGAGTACATTTTAAAATTCCATTATTAATGCATGAATTGATTAGTGTCTTTTTTAATGGTGTATTTATTGAGTGTTTTATGTTGTTTTTTGAAATCTTTCTCAGTTTTAACTATTTATTGAATATTTATTGGTATTTCATTTATAAATTCTTTATAATGCCTCTCTTTATCCCACAGCTAGTTATTGATTAATGAAATGCTTAATTCCTATTTCTGTGACACCTTCAGCAAAGTCTTACATTCAGACATTAAAACGGTCAGTGCAACTAAACAAATGTTTGTCATTACATATTTATATTCAAATCTTTTCCATTTAGTAGTTACACAGACAAGGACAACGTCAAAAAAATCATATGCCGAAAATGTATTATTATTAAAGTTCTGTTTGAGAAATCTTTTGATGAATATATTTGTGGCAGCTTTTAAATTATTATTATTACTTTGTTTTATTTTATGGTAATTTTTCGTACTGCAACAATGTATATTGTGCTTGAAAGCTGCCTTTAAATAAAATGTATTATTATTATTATTATTATTTTCTAGAGCAGAGGTTCTCAGCTACTTTTCCCAGAGAGCCAACTACCTTGTCCAAGAAAAAAAACAATGGCAACTGGGAAGAGGCTCTGCTACTGATGAGACGGGGGAGAAGGATGCAGTTAGGATTCAACTGTGTTTCTGTCTGGATGCAGACCACTGCCCGCCGGTTGGTGTGCCCACTGTTCTAGAGTGTCAAGTTCTGTCTAGTGTTATGGCTGCCATCTCACACATCATGCAGACCTGCCTCTGATATTTAATAGCTCTAGAGGGTGATAACCCAGGACTCACCGTGAACGTAACACTCTTGGCCACACCAGATGCTGGGAAGCAGAGCTGAAAACCAAGCTCCCCCGAGAAGGCAGTGGTCGAGAGCAGGGAGGTGGAGCTGGGCTCATGGCGTGGTTCAGTCACTGGAGGTAGGATGGAGGAGGGAGGCAAGCTCTGCGGGTAGGATTACATTAAGCATCATGCTATTAAAGGCAGAGTACATTATACAATACTAATTTCACATCTTAAAGTAATATAGCAGCATTCTTATTGGAGAGAGCTGAAGTGCAGGAAGTCAGTTCTGCATCAGTGCACAGCTTGTCTAATAAGCCTGACCCCAACTTGCCTTTATCAAAACACAAAACTCCATCGATTCATGTGGATGACGTCACCACACAGTGAAGGACACACAGTCACCTCCTCAGTACCAAGCTACTGTCTATGAACCATTTAATTTCCTGTCTTGTGTCGGGTCCATAATAAATGCAAGAACAGCAAGAGTATTTTTTCTGTGGAAAAAAAAAATTCTGTGGAAAACTTACATTTTCGCCATTTCCACTGCTGCCAGGGGAAGAATAATCATCAAGTGGAGGTACAGTTCTGTAAAATAGGCGGTAGAGCAAAGAAAACCCCAGTGAGAAGACCTCAAGCAAGAAAAAAAACTTAAAAAAACCATACTGAAACCAGATCGTGCTACAACTGAAGAGTAGCACCCCAGCAATGATTTTCCAAACCTGGGTCCTATAAGCACAGAGGTGTCAAACTGCAGTCCTGGGGGGGCCGGAGTCCTGTGTAGCTTAGTTCTGTTCCCTGTTCGACCACAAACAATTCAGCTCAAGAGCTGTACGTTAATTAGTACAAGGAAGTGCAAGGAGTTGAATCAGGAGCATTAAATGAGGGGAAACCCAAAAATGTGCAGGGCTTTGGGCCTCCAGGCCTGGAGTTTGACACCCTTGTATAAGCATATCAGACAATGCCCCCTAATGGTTAGTCAACAGTAGCACCTCAGCACCCATACAACATTACTGGATTTCACTAGCAGAAAAATGACCCTATTGGTGAACTGATAACACCTGACCAACACTGGGCCCTGCATTCAAAGTAGAACAAGGTCGCACATTGGCAAGTCCCTAGTGGTGAGAACATACATCAGGTTCCACAGCTCCTGAAAGGTCTCCTGGCTCAGCGGTAGGGCCTCTGAATCCTGCTCAGCCATTGAAGAGCTACAGAACAGGACAGCAGCATAGGGCCAGTCAGAAATGCAAGAGGAGGCACAGAGCAATACCTTTCTAAATAGTGATGAAGGACCTGGAGCAAGAACCAAAATAAAAATACTAATTAAAAAAAATAAGACTGCAGGTTTAATCACTGGGACCAAGATGATGCCACCTTGATGAAGCAAATTAACAGCTTTAGCTACTGTTGCATGTGGGTTAACATACAAATCTACTGACCTTTTGGAATAGAATAAGGCTGGATTTCAAATAATAAAAGAGAAACAGATCTGCCACCCATCCCTTATAATACAGCATCATCCCATATAATACAGGATGCCACATTTTTTCCAATACTGTGGGACCTTGTTCTTGATTACATAATACATAACAGGGCTATCAAGTCTCACGCACTGGCCGTGAGACACACAAAGTTAAACCAATTCACACGCCTCACTTTGTCTTTCTCACGCTGTGACGTGACGGATAACGCCCACCAAGGTGTCCCCTTATATAGAATTAATGGCAAGGCCCTTAAGCCCCAGCTCCCTGGGCGCTACTACAGGTGGCAGCCCTTCGCGGACAGCTTACTCTGCAAAGAGCAAGCTGAGGGAGGCGTAAAAACAATTTCCCTACGGAGGCAATAAAGTATCGATTATTAATTATTTTCCGCGGAGTTCACAGCCAGCCAAACAGAAAATAGCATCTCTTGTTTCCGGGTAAATTCCAAAATATGTTACATGTGATCCCGCTGCAAGCACGTTATTACATGGATGCGCTCACAGATGGATAGCGGAAAAGGTGGAAGTGTAAGAGCAAGATCCGATGATTGCGGTAAGCAGGGCTCACAAGTCTCAGGCATTGACCGTGAGACACTCGTTTCGCCCCTAATGTAATCTCACTCCAAATTTTTGATTAAATTTGGGAGCCTTGTATACAACCTTTACCATTTTGCTAAATCTTAATTTGTAAAAAAAAACGGGCAAATCTAGATTAAAAACATTAGTAAACAGATTAGTAAAAAAATACATTGCAATGCACTTACTACTTGAAGTGACAGCATTATTTCTTAACCGACAATTACATGCATAATTATTCCTTGCAGTTTTCTTTATCATGACTAATTACATCAATCCGTATTTTTAACTGCGGGGAAAAAATAAACATTCAGAATAAAAAGTGTGAATGACTGATCTGGTACCAAGCATAGAAAACAGAGGACTTTATGCTACGTATTTTTACATCCTATGGTGGGTATATAAGATATTGCGCGGACAACAAGGCTTTAATGTACACATCGCACTCATTACTTGGCAAATTGCACGAGTACTGGCTATTAGCAACTTACATGCAAAAGCATGGCGAAATATGCACAACTGCCTCTTCTTCCGACTTTGTCTCGCCGTACAAGCAGCGTAATATTATGTCTGTCTTATTCTGCTTGTATTATTCTGAACTAAATGACACAGCTCTGCGCATTATTTTAATATTTTAACATGCTTTAAGAGAGCAGTCCCGGCCCCGGATCTTGACAAATAGCAGCGGGCGCACCACGCAGGGTTCAAGGGTGAAGAGTCACATGACTAATTCAGCTACCAACCAAGAGCCGGAAAAGCGCGCGGTCGATTTTGAACAAAAGGGCGCGTAGCGCAACCGAAACGTCACGTCACTGAGCTCGCAGTTACTAGGAAGTTGACCACGTGTTCGTAGTGTGTAAAAATGTGCGTAATTTAAGTACGATGAACAACGTCTTCATTTAATTTAGGATGCTAGAAACCAAGCCTCTGACCCGGAAAACGTCAACATTTTATGAATACGCATATGTATTATCAGTTTACTATAAGCACCAATAAATCATATGCGCATAAATATTTGTTGTCCACTACTTGAGTATATGTTTTAAAATATTTCTTTCTAGTTCTCGTTATTCGTTGTAAGAATACACTAAAGGGAGTTTTACTGTTCCCACGAGATTAATCACTTCAGATAAAACCACAATTCACAGCTTACAGGATACACAGTCATACCACACTTCATATTGACTGATTTTATGTACTTCTGCCGTGTGCTGCGGCAGTGTAACTATATCTGACAGTTTTATTTGACCTCGAAAGGCATTAGAATGTATGTTTTTGTTCTGGAAGGAGGGTTTCCAATCCTGAGTAGACATAGACTCCTCTGGGAAAGTCGAATGTAAAGTGTTGATAAATAGTGTAGTGAATTTACAAAATCAATTTAATCTCTATCACAGTATGATGTAGAAATCGTTTTATAATATACAAGTTACTGATTTAATAATTAAAGAAACCCTATCTCCGTTTAGTACCATACAGTTAGTATCAGACATTATGTTTTGACCGATTTTGGCCTGTGTATCTTGAGAAACAGCATACCAAGCATCTACATTTATTTTAACTTTACCATAGGTGCTACACATATAGACATTCAACAAACAAAGATTTTTCTTTCATACACTTTTTCTTTTTTCATTGTTTTATCCAGTAAATAAAATGATGCAGCATCGAGGATTTGCTGTCACCTACGTAGGCCTATGTGTCTGTGTGTTGTGGAGAGCAAGATGTGGGTAGGTGAAATGAGAATGTCCCCACGGGGATCAATAATGTCATAAAAAAAAAGAATGTGCATTCAGAGAATCAAATCACATGTTAATTTAAATGTTTCAGCATTCTGTTGCCTTCTACCAGACCTATTGTTAAACAAATACGGTCTTGTCTGTACAGTTATCATGACGTCTCAGATCTATAGATACCGGCCTGGGAATTTCATAAAAAGAGCAACTAAATGTGCAACTAAAGTAACCATTACTTGTGTAAATTATCACACCTACATCCCCAAATATCTTTAGGGTAGTATTAAATGCTGATGTGTGTAATTTACATATATGCCATGCTGGAATACAGGGTTGAAAGAAGAGAAAAGGATCACGGACATGGCGGGAGCGAGCTATTCAACCTCAGGTACAGAATTCAAGTGTAACGGAAACCTTCAAATACTAACCCAGCATTAACAAAAACCACAAGATGCCTAACTAACAATTTAACAGTGTGATATTTCAGAATATGACAGATACAACAACCTACTTTCACTGCAATGAATATCTGTAGGACTATAGCCAATATTTCCTGTAAGAGCAATATAAATGTTTCGTACCACGATATGTACATGAACAATGCATTTTAAATGTGGTATTTTTATTCAATGGACTTTCTAAAAATTCTTTATTTTAGGTGATGCATTCGAATAAATTAGATTCTTCTGTTATATTTTCAGTCTAAAGGAGTTCTGTTAAAATGAAGGGGAGTTAAATATTAGGCATATTAATAATATTAAATACTGAATACTACAGCCTTGGCTTTGTGTACATTTAAATATACTAATCTTCAGTATTTAGTTCAATTTGGGTAAAGTAATTTTACACGTTTTTTTGTCAAGTCAGAAGCACATAAGCAAGCCGACGCCATTGGCGGGAAAAAATTAAGCTAAGTAAACTACAAATGAAATTAATATAATATTAATATAACCTTATATACAATAATGCACACAATCAATTTACCAACATTGATATTAGGCACAAAACACAGTTAAATATAAAGGAGTATAGCATTTGTAGATTAATGGAGATGTTAATTCTTGTAAGCTAACTCGGTTTTGTGTGTAATGGCTTTTACTGCTTTTTCCTTTTAATACCCCTGAGATCTGTCCCAGAACGATTTTCCTCCTTTAGCCTTAAACGTATGTTAAAAGTGTATCAAAACGAGCAATAAAAATTATTATCCAAAACGATATTGAAATGATCTATTTTGAGTTTTAATTCTTGTTTTTGCTGTACATTTTTAAATATAGACAACTGTTGGTAAATTTCATGAAGTTTGAAGAGAAATTACAAAATAATTAAATGACAAAAAAATGCAAAAGTATCTTTTATATATTTATATGTGTGTGTGTTTTAATTTTTAAATATTTTTAATTTAATTTAAGAAGTAAAACCTCTGGGCACCCTGTCTGCAGAGGTTTCAAAATGGCGGCCTAATTTTTATGTCTTTTTCATGCCCTCAAACCACACATCTGAGCACTGCACAAGCAAATCTGAGCAAAAAAAAAAAAACGCTAAGGAATCAGCACGTTTTTGTGCATGGTGATGGTGAAAATCCCTTCGAAATTTATCATAGTTTTGCACTTCTGCACTTCAAAATCCACCCTCTCCTGATTCGCCTCTCAAGGCTGCAGGAGCACTTCAGTCATGTGGCGATTTTAGATTTTAGGAGTCGGTAAAAGTAATGAAAAGGGGCCTAAGTGCAATATAGCTATGTGCTAAACATGGCTTTAATATAGCATAAACAAGAAGCCAAAATAGTGCTTAACAGAGCAAGCAATGTATTTCCAATATGAGGTAACCAACCTTTCAGAGGTGATGCCTGGAATGTCAAAAAGTACTGTTGAATTTCCGATGGAATTGAACAGAAGGAACTCTTCTGGATCCATCGTAGGTATATGAAAGGTCGAAAAAGAGGTAAAGGGGCCGATTGCCCTTCTATTTAACTTAATAACCCGGAAGAGGAGGTAGTCATTACAAAGGGAGGCGGTGATAGCAAATGCGAAATAAGAGGTAGAAACCATTCATAACACAACATACACAAGCCTCATGGCACACCAGAGATATTGCGAAAAATCGGGGTGATTGAGTGAGGCTAAATGTGTCAATTTTGAAAGTTATGGTGCCTCGTACCCGCATTACAATGACTAAGGTTAGAACAGCATCAGCCAGTCACGTGTACAGGGTAAAAATGTGAGAGATGGAAAGCAGGAAGCGAGGCACACTACATCTTAATTAACGAACTAATATATTTATTCTGCAATGGAGAGTTTCATAAGGTCGCTTTGTTCACAAAATCGAAATAAGAGAAAAATGTTACACACCAACATTAAAGGAAAACAGTCAATATGGTCCTTTCGATTTCAGTGAAGATGTCTATTCTGCCAGCTGGTTTCAGTTGCTAAATGTCATACGATTAACAACAGAAAAAAATTATAATCCGGGATGATCTCATCTTGTTGTCTCTTGCCCCGACTGTTGTAGCCGATTTTAGTCTTTTTTTTCCGGCAGCATCACATAGTACTAAATGATTCAGTTTTTCTTATTGCTGAGCCTCTCTCGCACTCTCACTCTCTTCCTCTTTGATTCGGCTCAGTAAGCTCTGACACTGTGGCTCCACCCCCTGTTCTCATACTGTCATTGTAGGTTACATCGCTCTTAAACTGAGCTCCCGCTCTGTGCTCTCATCTCTGCCATGTCACAGTTGTCCTACACCATTCATGTTCTATTTTCAAATATTTTTTTCTATTATGCTTTTGCTTTTCTCACTTTCTATCTGTCTTTCATTTATGTTTCTGGCTCCCTAAGTCTTTTTAACTCATGTTTTGCCCTTCTCGCTGTTTCGGCCTACAGTCAAACTACCATCACTGCTGTCTTATTACACACATGCAGACACACAAACATCAAACACAGATGCTAAAAACACACGCCCATCCCTCTCGGAAATGATCCAATACAAGTAAAACAATGGACCAATTGTCCTGTTCATATACCGTAAAAATCAGGTGCAGATTTTTTTTCTTTTCTGCCTTCTAAACAGTGAGTCACAGATTTGTAATGACATCATTTGTGATTAAATTAGTGACTTTATGGAGACAATCGGTAAGCTCTCTTGCCAAGTTTCATGTGCAATTCTTAAACGGAGACAGGGCTGTGAGGACACACAAGTATTTGACGGATCAAAGACATGCACTTGTGAGAGAAATGGGATGATAAACACAGGAGATTTCTGGAAGCCAAACCTGTTTATGACACAATTGTCAAGTAAGTTCTCTGAGTAGAATTAAACTCTATTTGCTAATGTGAATTGTTTACTTTGTTTTACCTGTGGCCAAGCAGGTTAGACTCCTTAATTTATTTTTCATCTACTCCAGAACGGACAGAAAGGGAAACCATATGAACTCCCAAGGGGCTATGAGTCAGTATCACACACTGAACGACTGCTAACGGTACATATCAACTACAGCCAATCAGAGGTCTGTTGCCATGCACAATGTTTTGAGTTGAAATGTCAACCATTTTGCACACGGCCACATATTCCGCATGGGTACAGGCTTATTCATTTATTTACAACAGGCTTCCACTTTTCTGACAAAGTTTATCATTCAGTCATTGTTACAGGTGGCCTATCCTAGCATGAAATCGTGTGACTGTTACAAGTAATTGCCCCAAGTCTGAAGATTTCAGACAATTAAAAAAATTGTGCATGGATGGGCAGACTGTGTGGGATGGCGTGTAGCTTAGTGGGTTATGATGCTGTGCCTGTGATTGGAAGTTTGCCAGTTCAGGTAAGGTTGGCAGTGTGATTTAATCCAGTTTGCTCCAGGGTAGGGGCATATTCAGCACCTTTCTACTGGGGGCGGGATATCTAGGTCCAGTCACTTTATTGACAGAGCAGCTGCTAGCACCTGAGAACTACTGGAGGAATCCATGAACACAATCTGATCCGAGGCAAGGGTCTCATCCCCGTCGACAGAGACTCCGTAGGGCATCCACACCGGAGGAGTAATCCAGATGCTGAGGAACTCTCCGGAATTCTCCTCCTTTGCTGAGATTGGTAATTCTGTCATACCCGAGGGAAAAGAGGAAGCGGGAGCAGGCAAGGTGCCAAAAAGTGGCTAGTTAGACCACTCCCAGGGGAGAAAACAGGAGGGTCAGGCAGACATGACAGACCGTACGTGACAGAAAGTTCCAGAGACAAAGTAAAATCACCCCAAAAAGGGACATTCGGATTGTACTTTTCATAACCAGAAGGGGGCGAGCTAAGCTATGTGAATTTTCTAAAACAGTATTTCTTGATTGCCTTTGCTGCATTTCGTGAAACATGCTTAACATTTTCAAGACTATAAGAGCATTTTTCAAAGCAGCTTTTCCATATAGCACAACACTATGGTTAGCTGCAAAAGCCTGTAATTTGCCCAAAACAATTATCACTCATGTCTCAAAAAGCAAATAATTCTACCAATAAATTAGTCAGTGCCACTAAAATGGAAAGTACAGTCAGCATCGTTTTAACCATGAGAGTCAAATAGAATTTAGATGTATTTTTAAAATGTCAGTGTAATTCTGCTCCTGAGCTCCAGAATTCTGGATGATAGTTGGTTCCCACGTTCTCATTGTCACTGACTGTTCATCGTTCTTTAGCAAACTGATACTTATTCATGGCAAAGACACCATTTTCAACATTTCAAGGCCCTACAGTACAGTATGTAAAATTCACTGGCAAGAGAAAGCACTTGCATGCACATATAACTTCTTCAAATCACCAGACACAGTGCAATAGCAAACACACTGTATGACACAAAAACAGCAAAACGGTGATACAAGAACAACCAAATGACAACAGCGTGTGGCTCAGTGGGCTAAGCCTGTGTGCCTGTAATCAGACGGTCACCAGTTCAAACGCAGCCTCAGCATGTCTGCGGGTCCTTGAGCAAGGCCCTTAACCCCCAGCTCCCTGGGCACCGCTATGGGTGGCTGCCCTTTATGGACAGCTTACTCTACAAAGAGAAAGTTGAGGGAGGCATAAAGGCAATTTCCCCATGGGGATCAATAAAGTATCAATTATTATAAAATGATGTACTATGGGAACCAAAAATGCACCAATGCAAATATCTCTGCAATTTATGGAATATATCATTTTCACAGCTTGGTTAACTGCTTTGCATGTGGTGGCTAACATGACCCATATTTCTGGGTGCAAAATTATTACGCCAGGAAACTACATAATCTATTTTGACCAACAAGACTAAAGCAACTCAAAAGTGTGCCACATTATGGTGTGGGGATTACACTTGTTGTTTTGCAAATGTTAATTGTCATTTGAGAAATGCTCCAAAGCAATCAAGAAAAACTGTAACAGTACAATACAATACAACTAAAACTAACACCAGGTTTTCTCTCCCCAAAGGAGGTGGTCTGAAAATGGTGAGAAGACTCTTTAATAAATACAAACCTGCACATATATCACATTGCACAAAAAAGAAAGCGTCATTTGAAGTATCAAAATGATGATTGTCGGGTTTGAAAGAGTTGAAAGATAAGTTTCCGTAGCCAACATGCGCTGTCCGTAGCCAACATGCCCTCTGTCATTTTGTCCCCTGACTCATGAGTGTATATAAGGACATTGGGCCTCATTCACCAACCGTTCTTACGAACAAATTTGTTCTTAAACCCCACGTACGCACTTTTTTATTAAGATTCTGACATTCACCAATGTTTCCTTTTCTGAATTTGTTCTTAGCTAAGAACAGAATCTACGCACACTCAAGACCATTCGTACGCACATTTGAGTAATGACAGTTTGTTCAAAATAATTGGTTATAGCAGCTTTGTTCATTCTGCAGTTCATAAAATGATAGTATTTTAATAATTTATAAAAGTAAAATATAAAAAATAATTTTAAAGTGTAAAAATAATTTTCATGGTAGTAACGGCGATCATGCTGATTATAAATAGGTCAGAATCTTCGTTAAAAAAAGTGTGTGCGTGGGGTTTAAGAACAAATTTGTTCGTAAGAACGGTTGGTGAATGAGGCCCATTCTTTTGGGGCTGTCAGAGGGAAAGTCACTGCCAACTGTGATTTTTCCAGACACATTTCAGGCTTCCTTGTCGTTTCTCAGTGTTGAGTCTTAAATATACGTATCTTATATATATACGTTTTGCTATGCAATTAATGGAAAGCGATTATTGTTATGCGCAACATATTAATTTATATTCGACCTGGCAAATGACAAGCGGGTATGGAAAATTGATGGATGAATGGATAGATGGAGTAGTGCATATAATGAAAATATAATTCACGTTTTCAGTATGTGCATTAATAATAGAACCGGGATATTGGATAAACGATGTAATTCATATGCAGTGTTTCTTACACACCTGGGTAACTCATGGATGGGAGGGCTTGCTGTACCTGATGATGTCGTCCGTTACCTAGTATTAGCCGCTGCTTCTTTAAGCCACGGCCCTCACACTCGGGGCAGCCCGTTCAATTGAGATCGAGTTTCCCTCTATTTAGCGTGAACCACACATGACTCTGGCATGACTCTGGCAGCTGGTGTCAGGTTCAGTCGCTCTTTCTCAATCAGCGTCTTGGTTGTCAGTCAGCTCGGGGAGGCGCTGCGATGGGACCGACAGGACGGGCGGGCGTTTCCATTACGTTCTTCACATATTCTACTCTGGGCCAGCGGACAACCTTCAACAATCTTTCTATTAATAACTCTTTTCCCTGCCCACGTGGCCACTCTCAGCCCAGTTAAAGGACTGAAGTGGTATATTCTACATCTAAGGACCACCTGTTGTGCTGGAGTGGGATTTACATATGGAACATGGGGGCGTCAGCCCTCGCAAGCTCTCCGACAGGCTGACCTCTTTGGCATGCATCCCAAAATAGCCAGAGATTTACGACGCGCTAAAAAGACAGACAATGGCCACCTGCGCAGGCTACATGTGCACGCACCTCCCGGCGTCCAGAAATGTCGAGTCATGGCTTAATATGAGGGGTGGACATTACCAGTCAGCCTAAATCACTCCGCTTACTCCCCTCTACAGCTCCATTCCACAAAAGAGGTTACTTCAGTTTCATTAGTTCGCCAACAGTAGAATCCCAGTATTAACATTACACCATGCAATGGGCAATTACAAGTAAAAACATTATTAATCGGTTTCAACAAAGGCTTTTCCTAGCTGAATTGGTCTGTATGACTTTTTATTACATCTACAATTTCCAAACAAAAGCGACTTAGATCTGTTTGTGAATTCAGACCAGTGCAGCAGTACAAAAACCAGTTTGAAACTGGTTCAAAATGACTTTTCCTACATTTCTCCTGACCTCCAAGCTGTAAAGTCATTGAAAGGTGTCAGAATTAAACATGAAAAAAAAAACACGGAAGACGACACGAATTAGCAGCAGAAATGACCTTGTAAAGCTGGTCCCTGGTAGGAATCACCTTTTATTTGTTAACTTTAAAAATATTGTTTTAACTTAAATAATTTTCCGGTTATTTTAGCAGATAAACTAGTTAAACGTTTTTTCGACCTGTATTTGGTCTTAACATTCATACAGCTATTTCGTATTTAACAAAAAGCTCTTTTTACTCTTTTTGCAATTTCAAACCTTTCACAGGCACGTTTGCAAACGACTACTGAAAGTAAATTTCCTAAAAATAAGTCTGTCAGTCGTACTCCAGACATTCAGGAAATTTTCTTCCCTTTTAACCAAGGACAGACAAGGTCGACGCACCCGTTATCGTTTCACCTCTTGCAGACGACCTCTGTTTTAAGACCTGGAACGAGTGAGGAGGTCCGACGCCCTCCGTCCCTCCCTGCTTCCCTCCCTCTTTCCCACCCTCCTTCCTTTAAAAAATATCAGCAGAGCCAGGGGTGTGTTTAACGCGTGTGTCTTTCTATTGAGACCGATCGGGCTTTCTATGCACTCCGATGGGGAGGTGTAACTTTTAACAATAATGATCAAACTTGTCCTTTACTTTGCGCCGGACACCTGATTGCATTTAGCGCTCTCCCAATTTGCATCCGCAGACCTTGCCGAGATTTCTGCGGTATTTCAGTGGAATCAGTCCTTACTCGACTTGGACTGTTTGCGGGTTGACAGGCTTTCATCGTCCTCCCCAGGATCGGCGAGACAGGACCAGGATTAAACCCAGTGTATCACGCTGTCAGAGATATGCCGGCTGGCTTTCAGCAGCTAGGAGGGGAGGTAACGCCAGTGTCTTTCTTGTATACATATTTCAGCCTGTCTGGTCTTAACTGTAAACAGTAGTGATGTAGCCTTATCTGACCATCTTGACAAAATGTTCAGTTTACTCACAGAGTCACGTAATGGAAAATGTGCAGCCCAAATGTATTCATCCTAATCGATCAGGATTTCTAAGCATATGTAACCTTGCATCCATATTCCATAATTTTAACAATTAATAGTCTATTACTATTATTATTAGCTATAAATGGACTGCAAGTAGTATAGACATTGAATCATACATTTTGATTGAAGAACTGTTGTTCCCTTGAAAGCCTTGCATGGTTCCTTTAATTGTGAGATTGACGTTTCCATGCAAAGATGAACCGTGAACTGCTTCTTTAGCATGAATGTATACATAAAAAAAACAACTAAGCGAGTAAAATTTCTATTTACTAAAGTTTATTTTTCATCTTTATTTATTCATGCATGTCTTTGAATTGTGTCGGATGACTTTGTCGTCCATATTGCTCGAGCCCTACGGTCGGGAGCGCTCCTTACTAGACCTACTCAGAGGTGAGGGCTGTGCAGTGGATTTCAGTCAGTGATCGGCAGGCCTGCTGCTGGAGATTTTGGGCCCCATGAAAGCATATCATATCAGGCAGGCAACCTAGACCAATCCAGTTATGTTCCAGTTATTTTGGGGCCCCTGTCTGTCATGGGCCCATGGAATCATCCTAACTTTCCCTCCTTTACAGTGCCCCTGGGGATAAGACAAAATATTTTTATTTTGAGAGTGATAGATAGATAGATAGATAGATAGATAGATAGATAGAGAATGACAGACAGAGTGCTATTACTACCCTGGTCCGTATTAAACAGAGGGGAAATATCATTCCATCCTGCTGCAGGGTGATCAAATATCACCCTAAAATGAGACTTGTGGGACTTTTACTTGCACAAAAATGTTCTGGGGGTAAAAGGAAAAAAGATTGGTTCACAGAGATAACCAATCAGATTGTAGAGGAGGTGGGTCCAAACAACTAGAGGAGGCAGGACCAAGACATCTGATTGGTTGGTGCCAACGTTTCTAGTCGCTTGGGCCGACCTCCTCTACAATCTGATTGGTCATCTCTGTGAACCAATCATTTTTCATTCTACCCTTTTTTGTGTAAATAAAACATATATGAGCTAAAATGAGACAGAAAGGTGTCCATAGCTGTCCTTGGGTCTCTCCCAAAGTGCACTAGTTAGGACACATTATTCCTATCTATGACAAAGTGGGAGTGACTAACTAAGTCCACAACATATGTAGATCCCCATCATATATGCCGAGAGCAGGAATTTGAGCAGTAGCAGTCACATCCCCTATTTTCCCAAAAACAGTGATGGTAGTACCATTGATTCTCAAACCCAAAATGGTCTTGCTTTGTTTCAGAAAGTCGAGCTCCAGGTCTTGTTTGGAGAGTAATCTTAATGGATGTTTGAAGACGTCTCTGGCTCAGTTTTAGTTGAAGTCACTAGACAGAATTTAAAAAGTAAAAGAAGTGCAGAATAAAGAGAAATAGAATATTTCAAAACAATAGGGCATTGGCACTGAGAAGTAAACATGCCCCCAGCTGTGTACGCGTGTGATCCCAGGTGTTCTGGGTTTACGTCATTACAGGTCAGTCTCTGAGGCAGGGTCAGGTGAGCAGCATATAGAATCCAGGATGCTAAGCCAGAGAAGAAACCAGAGAATAGTCCACCAGCTGAACCAGAACAGATAAACAAAAAGGTGCAAGAAATTGAGTGACCAGAAACAAATAATAAATATGAAACAGAGAAGAGAATGCTGATTAGGTGACATCCAAATTTGGACTGGATGTGGTGATACATATCTACCCAAGAACATATGTGGTCCATGGAAGCTGACAAACAACATTTGCGGCCTCCATTGGACAACATCGACCTTAATCATAATAGCATCAACTCTAAAATAATATTTCCCTTGACTGTGAGCCAGATAGTGACTTGATTCAAAGTGGAAAATCACTTTCATGAGTTAAGTGGGTGTCACTTAGAACCTCTTGTTTATTTTTTCATGGAGTGAGCAATTTCGATGCCATGATCTACATTTAAGGTAAAGTTGACGATGTGTATTGTCAGGGCAGCTTTGGGGAACCCTCACTGCCTTAATAGGTTAATGACCGTTTGGGCTATGCTAGTCTGCCAATCAGAGCGATTGGCATTATCATTCCTGAGAGAAATCCAGGATACTAACAAAGTGGCATTAGCAACAACTTTGACTGAAAAACACATTTAGTGCAGAGATAATTTAAAAATGAAATTAGATGAGCTGAAGTAGGTCTCATCTCTTGCATTTGCTAAGAAAAATACAAACATGGGATCATGTCTGTCTGTGTGGAAATGGACATGGGCAGCCTGACAGAAGAAGAGAACATAGAGTCCACTCCCCAGGCACCCTGTGCACAGAGGAGGCCATTTTAAGGGTTGCTTCCTCATTACCGTCACCTTTAAATATAGCACACAGGGGCACATGAGAGCATTTTATTGTTTCGACACATTCTATCCTGAAGGAAAAAAGCCTCGTGTGAGAAGAATGTGAAGATAGAGTAACCAGCGCAGAAGCAAGTTCTTTGTGAAGCCTGAGGAGCATTTGAATACTTTTATTGACTACTTTGTGCAACCTGTGCATTTTTGACAGACGTGATAATATGATATGAGTGGTGAATGAATATCAGCATGTCATGCTAAGGAGAGACTTTCAGGACGTGTTTGATTGGTTGGTGCCAATCAGATTGTAGAGGAGGTCGGTCCAAGCAACTAGAAACGTTGGCACCAGCCAATCAGATGTCTTGGTCCCGCCTCCTCTAATGTGAAGGTGCACATGGTTCCAGACAGGGTCATGCATCATACATTGAGGCACATGTGTGCAAAAAATATTGGAATATATGCGGAGACCATACCAATTCACCAAACAAATTGGTCGATACAGAAGTATAAATGCTATCAGAGCTATTCTGGACGTGGAACAATGCAAAGTCTGCCTCTCTATGCACAGCTTTAATATTCGGTTGTTATGGGATGTATTAACGGCTTCCCACGAGACTCCAGGCAATTGTGGTCATGTCTCCCCCAATGGTCCATGTGAGCTTATGTGACTCGGCATTCCTGCAAAGCAGCCTGATGGCCGGAGCGATTCAGGAGGCATGTTGTTCACCCCGATGTCGGTTACTGTGTTGAGCTGAAGAGATGCAGAGTTGAAGACTGGTGTTGATGTTGAGCTTGCTCTAAGGGAACACTGCAACATATTTTTTGTGTCCACTCCCCCTCCAGACTGTGACTAGAACCCTTGCTCTCTCAGTGTTTACTGCGGTTCTGGGATCTCTTCAGTTCGGCTACAACATCGGAGTCATCAATGCTCCTCAGAAGGTGAGGTCTCCTTTAAAACACCCTCTCTGAACATGTATCTCAGGGTTCCGCAACACCAGTCCTGGAGAACCTGCGGGGAAAACTGCAAACTGGGTTGGATTCAGGCCCCCCAGGACCAGAATTGAGGGACTGTGATGTAGATAAACCATGAAAAAAAAGCATGTAGCACACTGGTTGTGGCTGTAATGCATGAATAAAGAGTGTTTATATTAGTATGGCAATGTATCAGCAAGTGATGAATTTATGACAGATCCATCAATATCAGCAAACACATAACTTTGCTTTGAAATGGTATTACTCAGGATTTTGATGTGACTCAAAGTTTGATCTCGGAGTGTGATTTTCAAGTAAAGCTCTCAGTCACACATTCATAGTGTAACACGTGTCAGTGGCACAGACCTGACCGCCAGCAGCTGTTTCTGTTAATAGCACAGTGCTAAGATCAACTGTAATAACCCACATACAGTCATACAACAGGCCACGAAATATCACGGGTGAATTCCCTGGGGTTTGCAGGCAATGGCGAGAAATTGTGAGGTGAAAAACTGAACTGCATGATTAAAGTCACTTTGGGGCATGAGACTTTCAGTACTGTTAGTGTGTCTCCAGAATCTCATCACCCAAGTCTCCGCTTTTCAGCAAACCTGCCCCCTCCCTGCCCTGCAAGCCCCCATCTCGGGTGACTGCCACAACCAGGACTGCAACCGGAGGTGGCCGAAGGGCCTTGTTCCCAGTGTCATGGGAAAAGAGGGCTATTTTTGGGGTGGGACCCATAAAGTTCACTCAGGGTTCATATATCGACACAGATGGTGGGGACAGAAGACGGAAGGGTGACAGTCTGCGTTCTGAGGGTGACGTATGGAGGCGCGTGTCCTCGTGCTGATCCACGTGAACGTTGGTGGATAGGCAAAAAAAAATAGGTTCTCATTGCAGAACAGACATCTGTACTAGATAATTATCTTCATACGATAATGCTGTCGTTAAGGAGTAACTTTGTAACTTGATAAGTCAGATGAGGGGTTTTAATATTCAAAAGCCAAACATCTACAAGTTTAAATTGGTTAAAACATTATGTCACTTTGGAAAAAAATGTGCTAATATAATGAAGTACCGTGAACAGTGATTAAACAGGTATTTTTTATCATCATTTTTATAACTGCCTGCACAAAGAAGTTCATGGCTGAGTGACTCATTTGAAAACTCTCCCTGTATTTATGTGGGATCCCCCCCCAGGAACATTGGGTATCACCTTCCGTTCAAAGGCACACAGCTCTATTTCACCAATGACTCTCAGTCTCCAACAATGTGAAATATCGTGGTGTGTTAACAAGCTGTGATGGACTGCCGTACAGTGCGCGGCGAACCCCGGATAAAAATCTGAACTTCAAGGTTGTAGGAGAGAGATTGATTTCGAGGGGAGGACACAAATTACATATTAAAGCCAAATTACATATTAAATACACATCACCCCCCGCCCCCCCCCCCCCCCGACTCCTTCACCCTTGCTTTCAGTAATAAATCTCAATGTAAAGCCATAGTTAAATAAGTAATCAGATTTTAATATGCAGAAAAGGGAGTTTCCAGTGGAATTCAGTGGTTGTTTTCTAGGACAATGTCTGCATGTGTCCCACTGTGCACTTCTGGTGTCTTTATGTTGTGTCTTGCTTGTGTCCCTCACACAGATAATCGAGCAGGACTACAACTCAACATGGATCCACCGGTACGAGGTACCCATCCCCCACGCCACTCTCACCTCCCTCTGGTCCCTCTCGGTGGCCATCTTCTCTGTGGGGGGCATGCTCTCCTCCTTCTTCGTGGGCTTCATCTCTGAGTGGCTTGGCAGGTACCAGGCGTCTGGGGGAGGTGAAAATACATTTGGCCACACAAACACTACCAGTCAAAAGTTTTTGCGCACCACAGGTTTTTACCACGCTTCCATTTCTTTTTTTAATTCTTGTTAAGCACTGGAAAGTTGAGTGAACAATTTAAGTCAGATAAAACAAGTTTCTTTTATAACATGGAAAGAGTATGTAACACTGCGTGTCTGACATCCTTTTAACTGGTTGTGTGATGATGGCATAGTCAAATTCTAGGCTGTCCTGTAACCTTTAATGCACTAGTTAACTGTTTCATCCCATGAAACAGAGCAGTATTTAATGTCCCTTATAGAAAAGAATGCCTCAAATTTTCTCTGCTATTGTAATTGCTAGAGGAGGTCACTGATGAATCCATATGACATTTTCTTGCTAATAAAGGTACTCAAATAGAGAACATATTGTAAATTTATTTGTTGGCAAAGAAGATTGAGTGTATTTTAGTAAATATTAAGTGAATGACATTTAAAGGTAGAAAATCTCAGTTTGTGTAAAAACTTTTGACTGGTAGTGCATGTTTTATTTAGTAGGCACTTTCATCCAAAGCAGCATACAACTGAGGGTCACCCAGTCCCTGGAGCAATGGGGATTAAGGGCCTTACTCATGGACCCAGTGATGACATCACTCTGTTAGCCTTGGGATTTGAACCAGTGACCTTCTGATCATTAGCCCAGTAGCCTAGCTCACTCAGCCAAACACCACCCCCACACTCATTAGAGATCAAACACAGAGAAAATGTAAAGGTGCCTAGCTCAGTAGGTATTGGAAAAGTAACAGTATGTGTGTCGATGACCGAGTCGACTCAGTTTGTCATGGTAATTTGAGCCAGGATCTAAACTGGACCAAAGCCTGGAGTACTCAGGCTGAAAGGGGATCCATAGTGAGACAGCCTCTTTGCCCCACCTCCCTCTTGCCTTCCAAATCCTTAAACTGTCATCAGGACCAGACAGGCAGAGGACACAATGGGTGCTATAATTTGACCCATGCCTGGTATGTCTCAGCTAAGTCCTGATTATTTACACTCAGCTAGCCAGCCAATCTGTTGGTTGTGATCATTTTTGATTGTTGTCCTCCTCACTATCAGCACCAGAGTCTTGCATGTGATGAAGAGAGATTCTCTTACTACTTGTGCCATGCATAAAATGCACTTTTGTTGTGTGAATAACGAGGTTAAGAATCACTCTTTAGTCTAGTGCACATCTCCCATCTAGTGGTTAAAGACTGTCATTACTAGGGAAAGTGGCCTTCAACACATATGCAATATTAAACAATACTTCATTTGTGTATTTTTGTTTAATATCATACTAATTACCTGTATTGATGATGTTCTTAATGGTATCATTAATGGCTGTTGTTGGCCATACAATATAAATACCCCCACTACCTTTTCAGGGGGTTTCAAAGCTATGTTTTGTTTTTTGTTCTGATAGGAGGAAAGCTATGCTCATCAACAACTTGCTGGCCTTTATTGGAGGAGCACTAATGGTCATGTCCAAGATCTGCCAGTCTTTTGAAATGATGATCTTTGGTCGTTTCATCATTGGTGCATATTGCGGTAAGTTCTTACGTCATTAGGAAACACTGCAGATGAGAGTCCTATAAATGAGAATTATAAATATCCGCAGGGTTCATATTTGTGCAGATTTTAACTTCAGGACAGAGTTATTTTCTGACAGGCCTCCATTGGATAATCTAGTACTTAAGAAACCATTAACCATCTTGTCTTTTGCTACCTTGTGTATGCATGACACAGTAATGTGCAAAATTCAGTCAGAAAATGTTGAGTTATTTATATTGGTAGTAAGTATCTATTTCCTAGAAACAAAACTCAGTTTAAGATTAAAATGTAATCAAATGAATAGCAATTGAACAGAAAATAGTATGTGTTTTCCAAAAAGTTACTGATTTCTTGCTAGATGGCTAAATGAGTATCACACTGGATCTCAGACCTCTCCTTAGGGCATTCCTGCCATCCCGTGTGTTTGAGAAATTTCTTCATTAATTCACTTAATTATCTAAATACCCTGAAGAGGTATTGATAGCCAAACATGCTGTGTTAGTGGTGAAGTTCAGAAATACACGGGTGCGTTGGATGGTTGCGGCAATAGGAGGGGTTTTGAAATGGTTTATACGCTTTGACAGACATCATTGTTTTACACCAACATAAAGATAATTTAAACCTGATTTTGGTTGCCTAAGACTTTTGCACAATACTGTACATAAGATGAAATTATCCAAAAAATACTAACTGTTAGTTGTTACGGAACTAAGCATAATTTACATTGCTAAGGGCATAACCATCTCAGTACTTAAACTGTTAGGATACAAGGATCTTTAGCCTACTTTGCTAACTGCTGTTGTACAGAACAAGTGAAGCAGTTTCTGACACGTCTGTCTCACTCAGGGCTGGCGTCTGGGTTGGTGCCGATGTACGTAGGGGAGATCGCGCCCACCAGCTTGCGAGGGGCTCTGGGGACCCTGCACCAGCTTGCTATTGTTACTGGAATACTTCTGGCTCAGGTACAATACTACATACCAGGGTCTATGCATTCATTCTCTGTCTTTGCGGGGACATAATTTTAATGATCACAGGAAAACAGACATTATGGGGATATAATGAATATTACTGTGTGTGATGCTTGCAGTAAGTGAGCCTCATTTCGGTGTGCAGGTGCACAATGACAAAAGTTGACTTTGATATCCCCATGAAACCATTTTTTTATTCTATCTGATTCTTGTAACCATTTTAAAAAATCAGAATAATGGCATAGCCTGTCATGGCCCATCCCTTTTGTCCCACTCCCTCATCTATCTGCTGCCCCCCCTTCAGATCCTGGGCCTGGAGTCTCTGCTGGGCAACTCAGAGCTCTGGCCAGTTCTCCTTGGGGTGACGGTGCTGCCTACAGTCCTGCAGATGGCGCTGCTGCCTTTTTGTCCTGAGAGTCCCCGTTACCTGTATATTATCCGCTGCCAGGAGCACCACGCCAAGAGTGGTGAGGGTCAAACCAATTATCACTGTGTGGAGCCCACACTTGACACTGAAGGAACTGTGAGTGCATTATGAGAACCACAAACCGAACACAAGTGCGGTTTAGCATTGTCATGCTGAAACGAACAAGGCTTTCGCTGAAAAAGAAGTTGTCTGGATGGCAGCATATGTTGCTCCAAAACCTGTATATTGTTCAGCATTAATGGTGCCATCCCAGATGTGCAGGCTACCCAAGCCATGGGTACCGATGCACCCCCATACCATCACGGATGCTGGCTGTCTGCTGGCCGCTGATAAGCTTGGATGGTCCCTCTCCTCTTTAGCTCGGAAAGCTTCCAAAGAGAATTTGAAATTTTGATATGTCAGAAGACAGGACCGTTTTCAGTCCATCTTAAATGCCTCGGCCCGTTTTAAATGATGCAGTGATTTCCATGCAGTGATTTCCACTGTAGAACTGTATCTGGTTTTAATGTAGTACTGCCTGAGGACCCGAAGACCACGGCTATCCAATATTGATTTTTGGCCTTCTTCCTTGCATACCAAGATTCTCTGAATCTTTTAATGATATTTTATACTGTAGATGATGAAATTCCCAAATTCTTTGCAAAATTATGTTGAGGAACATTTTCCTGAAATTGTTGCACATGCAGTATTTCACAGAGTGGTGAACCTCTCCCCATCTTCACTGCACAGAGACTCTACCTCTCTGGGAGTCTCTTTTTATACCCAATCATCTTACTGACCTGATGCCAATTACCCTAATTAGTTGTGAGATATTCAACCAGGTGTTTTGTTTTAGCATTACACAACTTTTCCAGTCTTTTGTTGCCCCTGTCCCAACTTTTTTGAAACGCATTGCTGGCACCAAATTCAAATTGAGCATATATAGCTCTGGAAAATATTAAGAGACCACTCTATTTTTTTTAAATCTGTATTTTTAAATCCTGGTTTAATCCTGGTTCTGCTGGCAGTAGGCTACTCTGCGAGGCAGAGGCTGCTTCCAGGCTCAGAGTTTCTAAGACAGCAGACAAGAACTAAGTGAAGTAGGAGATACTGGCAATGACCAAAAACCAGCCAGGTAGAGGGCAGAAGCAATTTTCTAATGCCAGAGATGACTGTCAACTTATCCAGCAGTGTCTCATAAATCGGAGGATGACCTTAAGTGACCTTTAAAAAGAATGGGAAACATTCAGTGGTGTGAAGTGCACTGCTAGGACAGTTTGTATCAGGGTCCTAGAAGCAGGACTGAAGTCCCATAAAGCAAGAAAGAAGCCCTTTATTATTAAGACGCAGGGAAGAGCCAGGCTGGAGTTTGCAGAAAAATATATATAAATACTTCACACAGGCCCATATCCATAAATTGAGAACTGAATGAAATTTTGCTGGGGTCTCTTAATTTTTTCCAGAGCTGTAATTGTCATAAAACAAAATTTCTTAGTTTCAACATTTGATGTGTTGTCTTTGTTCTAAGTATAGGTTTATATGATTTGTAAATCATTTTATTCTGTTATTTACATTTTACAGTGTCCCAACGTTTTTGGAAACGGGGTTGTAAATGTGCAAACGTACACTATATTGCCAAAAGTATTGGGACACCTGCCTTTACACACACATGAACTTTAATGACATCCCATTCTTAATACATAGGCTTTAATATGGAGTTGGCCCACCATTTGCAGCTATAACAGCTTTTACTCTTCTGAGAAGGCTGTCCACAAGGTTAAGGAGTGTGTTTATTTTTTACCATTCTTCCAGGAGAGCATTTTTGAGGTCAGGCACTGATGTTGGACGAGAAGGCCTGGCTCACAGTCTCTTCTCTAATTCATCCCAAAGGTGTTCTATCAGGTTGAGGTCAGGGCTCTGTGCAGGCCAGTCAAGTTCCTCCACACCAGACTTGCTTATGTCCTTATGGACCTTCCTTTGTGCACTGGTGTGTAGTCATGTTTGAACAGGAAGGGGCCATCCCAAAACTGTTCCCACAAAGTTAGGAGCATGAAATTGTCCAAAATGGCTTCGAATGCTGCAGCATTAAGAATTCCTTTCACTGGAACTAAGGGGCCAAGCCCAACCCCTGATAAACAACCCCACGCCATAATCCCCCCGCCATCAAACTTTACACTTGGCACAATGCAGTCAGGCAAGCACCATTCTCCTGGCAACCACCAAACCCAGACTCGTCCATCAGATTGCCAGACAGAGAAGCATGATTCGTCACTCTAGAGAACACATCTCCACTGCTTTAGAGTCCAGTGGCGGCATTCTTTACATCACTGCATCTGAGGCTTTGCATTGCATTTGGTGATGTAAGGCTTGGACGCAGTTGCTCACCCATGGAAACCCATTCCATGAAGGTCTCTACATACTGTTCTTGAGCTAATCTGAAGGCCACACGAAGTTTCTAGGTCTGCAGCTATTGACTCTGCAGACGGTTGGCAGCTTCTGCACACTGTACGCCTCAGCATGCATTGTCCCCGCTCTGTGATTTTATGTGTTCTACCACTTCATGGCTGAGTTGCCTTTGTTCTCAATCGCTTCCACTTTGTTATAACACCACTAACAGCTGACCGTATAATATTTAGTAGCGAGGAAATTTCATGAATGGACTTATTGCACAGGTGGCATTCTATCACGGTACCACGCTTGAAGTCACTGAGCTCCTGACAGTGACCCATTCTTTCACAAATGTTTGTAGAAGCAGCCTGCATGCCTAGGTGCTTGATTTTATACACCTGTGACTATAGAAGTGATTGGAACACGTGAATTCAATGATTTGGAGGGGTGTTTACTGGCAATGTTGCCACACGCAGGTGGTACAAATTTGTTTTTTCTTCCATTTTTTCACAGGCCTGCGGCGCCTGACTGGAAGGCAGGAAGTGGGGGACATCCTGGCAGAGATGAAGGAGGAGAAGAGGCGGATGGATATGGAGAGGAAGGTGTCCATCGCCGAGCTCTTCCGGTCTCCAGTCTACCGCCAGCCGATCATCATTGCCATCCTACTGCAGCTCTCCCAACAGCTGTCTGGCATCAACGCGGTGAGGACTGGGCTCTCTGCGTTTGCAGAGATGACTCTGGAGAGAAGGTCCCCTTTATCGGTGCTGCCTCTCCCATTTGACTCCCTTGTTTTTTGTCCTCTCCATTCATTGTACAGATATTCTACTATTCCACCAGCATCTTCCAGAAGGCTGGCGTGCAGAGCCCTGTCTATGCTACGATTGGAGCCGGGCTTGTCAATTGTGCATTCACTGTGGTCTCGGTATGCTGGAACTGAACACTGTCCTGTTTGCTGCAGGGTATTATGGGTATTCATCTCTATGCCCAGTACATTACAGTGAGAACTTAAATCGACATGCAAGCTTTTCTAAAATGGGCAGTAATTCAATGATTTTTTCCTCTTAATTAGTTTTAAAGGGAACATATTTTTAGCTAAATGTATTTTCTTTTATTATGAGTTTCTCAATAAAGACAAGAGAAGTACAATTAAACCAGAGATAAATAAAAAGGCTAGGATAAAGTGCATGCTTTGATGCTTCATTCTGACCTGTCTCTTTTTTCTCATCCAATGAACAGCTCTTCTTGGTGGAGAAGATGGGCCGCCGGACACTTCACATGCTGGGATTGGCTGGCATGTGTGGCTGTGCTGTCATCATGACTGTGGCTCTCGCTCTATTGGTCAGTTCAGTCAATCAATCAAGCATAAGCAGCTTTTGCGCAGCTAGTCACTTTAACTATAATAATTTGTAGTAATTACCTAAAAGAAATAACGCCAATATACTTGAATTAAGATGGGAAAAGAGTAAATCCAGGAAAGGGATCATGGTCTGGTAAAGCAGCTTTTGGTACCAACAGTGTTGACTCAGTTGAGATCATGCCAATAATGGGATTTGTTCCATTGATCTTGCTGAAGTTAAGGATGAATCACTTGGGGATGCTTGTTTCTTACCCATCAGCATTGTCTGTCCAACTTCAAAATGCATTTTCTGCCATCGTCCCTGTAATGTTTTACTTGTGTCATTCTGGTAGGACACGGTGGCCTGGATGAGCTACGTCAGCATGCTGTCCATCTTCGGGTTCGTGGCTTTCTTTGAGGTTGGCCCGGGGCCCATACCCTGGTTCTTCGTGGCCGAGCTCTTCTCCCAAGGGCCCCGGCCTGCCGCCATGGCCATAGCTGGCTTCTCCAACTGGACTGCCAACTTCATCATCGGCATGGGTTTCCAGTACATTGCTGTGAGTGGGATGTGGACTGGCCTGGCAGTGGCTATTGGGCTGCCTGGAACATGAAGAACCATGTAACCCATGGCAGCAGATCCTGATAACACATCTACATTATCACACTGCTGTTGATTTGTATTTAAAATCCAGCAACAATTTTGGCTGTAGTTTTCTCTCCAAACCTTTTTAATATCTGAATTTCATAATAGCCACTTCTATAATAGGCTCTTTATATGAATGATTCATCGGTAACCTGGTATCTTTGACACTGTAATTCATGCAAACAACCCACCAGATTCCTTCCTTTCCACAGAACCTCTCTGGCCCCTATGTTTTCCTGATCTTCGCGGCTCTCCTCCTCTTCTTTCTACTGTTCACCTTCTTCAAAGTGCCAGAGACTCGAGGCAAAACCTTCGATCAAATCTCCGCGGGCTTCCAGCGCCACCCCACGAACATGATGGGCCTGGACATGGACATGGATCTGGTCAAGGCCAGCACTGAGCTGGAGTACCTGGGACAGGACACACTCAACTGATGGTGTGGGAAGTTGAGGAGGAGATGTTGTAGGAACAGAGAGAGGGATTAAGAAGACCTTGAGCATTTGATACAGGGAGTCTGGACCATGCAGCCTGACAAGATGTTGGGTGATGGATGGGGAGGTGACAGTGGCATTATGTGCAATATGATAACAGCGGTTTTAGATGTTATGGAAACATGCACATGTGTGTTCTTGAGAAACCTTGAAATTCCTGCACTTTATACTCTAGGTAGCAGACAGTCTTTCTACAAAGAAAACATAGGCGTGATGAACTCTGCAGCTTCCTCCGAATTCACTATTTAAATTATTGAAAGCCAAGAGTCTGGATACGTCTCCAGTCACCAGGGCCAAACTGCAGCAGACTAAATGCTTAAGGGAGGAGTTGCCCCCCCCCTCCATGTCTGATTGACTTGACCTACCCAGTCAGAAAATCACATCAGATATTATCTTCATGCCTGCACACGTTTCATTTTTTAAATACACTCAACAAAAAGCTTAATACATACGTGTGTGTGTGTGTGTGTGTGCAAAAGCACAATGATCTATAAATAATGTTTCCTACAACCCAGTAATTTTTACAATGAGTGATTCCTTTTTAAGCATGATTGTAACCATCCGAGGTATTGCCAACAGAAGTGGACGGTGTGGGTTTGCAATAATACCCATTTAGTCGAAACCTGTTAAGCATGTTTGGTGACAGTCGCTGACAAATCTGTATGTTTCTGCAGCGATAATATCGCTAAATTAATGGAAGGTTTGTACTATAATTTATATAGTGTTCTTTATATGATTTTGCAGCAACCATTAGCAGGGTTGTCAGCTCTCACGCATCAGGCGTGACACGCTTTCAGATTCTCACGCTCACGCGAAAAATCTTACTGCAAATCTATATTATATTAGCATAAAATTAGCTAACATCAAAAGCATTGGGGTATTTGCAAACCCTACAGACTATTTACAAGTAAGCCAAAACTGTTACATACAGTACTTTGCAAAAGTCTTAGGCAGGCAAAGAAAATGATGTTTAAACTATCCTCGTGTTGGTGTAAAACTATGATATTATGCCTGTCAAAGTGTGTCAGCTTAGCCGTTTCAGAACCTCTGCTAAAATCACCCCAGTATTTGCAGCAACCATCCAGTGCAGCCATGTATTTTTTGACTTGGCCACTAGCACCTCATACAGCTGGTCAATCTGTCACTGACTTTTTAAACCATCTTATTTAATTATTTAATTGAGCTGTTGGTGAAATTTAACAAAATCATGGAACGGCTGAGGTGCCCCTGAGGAGAGGTTTGGGAACTGAAGAGGGTTCATCTAGCCATTCAACTTTTTAGAAAACAGAAGAAATTACTAGATTTTATTGTTACTCGTAATGTGCACATGTTCTAATGTTAAATTGTGTTTTTTGTTCTAAGCCAAAGTACACTTGCTACCCCAGATAAACAGCTTTAAACTTTTCTTTGGACTGCCTAAGACTTTTGCACAGTACTGTATATGTAAATGAGTGTGCATTTGTATGCAGATTTGTCTCAAATTGAAAATCTCACTCCAGCCAGCTGACCAAAGTTGGCAACCCTACGTTATGAGTGCTGGGGAAGGTACTCACAAAAGTAAGGCATTTAATGGATTACTCTTGTGTTAGGAATTTCCCCAACACTGCAGTCTTGCTAGCAGGAATTAGCAAACAGTAAATCATGGTACAAACCATGTGAACAATAAATGTGTTTCTTTGGTTTTACATTGCTGTTGTGCTCTAATCCAAATTTATATAAGACTTAACATGCAAAAAAATCCACATATTAATGGCAATTATAGGTTACAACAGACCCAACCCATCATTGATCAAATGACTGACATTAGACAGCTGACACTGGCTCAAGAACATAAAGTATCTTAAAACTTAGATGTCATGCCATTAAATGCTGCCTTTGGTTTAGATTATGGTTGGGTACTAGTTTCTCCCTGGGATCAATAAAGTTAATCATAGTCAATCTTATTTTTATACCATCCATACATCATATCACGGTATATGGTCTTTAGATATTTTCAAAAGCAACATCATTCATCCACCTACTGGTTTGGGGCGTGGGATTAAAAACTGCTGGTGAAATCCAGACTGTACTTCTCAGGTCTAGGAGTTGCTCTTTTACTCCGTTTTTCTGATTCACACCTTAATTCCTTGCAGCTCATTTTCAACCATTTGGTTAGCTCAGTTAATTTTAGAATTTATACCATTTTATTAAATTTTCGCCCAGAATTTGATACTGGAGTGCTTAAAGGTTACCAGGTCATGTTCTACAAATATCACAATTTTGCATCTCTCTAACCCTTTTGTCTTGTGATATCGAGATCAGTATCCAGCAATTTGCACAAAACATGCAACAAAGGGCCATGGTTTATGGAAAAAGCCATAAGGAGTTAGTCATGCTGAAAGGAAATGAGCAATAAAACTTCAGAACAGCCCCCAGTATTTCAGCTACTGTTGTATGAATGTTTATGTGGAACATACATAAAACGGCAAACGCAGGACAAACTATTCCATGTGGTCATGTATATCGGGCATATTTTTGGCCAGCTTTGTACAGTGGGCTTATTTTGGGTTTGTTTTCAAGGGTGAGCTTGTCTGTCTCATGAGCCATTCCTTCTGCAGTGGAAAACTGAAGTTCCTGTACGCCGGTGGAAAAGCACTATAGGTGAAAGCAAGTAACCCCAGGAACTAAGTGTAGCTTTTCTCCCATTGTACTAATGTTATGTTGTGCCTGTGGAAACTTCAGCTAGGTATCAGAACTCGCCGTTTAAGATGCAGGTGGGTGGGAACTCGCATGTAAAGAGCACAAACACTACATGAAGAGAAAAGTAAACACACCAATTGAGATGTGATTCTACAGCACAGAGGCTCTAGGCATGAATGTTGAAAGACAGTCAGCCATTAGCTTTCTAATTTTTTTTTTAATACAGGACAGATTTATTGCATACAATCCCCTCCAAAAGTGCAAAAAAAACCAAACAAATTTAACCGAGTCAACTGGGAAAGGGACAAGTCATCCAGCTTAGATCCAAAAAAAATCAGAAGCAAGTGTGGTACCCTTGTCCCTGGTAGGTGGTGTTAATTCAGCATCCTACCACCTTCCTTTACTCAACTTAAACAGCCAAACATTAGCATGTTCATTTCCGCTGCTTATGCCCATTTTCAGTAGACTAAAGTAAACTGGGGAAAACATGGAATATCTGGGCATTAGTGCAGGCATCCTTTAGTTTTTAAATTTCCACACCCCTTAACATACACATACATCCTCCCCCCACCTCACAGGTACATAGCTGAAGGGTCCAGACAAACTGAGTGGCTCTGGGGGTCCATCAGACAGTGGACCAGCTGAGAAAGGGTAAACAGACCCCCAGCGGCTAACCCATCCTGGATCCTAAGGTTTGGGGAGAGAAACACAGAAAGATGGGAGGTTCACGCTTAGAACCAAAATCTTACAAAACCTGCAGTTAAATTCCAGATGAGGAGGAGAACCTAGTCAGAGTGCTGAGACTTACCAAGACTTCATTTGGCTAAAAATATGCATTGGGAGGTTCCCTAGTTAAAATCAGAAGAGAAACCAAAACAAGACTTTGACGTGGCATTTGCTATTCAGTGTCTTGTACATTAATCTGGTTTCAGTTTTAGGTAATTCCCCATGTACCATCTATTGCTCAGAAGGTGTGAACCAGTTTGTCCTGTACATCTCACCTTTTGTTAGGTACATATTTTCTCCATCTAATGACATCACTCTGTGGGTGGGGTTGCCGGAATCACAGAAACCTGTTTGAGAAGGCAGGGTACAATGGAGATTAAATGCAGCCCAGCAAATTTTGGAATTTACAGGAAGGCAAATCAATGCCACAGAACAGGATTATCAAGACGTGTTAAACCTGAAAGATGGCTTGAACTTCATAATCATAATCCATTCCAATGTTTCACACGAGCTGAAGTGATTCATGTCTAATGTATGAAAACTAAGGCTCATGATATGCTTTATGAATGTTGCGGAATCAGAGGCGTAGCCTAGCTTCACCTCTTCGGGCAGCTTGACCGTTTTGGGTGACACTCTGGGGGAGGATTTCGGGGAGGGCTTGGGAGAAGACGTTGGGTCTGTCGGTTTTACAACCTGCCTTGGTGAACTCTCTTCAGCAGGCTTATCTGCCACATCCTGGAACACGGAGGGGACGAATAAGGTTTGTCTATGGTCTTGCTTTTCAGAACAATTGAAATGGCACTTGGAGTTTATACAACAGGAGCAAAAGCTTAAAGTAGTTAAGTTAAACAGTGCTAGATGACCCCCTCCAATCACCTTGGGCGCCGACTCTGAAGCTCGCTGCCTGCGACGGCTGAACTGTCTGCGGGGTTTCTGAGCTTCTGGCTGTGCTCCCTCAGCTGGCGTAGATCCTGCTGCCTGCTCATCCTCTCCTGATGTGGCTGGGGCAGGTGCTGGCTGCTGTTGCCCCTCTACACGTTCCTCGGGGGACAGCCGGGGTCGGAAAGGCCTTTGAGCAAGGAATCCCCAAAGGTACGTCAGGATGGCACCACTGCAACTGTGCTCTAAGATGCCGCATCAGGTTAAGCAGTTTGGTGGTGCCACCGACCTGCGAAAGCGTGGCCGGAATCTCCGAGGCGGCGGCCTTTGCTGGACCATCTCTCCTTCTGCATCTTCTGTGTCCTTCTCTTCCCCAGTCTCAAAATAACCATATAAAATGCCATTAATGATACTTTGGGCTACACAAGTATCACAAGTACAAAGGAATCGTTTGATTTTGGCACGTCCCCATCTTGGATTGGGGCACATGCTCAGCAATTTCCAGCACTGCTGGAGCAGCTTTTTTGGAGTTAAAGGCCCTTGAGCAAAGCCTAACATTCTGCTGTCCAAATGATTCAGATAGGTGGCCCTTGGGACACAGGGACAGGCTCCTCATCCAGAGCCCCTCCACACACATGACTAAGTCAATATTGTTACACAGACACAATAGGGGCACAAGTACTCCAGCAGAAATTGTTATGCAAATCAGCTATTTAACAGCAGAGTACTTTACTAGAGGAAGTGACAAACATCCATTCCTCTTATCTTCATATCCTGGTCAAGGTCACATGGGAGTCTGGAGTTTATTCCAGGCAGCAGAGGACACAAGGTGGGGGGGAAGGGGGCACCCTGGATGGGATGCCAGTCCCTCACAGGGCACAGACACTATAGGCAACTTGGAGACACCAACTGAATGTCTTGCGAGTTTGAGGTACCATGGAGAGTACAGGGAGAAGTTGCCATCTCTACAGCAAAAGTGAGATTTGAACCCCCAACCCGAGAGGCGAGACAATGCTAGCAGAACCACTACGCCCTGCCTTTTAACAGTTTCCAGATCCATGCCCCTAATCTTGCTACCTGCCATAAACAGCAAAGTTCTTACCACAGGTTGCTGTCTCCGACGCGGCCTTCGCCGGCGAGGAAGAGGCTGGGAGCCTCCATCTGCAGCTGGTACCTCCCCCCCGTCCGGGGATGGTGCTAAGGGAGCGTCACCTCCCTTTACCTGGTCAGCTGGGGGGGGGGGGGGGGGGCCACGGGGGAAGAACCGGCGACGGAACCGGCGTTTGTTGGGGGCATAGCGGCTGCCTTTAACTGGGACTCCTCCTGGGCCGGTCACATTCGCTGCCTCGGAACCCTGCATTTGACATACGAGGAGGAACCTACTTAGACCCGGAGAATACTCACATACAACCACCCCTAGAAGAGGACTCGCCTTCGCTGCCTGGACGACGTCAAACTCAACAATCTCCCCATCCCCAACGCTGCGAAGGAACTTCTTGGGGTTGTTTTTCTTAATTGCAGTCTGGTGGACAAACACGTCCTCTTTGGTGTCGTTCCTAAAAGGCGAGAAAATTGTGTCACCTCAGCCATGTTTACACATTTTCTGTGTACACACACATGCACTGCACAAGGTAGACCAACACTACACCATAGGGGCACACAAACAAATTAAAGCAAAGGAATGACAAGTATTTCATTTCAGTGCAAGTCATTTTCCAAGTGAAGACACACCTGTTGATGAAGCCATATCCATTTCGGACATTGAACCATTTGACGGTGCCTTGTACTAGTGTAGCTGAAACGAGATGAACAGTTGTATATACCTATACATAAGGCTACGACAAGATAAAAAATTAAAGTCCACGACTGGCAACAAGATAAGCTAACAATATTTGCAAAACTGGATATAGGAATAAGAAGGAAAACCACCCAGGGGAGGGGGCTATAAGACCAGGTTAAGCATTTTATCGTTTCGGCAATCATAAGGTTGCGCGTGGACAATGGCATACAGGCTACTGCACGGCATTCGGTTCATCACGTAATCAACTAATCGTTTATCAACGAAAACGCCAGAAAGGTATTTGTACAGTGCGTTACCTATTAATCTTTAACCAGTGCCAGTTGCCCTAAGGTACCCAGGTCAAACGAGACCTGGGCCGTATTCCGGGTCAACAAATCTTCATTGGTTTACAGGGCCTTCTCGGGTGAAGCATGAACTGGCGGGCATGTTTACAAACATGCCGGAATTAATTGAACATTACTGCGTGTTTAGCCATCACTGGAAGTGACATCAAAAGTCAAATGCAATCTTAATGGCTTGACAACCGTCACATGATTGGCATACTTGAATATCGAGCCTTCAGATACTACGCAGTAACATCAAAACATTCTCCACCCTAAAACAATAGCAACAATGCAATTTTACTGACGGACAAAGATGAAGGCTTACCGTAAATCGAAAATGTAAGAGAGCAAGTTTTACTGCTCAGAAGTAACACTACCAAAGGCTTTTCCCTTACCCTAAATAACCACTAGGCACGTTTGACGTAAAACAAAAATGCGAGTAAAAATCGAAACTATGGAGGCACAAAACGACTGAAAATCAAGTTCCTGATGTGATACACCAGTCAACCGGCGATACGTGATCAGGACACTCAGGCTGCGGGTGACCAAACGTTCAGATACTAAAGCAAACTTACTTTACGAGCAGAATTCACTCTCCTGAACACACCAACCCCACAAATGAAGCCATCCATATCATAGGTCCAAAGTGTAATGCGAAACACGTGAAAGTGCAAGGCGATCTGGCGTTCTAATTACAAACAATCAAGTTGAAGCTTTCGTTAAATGGCAATGCTTGTAATGTAATTGTAATATTGATACAAAAGTTTGTTACCAATTGACACCCAACAACAAACGGAAAAAAAGCAATGAGACTTCACCAACAGTGTCAGTGGCGTTATACTTATTTTGTCGCCTTTATGGTGCGACCAAGCAACTTAAATTAACAAGAAATAACTGATACCTTTACAGACCTTTCCGTTGGCCTCGTTTAAAGGAGCGTAGGCGGCTAAACTTACCTATGACTTTCCTCTCTGGCTGTGGCTGCTCTTCCAGCGGCGCAGGCGACGGGGCGCCCTGCCCTTCGGCTTCGCTCATCTTTCTCTCTAACACGCGCGGCTTGTCCCCCTCCCTCTTTCTGTTCGCGGATTTTCACAGCCTGCCGGAGCAAACTTTTTATCTTCGTCCTTTCGGGATTGGACTGACTCAGCCAGGCTCCCATTGGCCAGCCGTCGGCCAATCCCCGTAGCCTCATTGGCCCGACAAGGCGCTGCAATTGGCAGAGTGCAAGGTGTACAGCCGTCGCGGGAAACCGAGCCAGGTTTAAACGTCAAGCTCTAACGCGAAGTTTTTGCGACATTAACGGCCTTTTATATATATATATATATATATATATATGGTTGTTTATATGCTGTGTATGAATTGTTATTGGCAATTGTGCACGAATGGTTAGCGCCTGCGTAATGGTTTTCGGTGCGGTGCGGGACTTTTTTAATATCCAAAAATAAAATAAACCAGATTATTAAATAAGCCCGTTTATTGAAATGCTTTATTACTTAATATAAAAGTGATGATATGCTCAAAATGTAAAAGTACCAGTGGAGACTGAAATATGGGGATATACGAACCTTCATGTTCCGCAGTAGGCCGCAGAAGAGACAGCAGGGCCTCGCTGACCGCTTCACTCCACATATCTTTTATTCACCACGTACGTTTCGGGCATTCTTTATGCGGATTTTTTTAAAGTATACTGCCAAGTAATATTTTCATTAATAAGGCTTCTTGACTGTTGCTTCACAGAGATAGTAACTAGGCCTATAAATACACTTAAGTTAAATCTAATATCAATTGAACAACGACTGTTAGGCCTACTTCTACTGGTAATGATAATAATAATGGTGGTGATGGCAATAATCAAAAATAATTGCATATTTGATATCTAGTACAACTCATTTATTACATTCTAATATATAATATTCAGACTTTCAAAACGGAAAGAGGTGGTTCTAATGTGCTGCCTTCCGTTTTTCTATTACAGCATTTAATATATATTCTGCCCACCTGTCATCTCATGGTACGATTTTCAGCTCGTGCAGCCGACAGTGACAAATAAGACAAGCCATTGGTCCCATTCCAAGTAAGAGAGCAAAACAGCGCCCCCCGGCTGAAAAAAAATGTTTCATACAGCGGCAGCCCCCGACTTACTGGGTCCCTCCTTTCCTCGCTGCCTCGCCCTGAACAAGCATAGGTCACTGGATTCGTCTTTCACTGGGCTATATTTAAGCGGAACAACTTCGCAGACTTTCTTCACTTTCTCCTCCAGGAAACCACCAGCAATTGCTTGCCCCAGGATTAGTTATTTGAAATCTTATATCGTATACAGTATATAATTCGAACGTATCTCGTGTCTAAAACGCCCGACGTCACATTAAACGATTATGTGAATGATGTTGTTTGTGTTTGTACACAACTATGGTCTCTATTTGGGACCATATATTTCCTTTAAATGCCCCCTTGAAAATTAGATTTTAAAAATATGATCAGTGCTGTTTTATTTCTTTCGGATTTTTTTCTTTGTGGTTAGTGGATCAGTTTAATTCTACAGTTCAAAAAGAATGTGTTATTTTTTACACTCAAACACCGTGTAATCAACCCCTTTCCCCATTAGATAACGATAAACGAACATATTGGGTGTAGGTGTCTTCGCATGCGTTCTGGAGACCTCCTGCTATTTCTGAGTAGACAGGAATGTCCTCAGTCAGCAAGATAGTCCACCTCTATGGCTGTACTGCCAGTAAAACATCGTGGTTTTACTAATAGAGTTTAATATCGATACACGCAAAAAGATTTATAATTGACTAAATTGCACCGAGATTCCATAAGTGAGCGAAAGACCCTTCCCCGGTTATGCGCGTCCCCATCCTGAGCATAATTTGAGAATTTATGGGGAATCGCGCCTGCGCAGATGCGAGGTAACTGTCTGGGTTCGTTTCGTGGTTCCTCCGATGACTCTGGTGAGGGTGTGAGTTTAAGGGAGAGAGTGTGAGGGACGTGGTGGGGTTCAGATTAACACTGAGGACTGCGGCCGCCCTGAGTGTGTGATCGCTAGGACCGAAGTGCCGCGAAACACTGCAGGGGGACGGGGAAGGAGACCAGAAAGCCGACGTCTGGGAATGAAAGAGGGATCAAGGCAGGGGTAGAGGAAGAAAAGGCACCAGAATCGCAACGGCAGAAGCGAAACAGGCGGCACGGGCTGAAATAGTTACTTTGGATTAAGGGCCAGAAGTATCCCGACTCAAAACATTCAGATTAAAAAGAAGGCTCCGGAAGTCGGTGAGTTTATTGCCTATTAAACCGCTACGACCCCAGGCGTGATTGTGCGTGAGAACCACCTCGCCACCACCTTCCCCAAATCTCCTCTTGCACAGTTGATTTATTCTGAGCAGTTTTAGATTTACGGTATAAATTATTCTGTTTTAAACATACTATTATTATGGAGTTATTTCCTTATGATTTTGAAAAACCCGTGAGTTTTTGTACGACTGCTTGTCTGATTGTCTCTTGAACTGTTAATAATTTCTCTAATAGCTACGTATAACTGTTGCGATTATTTTATTTCAATGTAACTACTATTAGTGGCAATTTAACATGCCCATAACAGCTGGAGGAATAATAAAAACACACCCGAGGACTTAAATGACCAATGGATGAATTAAATACGGCTAGTACTAGAACACAAGCCAGGATCAGCGATTTACTGTGCGCACGTCGTTTTAGTTTCCAATGCAATAAAGGACAATGCATCTGGTTACTGCATTTAAGTGTCCGACTCGATGTAATACCGACATCGGGGTTTTAGAGTAAACAGTATTATATATTTAAAAAGATGTCTGGATCTGCCTTGAGCGGAAATGGTTCCGTTTTCGCTATTATTGATGTTGGGCCTCGGCCCTTCAGCTGTTCCGGGCGGTCGGTTCTGTACCACATACACGCACCAGGCCGTACGAGAAACGACAAAACTCCGCTGGGACGGAATAGACGCATCCAGTGCTGCCATGAAAAGAAACACCACCTTTATCATTTATGTATAAAAACCCACCCATCCCCCACCTACTCATATATCTTACGTACAGACGAATGAGTTTTTGTGTATTTGCATTACATGCTGAAGATCGTGCATTACAGCATGGTCAATGGTTATCTAATGAGATAATTCAGGCGGAGGCGAGTTCCTTTTCATCTAAGATCAATTTAAACTACTATATATTTCAAATTTATGAAAAGGTAATGCAATCACTACAAATTTCCCAGTGAAGCCCGTCGGTATAAATACTAATACCTCCCCGTCTAGATGCGTGTGTTCTGGACACCCGTGTGCAGAAAACACGCGTCCGTCGAAAACCGACGCGGATTTGCATTTATTGCGCATTTTGACGGGCGGCTGCGAAATGCCGAAGACGCCCCCTTCTGTCGTATTAAAAACGTTCTCAGCTCCGATTAATTCGGCGACTCGTCTGTCGCTCTTTCGCTTAACAGGTGCCATGTTTGCGTATCTTTATTTAGATCCTCCGATCCGTGTTAGCGCCACCGGGATACTTTACAAGACCGACTGGTGAATGAGTGACTTGGTTTTTAATGTTCCCGCATAGCTACATTATTCTGATCGCATTATTCTGTTATTCTGGACATTTATAAACTATCACCAACGAAAACATTATAGGAATATATTTATTTTACAGAACTGCACAGTTACTACAATCTCCTTCTGGTTGGATAAAAGCGATATAGGCCTAGGCACTTGTAACCTGGTAGGATTTTTTCGTGTTCTGGTTTAGCTTTTTTTTTTGAGCTCATTGCTCAACAAAAGTTTCATCTATCAAATATTTGATCTTTTCGTAGAATATTCATTTACGGACGTTGGTAATCATACCTATAATTCTCCTTATCAGGCAAACATAGTTTTATAGCATGTCGTACACTTTTCAAAATGGTATCGTTAGATAATAAAACTATAGCGTTAGATAATTACAAATTTAAATATTTATACTGAGTCCAATTATAAGTTAGGCCTATTTTGATTTTTAAAAACTGCTTTAACGATATTAATGCAATGTTCACAATTGTAATGGTTTGATATCGGAACATGAACGCCCGTTTGGTATTGAAGTTGTATATTCCGAAATAATTTATGTGATCTGTGATAGCAGATCGCACTGTCACCCTTACATTAAGCATACGACTCTAATGAATCCATCTGTGCATGTGCAGTGCTGGAATGGCGGATGCAGATTTGGACTTCCAGACCGGGGACGCCGGCGCGTCCGCCACCTTTCCTATGCAGTGCTCCGCCCTGCGCAAGAACGGCTTCGTGGTGCTAAAAGGGCGGCCTTGCAAGATCGTGGAGATGTCCACCTCCAAAACCGGCAAGCACGGGCATGCCAAGGTATAGAGAACAGCAGTTAGGCTACTAAACTGAAAACCAAAGAGATTTAACGGCAATACATGGACACGTATCGGTTGTGTTTGATGTGTGTGTGTGTGTGTGTATGTGTGTGTATAGGTTAGACTTAATTCAGATTCATTGACTGTTTTCCATGTAACTTTTCCTTGAACCCTTGCTTTCAAATCAGCATGTATTTTTCATTCAACAGGTCCACATGGTGGGCATAGATATTTTCTCTGGGAAGAAGTATGAAGATATCTGTCCCTCCACTCATAACATGGATGTGCCCAACATCAAGAGGATGGACTACCAGGTGGGGGGCTCCAACAGGAGCGTACATGAAGCATAGACTGTAGCAGAGTAGTTAAGGGTACAGACCGATGTGAGAGTCCCAAAAAATCGCTTCTAATAATTACTGCAACCCTGTATAGATGAAGTGGTTGGAAAATAGGTTGGAGAACTGCTGATAATCATCAGTTAAGCAAGAGAGTAATAATTTCAGTATCTATTAACTAGAATCATTTCATGTTGCTTACGATTCCTCCCATTCCAACCCTCTGTGGGTCCGTAGCTGATTGGCATACAAGATGGCTACCTGTCTCTGCTTCAAGACAGTGGCGAGGTGCGGGAGGACCTGAAGATGCCAGAGGGAGACCTGGGCAAGGAGATAGAGAGCAGGTTTGACGCTGGAGAAGAGATCCTGGTTAGTAGTCATCCATCTTTTATTATGCTATAAATCAGGGCTAGGCAACCCTGATCCTGGAGCGCCAATATCTAGCAGATTTTCTATTGTACCTGATGAGTTACTATCTGCCTGAGATCAGATGTGGTTCATCAGAGATCCGGTAGGAAGGAAAACCTGCTGGGTACCGGCACCCCAGGATCTGGGTTACCTATCCCTGGTGTAAATTAGTCTGCTAACCTCCTGGGTACTGGTCCCTAGGTCTTACATGCATCACTTACTTGCTTTAAAGGCATTTTATGCTTGGCGTAATTATGTAATGCATTAGAAATGTAGAAAAAAATGAAGTCAGTCCCAGATTTTTGGGGAAAGGCAGTGGTGTAAAACAATGGAAGATAATTATTTTCCACTCAGATGGAAGGAACATCTCTGGTTCATGGTCTTCTCTTGTTTTCCCTCGAACAGATCACTGTTTTGTCTGCTATGAATGAGGAGTCTGCGGTTGCTATCAAAGCCATGGCCAAATAAATCGATGCAGGTAAACACAGGTCACCTGGAGCCTTGGACGTTCCCTCCCCACTGCTTCTGAAGCCCCAGTGTAATGTGTCTGCCCACCAGTAGCCGCACAAAAGACAGAGAGACTGGGAACCTAGATTGTCGAGGATCCGAATATCTGTCCATTTTTATCATCAGACTATTAGAACATAAAGTAAGATTATTGTATAAAGTAGACTGAAAGTAGTCCGTCACTGTTACTGGTATAGAATGTAGTTTGTAAATTATACAGATGTATTTTTGCATTCAGCATGTGCTATACATGAATATATAATTTTAAGCATGATTTTAATGTCAGTGTAGCAGGGTCAATTTCAGTTTTTAGAATTCACTTATTTATAATTTGTTCTGGCAGGCAGGTAATTGGATGTATGAAAAGCAGAGAGAGCAAATCCGAGCTGGGGGGGGGGGGGGGGGCCTTAACCCACAGCTTTCAAATGCACCATGTCACATGCACGTTTGGCAGCTAGGCTTGTTCTAAATGTGAATTCGGCTAACTGTCATATACTGAATTCCCATCTGCGATTTCACCATTGAGAATGCTGAGACCCTGTTTTGGGCACCTTGCGTCTGTTCTAAGGTGGAAAGTAAGAGCCAGGAGTCTTCTGGGCACTATGGTCCTAAGGCCGTCTTCATCTCAATGTCCTTGGTTGTCGGGTTCTGTATTTATGCCATTCTTGGTTCCAGATAGAGTTGCAAGTGTGTTTTGGTATATCACCAATCATTGGATAAAAGAATGAGTTTAATCTGTGGGTTCTGTACTCTCTCGCCACTCTTCCTGTTATCTTTCCTTCTTTTCTCCTTCCATTCCCTTCTTCTCTTCCCTCCTGCTCTGATTTCAGGGCTTGACCAGATGTACTGAGCCTGTCAAAGAAGAGATAATGACCTCGGCATCGCTGTACCCCCCCTTCATTCTAGCTCCGTTACTTTCTTTATTTTTATTTATCCATACCACAACCCCCACCCCCCAAAATCCAAGCCTTTTGGATGAAATTAAGAAATAATGTAAGAATTGGAACAAAAAAAATCTTGCCATATAGAAAGAAATGAAACAACGGAGAGGTTTGTATTCTCATAACTACAAAGTGCCCGCTGGGACTTGGCGGTGCATTTTTGTACCTCTACAAAAGCAAAATCAAGGAAATTTAAGGGCTTCTGCATGTAACACAGTTCTGTCTCTGTTCTGGTTTTCTGCTGTGTTCCGGGTTTCTCTTGTAAGTAGGATTTGTCTTCCTACTGGCTGTCAAACTATTTGTCAGGCTTAGTTCAGGATCTCTTTTAGTTCAAGGGAAACATTTGATGGTTTATTCAGTACCAGTTTCACAGAGGATTTAAATAGACAAGACTTGTAATATGATTTTCATCTGTGGGCATAATTTTAGTAAAGGCCTTTGTGTCTGCCCATGCAGATTACGTAAGGCTGTATATCAACCTCAGTATGACATCACAGCGCAGATGAAAGCAACCAGCAGGAACGTATTGCTTGTCTCTAAGTTTATTCCCCACCTGCTGTGACATTTCATCCTGGCTATGCCTAACGTCATTTTTTCACACCCACTTTTACTCTGATTCTAACCAAGACCTCAGACCCCAATCAGACCGATCCCATTAGAAGTCTGGTTGCTTATGTAAACCTTCTCTCCTCTGCCTATGTTGCTCCTCTCTGGAAAACCCTGTTAAAGACTCATTGATCCACTAATGAGGAAAAACACAGGATTCTTTAAACATTATTGCATTTGATTTGTTGAAAACCCTTGCAAACACAATTTGTAAAAGCTTTTATTATTTTATTTTTTTTGTAACTCTGAAACTTTGGCTGTCCAACTGAAAGGCTCCTTAGAATCTCTCCCTTGTGAATCCCAAATGAAAAAAGCTGCTCTAAAAGAATGTCATTATTTGGGATTAATTGTTGAGGTTAGGGTTTTAGTCTTCTTGTGGTGTTGATGCCATCTCTTTTCTTTGTTTTCCATGGGTTTCGTAAGTGACTCTGTTGAAGTTTGAGCTTTTGAAGTCCCCGGGAGGATAGAATTGATGGCCATGTAGCACTGGTCATGGCAGAAAGGAGGAAAGGACGAGAGAGAAACCTCACTCAAGTGAGAGCCGCTTAGCTGGAATGTGCTGCTTGGCGCTCGGTCGTGCCTGTTCGTCTTAATCACATTGTGATGGTTCTGCCCCATTCACGTCCCCTCAGCATCCACATAGCGCAGGCCGTCTGCCACGTGCTAAAGCCCTGAGCTTCCCATAATCCCATGTAGCTTTGGCAGTTTCCATGGCAAACTGCGAACAAAGCAGTCACATCCCCTTGAAAATGATACAATCTGCCATCTCTTTATCCGTGCGGGTCTTCCAGTTTACTTGCTACTGCCCAGTGATTGTGGGAATACATTTTTGGCTTTTGACTGGGCTAAGGAAAGTCACTCTGGAGCACTGACAACAGACATGTAAGCAGTTATTCTAATCCAGAATGATTTAATTCCAGAAATGTTCAATTAAGTCGAATATTTATTTTACACACACGCACACACACACACACACACACACACACACACAGATAAAGATTTAAGAACCACTCCTGCCTGTATATTTAGCTTGATGGAAACAATAAAAGGTAAATGGAGGGAATTGAGATTTCTAATGTATGTAAAGTCAGTGTAAACATCGAAATAGGTGATGTTGGGGTATTCATCTGACTCCGATTTTGGTACAAGCAGTTCTCATATCGTGATGTCCATCAACCGGATAAATCACTGTGGAATCGCTTGATCCAAAGTTGAGATGAAGGCCTTTCAAACTCTGTATTTGCCGTTTCCGAAGTGAGCCAAATCTTCAGATTTTTTGAGGAAGAGTCGGAGTGCCGTCATTTTACGGAAGCGCGGAAGAGTTGCATTCAGGTTTGTTAAGCTGAAATGGTTCAGAAACGTGTGTTGGGTGTTCATCATTCTTACCATCCAAAGAAGTTTGGCATCGTGAAAGGAAACAAAAAATACGATCTAATAGTCAATAAATTATCCAGAAACCTGTAAGTATGTAACTTCTCACAAATGTTTTACCCTGTTAATTGGTTTGTATGTTTTTTCTAATGATTGCTGTACGTAGAGTTATGACTATTATTGTATTATTTACAAACGAAGATAAATGACACCCGGTAGAGACGCACAAGGATCGAAGCCACATGTTAAGAATGAGATACTTTCTCACTGTAAGAAAAGAGGTGTTTGTGCTTCAGCTCTCCAGCTGTAATGACTCTGTATAGATGCACCTGTGCACCAGAACGCTATTAAAACTCTTATTCCCTGTGAAACAAGTGAGAACCATGGCTGTCGAGTTGTGATTTCTGTCTGCGGTCGTCATTCGGGGGTGGGAGAAGATTCACTTTTATGAAGCTCCCTGAGAATAGGGCCTGATCCAGTGCAGAAGTGTAACTGTCCCAGAAAACCACAGCACAGCTGCACAGAAGTGGATGCAGTAAGAATCTGTCCCTTTACTAGTTTCTCAAACCACTCTACAGGGACACCTAGACAGTTAACTTTTCTGTTTTTTCCCAGTTTGCAACACACCTGTACCAGGTATTTGGTGTTTTTGCTTGATTTTTTGGTTCAGGTCTGTTGGGTGCTGGAACAAAAACATGGACTGTCTGGAGGTTCCTGAGGACTGGACTGTGAAATGCTGCTTTAACGGGACAGGAATGATTTGTGAGCCTAACAATCCAGCAAGTTGAATTTAATAGACATATTTCTAGCCATCGATGTTCAAGAAATTTATGATTTATAACACATAATATGTAGTATATTTATTTTATGTATTATGTAGTATAGTTATTTTTGTGTAACCACTTGCTCATATTTTTAAGAGTATTATGTCTAATATTTTCCATCAATGGCACTTTATCAACAAAAATGTAAAATTTTTCCTGTATTTTGTTAATGATCAAGGACTTTGAGATTCAAACCCCATCTACAGAATGTCTTGGAAACCAACAAACCTTACAGGGCAAAACCACAAAAGCTGCTCATCCCACCACAGCATCACCAGGTGCACATTTTTAGAGTGAATCACCAGTGTCCATTGTCTCACAATCTTGAAACTCGGCTCTTGGTGAGAGTGACGAATTCCAGATCCCAGCTCAAATGCTGACCTGACAGCAGGTATTAGCTTAACTTATGAGTCCATGCCTGGTGAAATCATGATGGGCAAAAACAATAAATTCATGGTCTTTAGGTCAGTAAAGATCTGGTGCTCCAACCATTAGAAGAAAAACACAGTCATACACAAGAGTGACCAAATGAAATGTATTTATTGATGGTTTTGATAAGGAAAATTGCCATCGAACCGCGGAATGAGCAAGTGCAGTAAACCTAGGTAATATGTCAGGTCATATTTTAAGCATATGACAGTGGTTGTGAGTCACCTATGGAGAATAGCAAAGGCAGATCATGCAGTAGAAAGACAGAGAGGAGTCACAAATCCTGATGCTTCTCCCACACATTCGCAGACAGTCTGACCAATCTTTCCAGCCGTCTATCCATAGGATGTTGGCGACATCATCCCGTTTGACAGGAAGGCCGCCCCATCTGGACTGGTGGCTACTTGCTGTGGTGGTAGAACCTCGGTGCTGTCTGTGGGTGTGACAGATAGGCATGGCGGGATGCGGGCTGTGGGGAGCTCTGGAACGTGGTCTGCAGAGGAACACAAAAAGAGGAATGTCACCGGACGCGAGGCAGGAACGGAACACAGTGGCAGGGCGGCTCGGAGTCCTCAGGGCCTGGAAAGCCACACAGGCGCATTAAGCCAAAACAGCCCGGGTAAGATAGACAGATACTAAAATCACATGTTTCTCGCACCCGATACCAGATTGTGGTTTTGACTTGACCCAGGATGGTGCGACTCACCGCGTGAGCTTGCTGAGGGGAGGTGCCGTGGCTGAAGCCCCCAGGAGAGGCGGGCTGGGGGGGGTGACCATACGGAAGCCCTGACTGTATCACAAGCACAAGATGAAAAAGCATATATATATATATAAAACCTTAACTCTTCCAAAGGAAAAGACAGCAAAAGCTATACAATAAGAACTGACTACTGATTTGTTTGTGTGTTTTTAACTGGCGCTGCTTAGACAGCTACTAAACAGCATTATATATTCACCAGTGTCTCTCAACCCAGTCCTCGGGGACCCCAGATAGTCCACATTTTTGCTCCCTCCCAGCTCCTAACACAACTGAACCAGATAGTCATGTGGGAGGGAACAGAAATGTGGACTGTCTGAGGTCCCAAAAAACTGGGCTGAGAAACACTGAAACAAACAGTTGTTGTATCTCGCTGGTACAGCTTTTGGGTTTATTGATGAGTCAATGCTCATCAATGTGCTGGGGTCCCCTCAATACAGGGCACTTTTTATATATTTCGGTGCTAGAGCACTTTGGAACCACTAGAGGGCATATGTACCACTAGGCCCAAATAAAAAGGCCAAAGTAACAGAGCCCTTTCGGACGCCTCTCCACTCGTACTGTCAGCTGGGGGAGCTGGTGGGCTACGGCTGCAGATATATGGCCCGGCCTGTCTGTGCGCGAGTGCTGCACCTTGGAGGGAGGGATCTGCACAGCGAGGGAGGCGGGAGCCAAGAGGCCAGCAGGGCCGGTGTGGAGGGCCTGGGTGGGGAGGGGCCTCAGGGTGCCCTGCGGACAAACGAGGAGACCAATCACTGACAACAGACAACTGCTCTTCGGGCCAAAGCAAAACATGTGTGCCAGTGTTACTCAACCTGGACCTGAGGGACCCCCAGGTCCACATTTTTGCTCCCTCTCAGCCAGCCAGTCTAAATTTTTGCTCCTGGTAGGGGGGTCCCCAAGGATTGGTTTGGGAAACACTGATATATACCACTCAGGCGAGACATGCAAGGTCAGCGTACCCGGATATAAAATCCAAACCTCAACAAATGACTGCTTTACATATCTAATGGCGGCCCATGGTAACTGGTTATCTATCTAGGGTTCTGGAACATTCCGAGATACCCCCCCCCCCGCAATATGTTAGAGACTCACCGAATCAGTGAAGCCAGACTGCTGGTTGGCATGTTCCAACTGCTTCTGCAGGGGGATGCTGGCGCTGGGGATGAACCCTGGAAAGCCATTAACAGGGATCAGCATCAACTGCTTTTTTCTGTATATTGTTATCAGGAGCGACTTCATGTTTGACACGCAGGATGCGCAGAGCCACTGTCATAACTGAGGAGCCATTTTATTCAGATACCAACAGAGGCGGCCTTGTTGTTCCTGGGGGCCGACTCAAAACGTCACTTTGGGTGACTTTTGGGTGAAGTTTGTTTTTTTTTTATCTTTGATTTTACTTCTTTTCACGACACTGCTGGGATATGATCACTTCATGGTTGCATTTAACCTTAGAGTCAGAAGATCATAGCAGAACATGCTGCTTCACCACCTAAATAAGAAATGTGTTTAACTAAATATTTAGTGTAGTGACTGGTTGTGGCCAAAAGGGGGAGCCCAAACCTCAGAGGCCCCATGCAAATGTGTCATCGTAGTCGACATATTTCAGATCCAGAAAGGCAAATAAGCCATTGTACGCGGAGTGGCGACACCCTTCAGAGAAAAGGACAGCTTGTGCGTGGATGGAGCCTGTAAACCTGTAAACGGCAGGCTTACCTGTCTGAGAGGTGAAGTGGCTGTGAACAGGGTAGCCCTGCTGCTGGTGGGGCAGGTACTGCATGGTCGGGAAAGCCGGGGCAGCTGGAGACAGAAGAAAAGAAGCCGCATTCACCCCATAAGCAAACAGCATTAAAAAACAGAAGCACCTGACCAAAAACTCCCAAACCCCGGAAAAGTCTCCCAGCCTCACCCGGGAATCACATGCTCACACACACACATGCGCACGGTACCTCTGAGCTGCGAGCTGCTAGCAAAGCTGACTGGCACAGACTGGGTGGCCGCGTAAGGGGAGGCGTGCTGCTGTTGGCTGACGCCGTAGGGCCCGTGAGCCGATTGGCTGGCTGAGTACTGGCCGTGCTCAGAGCTTCCTGTGCTGAAGGCCGGCTGGCCCTGGAAATGACGCACCTGCCGTGTGACACGTAGAGAGAAAAAGCTGTAAGCATGCTGCCACATTTACCGGCTTTAACCGCAGACATCCAATAAACAGAAGAGAGAATATAAACAGGTGTATAGCACACCGATTTCTATGTGGGAACAGAGTGAATGGAGGCAGCACAGTGGTTAGCACTGGTGCCTCACACCTCTGGGACTAGGGTTCGAGTCTCCCTGTATGTGGAGTTTGCATGTTCTCCTCCAGGTACTCCAGCTTAAAACATGCTGTTGTTAACTGGAATTGCCAAATTGCCCATAGGTGTGCCTTTCTGAGTGAATGGTATGAGTGTGCCCTGTGATGGGGTATCAGGATTGGCACCCCATCCTGGGTTGCTCCCTGCCTTGCAAGGGTCCTCCAGTAGGTAACCCTCCCCGAGTCTTGGACCAGTGAAGTCCTCATATCATCCTGTCCTGATGAGATACAGCAAAGTGGTGACGTTCGGCTTATCCCGGCACTCACCGGGATCACGGGCGTCTGGAACAGCTGCTTACTACGATCCCCCAGCAGCGCCCCCGTGCGGCCGTGACTGACCGGACTGCCTGAGAGAACAGCAGGGTGGGGTTACTCAGAGGAACCGCAATTCAGGCTGTAGTAGTGCCATTACCCATAATCCCACAAACATATCCGAGAAGTGACAGTAGTCAGTGCTGTCTTATTATTATCTCACTTAATAATAATAATGCTATATAACAATTCAATGCAAAGCCATGGCGCTTTGGTTCGTTCCTTATGTGTCAAAGCAGCGTCACACAGTCCCTGTAGCAGCTGGGGGTTAAGGGTCTTGCTCAAAGGCCTAACGCTGACATAACTCTGCCGACCGCAGAATTTGAACCTGGGACCTTCTGATCGCAGGCACACGACAGTCCTAAGCTGCAGAACCACACGCTGCTTCCCCCCACCCCATGCATCCTGCAGGCCGACAGGAGCAGGCAGCAGGACCGGTACCCCTGCCCACTCACCTTGCATGCTCAGCAGATGCTGCCCCGAGTGAATGGGCATGCTGGTCTGGTAGCTGGCAGAGGTCAGAGTGGGCATGTCGCTGTGGGGAGGGGGGGGGGGTGTGTGCCGGCCAGCCACGGCCGATCGAAAGGGAGTCGGGTTCAGATCCCCGAACCAGGAGCGCGGAGATAGGAGGCCTGCCGCTTGCAGCACTTTTACCTTCAGTCTGATCTGCACGCCTGACACCTGCTGGGAATGGGGGGGGGGGGGGGGGGTGTGTGAAATGCAGTGCAAAACCAGAAATATCCACAATGCCACCATTACATTGGCACGTGTTCAGAACCATTTAAGGAAGGTTAGGAACGGAAAATTACGTTTTCCGCTTTAGCGAAAGGAGAAGCCCCCCTCGTACACTTACCTCTGCTCTTTCCTACGTCGCTTCTCTTCCTCATGAAGCACTTTCTTCAGCTGAAGGAAGAGCTGGTGCTTCTCCTCTTGTAAACCCTGCAGCTTGCCACCCATCTTCATGATCTGTAGTGGGAAAGCCGAGTCGGGAAGAGGAAAGGATGACGTGAAATTCAGCAATATTCCACAGGTTTACTGCATGCAGCCAGGTAAAATTAAGCTTCTGCTTGAGTCCTGTAATCAAGAACCAGGGTTCACCAGTAAAAAAAGTATGTCGGGCAAGCGGATTGGCCAGCTTGTTTCCGCCAATCACAGTTTACGATTTAGCACATGGAAGATAAGATCCTCAGCTAGCTAATATGTGTTAGTGTAACCTTGTTCATAAATGATGGTAGGCACAAAACACAACTGTATCATATCATGTCAATCAGTCAGTCAGCTAGCAACTAAGTCACATTATGTAGCCAAGCTATGCTACATTAATCTACCTTAAGCTACGATGCTAGCTAGCCAGCTAAGCTAATTTACGAGAAAAGTTTCATGTCTGTTGCTATGAGAATACAAAAAACATGTAAGTACTAACAAGACCATTCTCCCCAAATCCATTAATGCTTTACAGCGTGTGGCTGTTGTTTTTTTTACTATCCATAATGACATATACTATCTGATATCCAATCCTCATATTTAAACTGCAGAAGGTGAGAGCTGCTCAAGCTTACGCAGACATGCTTTGGACTCAGCATTACTGCTGAATGTACTGCATTGCTCTGGTGATGGTAGCCGTTTACTTCTACCACTTGTAATTGTGATTGCTGGTTCTAGGACACATTTCATTGTTGTGTGCTGTGGTGAGTCAACACTGATCACCTAATTCTAATAAAATTTTAAATGAATGTTCTAAGAAGAAAATGAAATTAACAGCCCCCCCCCCCCCTTACTACTGGCCCAGGGGGTGTTGTGGAGGGGAAAATGTTACGTCCTCACCTGTTCTTTAGTCTCCTCCAGGGACATCCGCTCCTCCATCTCCTTTTTCCTCTTTCTTTCTTCCTCCTCTTTCATCTTTTGCTCCATCATCTTGTCCACCTCTTCTTCCTCTGTGAGAGAATGAGAGTGGAGTGGGCGGTTCATGACCTGTGAAGATGAGCACCAGTAAGGCGGCACAGGTAAAGGCGGCATTTCTGCCAGAGAAGGTGAAGGTGAGTATCCAGTGCATATTTAACTAGAGCAAGCTGTTACGTACTGTGTGCCACATAGGTAAGGTCGATATAGACCGTAATATCCCGCGATTTTGCGTTCTTTTTGCACGACTAGAAGTGGCCATCAATTTCTATCGTAGAGATACGCATATATGTTTCTACATAGTCTGTTCTGTACTAAACTACAGTTACCCTGCCTCCGGCGCTCCCTCTCTCTCATGATGTGCTTATGGAGGGCTCTCGCCATGGCGTTAGACAGTTTGGGTCTCTCCAGCAGAGCAGGCATGGTGATCGGTGGTGGTGGCGCCAGCTGAACGAAGAAAAGACGGTCACATTAAAATGAAAACATTTGCAATTAGAAAATGTAAATTATATATGCATATAATACATATTATTTGTTCTGGTAATATTCTCCGTAATGTCAATTGCGTCTAATAGCAATAAAACTGTGCAAGTCGCATGATTTGTTAATGCGTCAAAAGTAAACTTCTCATCGCGATGTCTGTTAATATACGCTTGTTATGGATACCGGACAATAGCTGAGTAATATTAATGTTGAAGCTGTATGGATATGGAAATGGAAATACATGCCAGAGGCCAAATTCCACTTACCTGTTTTTTTTTTTAGCTTATGCTGTTCTTTATATTTAACTTATATCACTTATACACAAATAAATATAACAGGCAAAGAATTTCAAATCACTAAACGATAAATCTATACTAACCAACCAGCAATGCCGCAATATTCGTGAAGTCGCACTTCCGTTGACGTACAATATAGGAGACGGAAAATAAAACAATTTCCGGCGTCGAAAGATGGGCATTGTAGTTTTACTCAACAAAACTTTAACTCTACGTGAAGTTGCCTTTACCATCATCAACAGTGTGGAAGCCTATGCTGGTGAGTGGGTATGACACTAAGCTTATTAACTACTACCAGCTTTGCGCTCTTGTAACAATCGCACAACTCTGTTGTGCTGTTAAATGTATAAGGAGTGTATTTTTTCTCCGACAGATTTATTTTAAGTTAACACAAACAGCCTGCTCTCCATTAGTGCCTGTGATCAAAAGATTGTGGGTTCCAGTGTGGCTTTGGCAGAATAGTAACATGTCTGAGGGCCCTTGAGCAAGGCTCCATTGGCACTGCCACAGGATATAAACAACACACATCATAAGTAATCACAGTAAGCCATTTAAATCCTTCACGCAGAACATGGCAGGTGGTATGCAACACAGTGAAAGACATTGTCATTCCCGTCTGCAGACCTTTTGCAACAGACAGAACAGTGGGTTTCCCACTTAATTTAAAAATAAATAAATGTACGTAAAGGAGAAGTGAAAGTCACACCTGATTACAGCAAATGCCCCAAGATGTTCCAAGCAACTGAGCAACCATGGAACACAAACTGAAGTTCTCCCTTCAGTACGTTTCAGAACTAAAAGAATGAGCTTGTAGCGTAACATTGTTACTGGTACTGGTCAGCTTCAGGTGGCAAGTGATGTGAAACCGAGAACAAGTGAGTCAGTTCAGTTAAGAACACAATTGTTAGAATTTTCCATTGGCTTGTTTTTTGTGTCTACATACAAAATAAAAGCTTGGCAGGTTTGATAGGAGAACAGAAGTCAAGGTCACTGTTAATGAAATCATACAGTGGTTCTCAAAAAATATCCTGCAGAGGTTTTTCTGAGTCCTAAACCAAATCTGGAGCCTGACAATTTAGCCTCAGTCATACACCTCAGAAGTAGGTTTTAGGTTTGTAATTCAATTCAATGTTGAAAGTAATTCTTGACATTTCTTTTTTTGGGGGGGGCGGGCGGCGGCAATGCTGGCTGGAGAAATAGGTAGGGTAGAGTGCCTGTGGTCAAGACTGAACTCATAAACATGTGATGTCATAAGTCATGTCCAGCTTCCAAAACATTACAAAGGAGCAAGGTATTAAAATATGATTAGCATAGCCCTAGGTATGCTACATATTATATGTCCTGAAGTGATTGTATTGCTGAACACCAGTGACCAGTGGGCAATGTGAGGCAGAAAGGGGTCAGCAACATTGATGTGCAATTGAGCATCAGTATTAAAATATGCTACATATAAATCCACATTGAGTTTCCCTTTAAGAAGAAACGCAACAGTTCCCACATAATTACAAATTATACAAATTATTTCTAGTGTGCAGCACTCAGAAAGCCCAACTGAATCAGTCTGCAGGCGTGTTTTTAGACAACATAGTGAAATATGGAGGAAACCAGATGTGAAATTTCATTTTGCTTATTTTTAATGGGAGAAGGTGATTAATTTTTCATTTATTTCGCCATTTTTTGGTGATCTATAATGTAAATAGTTTTGCAATGAACGATGCTTCACCTTTTGATTTTGTTCCTCTGTTGTAGTTCTTCACATCATCCAAATGCACTGAATGCTATGACTGGCCAATAAAAATGTAAATACATCCTGGTGACTCGTGGTAAATGTAGTCCTCTTAGTAGAATGAAACTTGACCTGTTCGGGTATATGTTCTTGTATGACGTAAAGAGTGTGGTGAATGACAGAACACATTCCTACAGCCAAGAAAGATGAAATTATAGCTTCTAGCTGCATCACGAGTGTTTAAGTGGTCACTAATAAGCAAGTTAATAACCTGTGCCGTTTCTGGTCATTCAACCAGCAGAATCAAATATTTTCTTGGTTTCTCTCCAGACATTTTCTGGTTGCCTCTGAACCTTTTACAGATGGAGCTGGGAACACAGGTTTCTAATCAAATTCATAAACTACAGATGCTCATCAGCTTATGATGGTGTAACGACAGGTTCAACGGAAAGTAAGTTGGAAATATCGTAAGCCAAATATTAATACGATAAGTAAATGACCGTCACTGAATAAATAAATAAATGCTGTGACTAGCTAAATATCAGCAACTGAAAAGTAAATAAATGAATACAAGTTTATCCTGTCATTAAATGTACAGTTTGGTTAAACAGAAGAAAAAAAAGTCACCGTACGATACATTGTTAAACACTGCATGAGATGTTTACGCTCATGATTGCTGGAAGTGTGGCGGCGTGGATGTTGCCACAGCCCAGCATTAGTAGAAAGTATCGTACTGCGTATCGCTGGCTGAGGAACAGATCAAAATTCAAGTTCTGTTCACTACTGGATGTACATCACGATTTCACCATCGTAAAGTCAACATTTTGTAGGCCAAAGCATTGTAAAAAGAGGAGCATCTATATAGAAGTTGGTCTATTTTTATGTGACATCCCCTACTTCTGTGTAAAGATGTCTTCTGTGTAAAGTTTCTGCTGTTAGACTGCAGCTGTTGTCCACCATTAAATTTATAAAGCACACAATACTTAAGATGATTTCTCATTATAAATGTTAAAACGTTTAGAAAATTCCCAGAACAAAGTTAGAGAGACTTTGGAAGGCTTTTTTTGGCAAGTTTATATGGTCGCAGTTAGAGTCAGAAATTTAGCCTCATACAGATTAAAAAAAAAAAAACCTTTAAAAGAAAAAAAGAAATTGCACAATTCTTTACAACTGATTAACTGACCCACCTAAAAAGTATAACAATATTAATTTCACAGTTGAAAGCAGAAACACAAAGTCTGAATTTTATTACGTTGAAATACTAAGTTAATTTTAAAGCCAATGCTGAAAAACTCACACATGCACTGCTGAAAGTGCTACTGGGAAATACAACACGCGATACTGAGCTCCTTCTAATGGGTGGCCTACACTTTTATTCAGACTCACTAGTACTATTTCTGGCATCTTGGTCTTTAGTTCCTGAACTGTGTTCAAACTGGTCAAACCTTTAGCAGCAACCTTCACAGCAAGAACTCTGTTGACAAGACTGATCATACAGAGGCCAGGCAAGAAATAAAATTCAGACTAAGAGCAATTAGACAAGGCGCAGGACACAAGGAAGAGAAAGTGCATTATGATGTCTCTTCTTAGGGTACTCTAGGCTTCTCAACTGGGTTTAATTCTTAGAAGGTGGGTAACATACTAGATTTTTTGGGGCGGGGGAGGGGGGGTTACATTTCCCTTTGGCTTTCTCCATACACACTCTCATCACTGTAGGCAATGTACAGGAAGAAGTCTTCCTCGTGGTGTTCCTGAAAAGCAAGGAAACTATTAATGCGGAGGGAGAAGCAATGTGCAGACAGTGATGCATGATGCGAGTGAAAAAGATGGCACTAGAGTGATCACACCAACAGAATACAAAACCAATAAGAAAGATGAAAGTTTAAGAGGGAAAGTCCAGGAAGGTGATTAACGCAAACCCATACCTGGTACAGGAGTCCCATGGTGGCTGAGGTGGGGGGAATGACATTGTTGACAAAGAAGAAAAGGGCATCTTCAGCCCGTAAATGGATCCGCTTTCGGATGAGGAAGTAGAACTGGCCCACTTAAAAAAGATGACACCAAAGACATAAAATTACATCTCTGCTACTAAAGAAAGTGATCTACAAGGTCTAGTATTCATTTTATGAAACCAAGAATATTTAAGTTTATAATTTTATTGTATAATTTGTCAGATAATGTTATACGCAGAGTAAATGTCTCAAATATCTTGTTGGTAGGGTATAATATAAAGTGGAAATTAACAGGCCGCATAACAACATATACATGATCAATACAATGTTTGACGTATTACAAAAAATAATGGTTGTGTTCATTGACTTTAAACAAAGAATCCATCCTTGATAATGTTAGCATTACATTCCAAGTGATTTCATACAGTATATCAAACGTTATTCAAATCACAACATTATCCAAACTGCCCAACTGAAATTCAAAGCTTGTCTTCAGAAATTAAAGCTGAATAGCATTTGTCCCACATAAGAAGTCAGTGGGTCACCTGTTAGATCTGAGGGAACCAGGTATTTCTTCTTGTCCAGGTCACCTATCCTTGCTTTGGGTGCTTTTTCAACAATCACCTACAATTAAAAAGCACCAAAATGAGACAACAAAACTGGTTTACTTATGGAACAAACCATCAAGGCCAAATTTCACTTTCACGATCTTGTAGAAAGGAGAACTGATATTCTCTGACAGTGAGAAACCATGATACGAATCTCAGGATGAAAAATACTTAAATAGCTCTCTCTAAAAGGGGGGGCATGCGGTTTTTTTTTTAAACAACGTCCTCATTGTTCCACAGAACTCGTATCAACAGCTTGTCAACGGATCTTTAACCAAAAGTATGTAATTAAAGTAAAGCTATCTAAAAACCATAAGCAAAGGCCTCTTGGGTAGGCTAAAATTGGAAACTCAGAAGTGGAGATGACTATCCAAAAATATTTTTTATCAGCTGTATTGTGTCCTGTTTAAAATCATCAGCCATACAGAACAACTTTTTAGTTAACCAGTATAAACACTTCAGCTATTTTAGGTCATTTAAAATAATCCAAACACTTTCATTAGTTCGTAACACATATGCCAAAATCCGACATATGTTTTAAGTCTGCAGAAAATCACTATGACTCCAAGAACGGAGTCTCTATAGCTAATAACAAGCCGTCAGTGCAGAAAAGTAGACAAATTCACAGAGCTTATATTAGGGCAATTTCTCACACACTTGGAACACTGAAATTAAAGGCAAAATAATTGACAATAATAATAATAATAATAACAACAATAATGTTATTATTACTATTATTATTGATATTTAAAATGACAGTTCTTTAACACGAAAAGTTTCCAAAACGTATGTACATTATATGTTACAGAGGGAATAAATAGAAATGTACAGGTGCTTTCGGAAGGACGTTGTAAATTTTTCGTCGGCCGACAGTATTAAGTAGGATTCTGTTCATTCATGTTGTACAAATCACTGCGTAATGAACAGGCCTATTTAAAGGGGGGTTAATATTTTAAGTGGCATTAACTAACACTTTAACTTACTACATTGTAGTTAACAATGACAAGGGTGCGACTACGTTGACGTTCACTAGACAGCTCGTTACGGCGAATTGGCATCGGTAAATAAACCATCGTTTCGTCTGTAAGATGGATATTACAACAAACACTACGGTTAGTAATTTTGTTTTAAATGTATCAATATACAAAACTGACAGGTTAACAAGACGAAGTGTGTTCACAAAGACTTTCTTTGATAGCCTGCGTTTGTTGTTTGGTTAGGTTTGTGTTTACAACACGACTCGGCTAGCGATACTCACTGGGACCCTGTCCGGGTACTTCTTTCTTATTTTTTCACCCTCTGACCGTCTCTTCTCGAATGGATGTTCTTCTTTGTACTGAAACTTCATTGTTGATGGTATTGGAGTAAGCTCCGAGACACAAATATCCGTCTGGGTTGCTTCGATGTGGGCTCTCTAGCTAAGCTACCTAGCTACAGTGCTGCGTTGAATTCGACTGCGGATGGATACAATAACAACACGAGCAAAGTAAATACGTAACATCAGAATTCGCGAAGCCCCGATACGCCTCGTTGTGCGTCTTCGAATAACGGAGGACTGCAACAGAATTCCCCTTGACAATTCGTAGACGGTACTTCAGTTTAATGCCAGTCGCCTGTCATTTGGTCTTAAATACTGAATAAACCACGGAAGCTTACTGACGCCATGTGCGTGCGGGCACTTGAAGGTGAACTGCAAAAGTAAACCACGATTTATGGACAAAAAATACAGTTAGTGGTGTTTTGTAAGTTCACGTCGATCTCATAGTTTCATTATAGCATCCAATATAGTCTTTTATATTGCATGACGGTTTAAAAGGTTATTCTATGGGGATAGAAGGTGCTTCTTGAATGGCAAATTAATACATCAGAAAAGTGAAACTGAGTCTTGTTCGTTTCCGTTTTCAATAAGAGCTCCCCACGAAAGCATTTTATACTGTCAATTAATAAACAGCAATAAAGAATAAAAAATAAATCACTGGAATGTGTCGCACGCTATAAACGTGCTACGCTGAATTTGTTTCCATAGCAGGTAACTTACGCAAGGAAATGATGGCGTAATGGGCCGGCGCGTGACTCTACGCCGTACAAAAAAACTTCCGGTTACTGGTTGTTCATCTATGGCGGTATAACATATTCTTACACACCCATATAGTTGTGTTATCTATTACTATCTATCCTAGTAATAGATAACACAACTATATGGGTGTTTTACACGGCATAATATAGGAAATGACTGGTTTCATGTCTTGTCAATTTTTGGAAGTAACGACTCTCCCTCCAAAATACCGAAAACACATTATTTGAAATTATATATATCAAAAATTCTGTCCATAATGGCCACAATAGAATACATAGTCGGTACCACTCTACTGGAACTACTTTATTTTGACGTCTCTCGTTTTAGACAGCGGAAGGACTTGGTGGTAATTTGGCTCCGCGTCACGTGACTTTTCTCGCTACCGCTTGCTCCGTAAGGTGCATATGACAATGAAGGAAGTTCTGTGCGGAAGATACCTTAATATCAACCCTGAGATGCGTTTTCATGCTGAAAACGCACGACTTAAAAATAACTTACCATTATTGATAGGATGCTAAAAACCAAATGCATAATTTATACGTGAATTCACGTAACTATAGCTGCACGTTTTAGAAAACCACAAAAAGGCTGAGGGTTCTTGGTTTGTTGCCCCGCATTAATTGGATCTAGAGAGCAAAACATCGTCGCGCAACTCAAGAGACTAGACAACAGTGAAGGGATTCATCGGAAAATATGACAGTCGAATTCAAAGGGTCAAAATAGATGTAATTACTGCATACGTTTTTTGTAATATTGCACGAAACCAGCTCTAATAATGGAAGCTAATTCAACATCGTAACAAGGACGACTTCTTTTTTTTTTATGTATTTAACAGAACCACTCAGTTTTTACTCACCCACTCTGCAAAACCGGAGCTAAGGGGAGTTTAAATGCTGGACGTTTTACTTTAAAGGAACCAGCGCACCCTCGGCGTACGTGACATGGCAGAAGACTGTTAGTAATGGCATGGAATCCGAACGGATATATAAGCAAAACGTTATGCGGCGATGCTGCATGAGGGGTTCATTTTACGAAACAAAAGAAGAGAAGGACAAACTCTAAAAGGACAGCCCGATGGACAGAGCGGTTGATACTGATAAGTGTTTTATTAGTAACACGCACAGACCTGGGGACCGAGTCAAAGAGAGGCCGCCTGAAGTATTTACTAGACTAAAATTGTTCAAATGACAATTACATGGAAGGAAAAGGGGGTACATAAAAACAGAAGAAACAGAGTGTGTGTGTGTGTGTGTGTGTGTGGGGGGGGGGGGTTCCCGTTCAGTTTTAAAAAAATATAGATAAATGAGGCATAGTTATAAAATGGAAGAAATTATAATCAACAGCTTTCCAGTTGTTGGTGACTTCTGGTTAGGCCTATTTACTGGTTACTGGAGCAGACTGGGAAAGGAAATGAGGTGGGTAATCTCTACACATTCAAAATGGTTCTTTGATACTTTCATTTGCATCTTAATCTCCTGTATCTGTAAGCTGAACTTCAATTATGAATAATAATGTTCAACAAAATGAGACCACTGATTTCTTCCTGCCATTTCAATATATACATATGAAAAATAACTTCTTTCTTCATAGGCAAAATTATACGGTCTGTGGAAATGTACTAAGACTAACCGTAACCTTCACCCCCCACCCCACTAAAATCCTCAGTACCATTGCCAGTACCCCCTTTCTGGGAAATAGGGGGTGGTCCAGATTCTTTAGTCCTTTTTCCTTTTGGCTTCATTCAGTAAATGAAAATCCATGTGACAGGTGATGAGTTTGCCGAGTGGGATGGGAAGGGGGGGGCAGTTTGGGAATAGGTCTGTGCCAGTTCAGGTTGGGGGGTGGTTGTAAATAAAGGAAACAGGCCGGCTTCATTGTCTCTGTCCGTTTACCTGTTCAGTTTTGTCGTCGTGAATTAAAAAGACAAAACATGAGCGTACTCCTGCACGCGTGCACAGACATACACCACACATGCACACACTGTATCAGAAACTGTAAGGCAGAGACTTTCTGAAGAAAAAACAGCTGGTGCCCCAGCTAATTTCCAGTTCCCTGTTTGGCTGCCACACTCCCCTCATCCCTCCTCCATCTTCCTCTTCGTCCCCCAAGCCCATCTCCACACCACTCCATAATGATGGGTGGCGGTGGTAGTGGGGGTATTGTGGAGCAATGAGAGGTCAATGGTGTGACTGGCGGGTGAAGGGGGGTGTTTTGGGGGCAGCAGCCGTGGGATGGGGAAGGGAAAACTGAGGGCCCAGATCTAGATGTGGCCCCCACTGGACTATCACCAAAGCCGATGCTGGTGGAGGTTTCGACTGAGGACGGATCTGACGTCAGCTGTAAACCTGCAAACGAGAGAGTGTGAAATGTTCAGATTCACTGTGCATTACAGGCAAAACATATCCTATATGTTACTCAATGACAACAACAAAAATAGTTAAAGGTGATGAATTTAATGGTCATCGGCTGTTTCTCAATATACGTTCCTGACCGTACTTGTGTTCTCACGTTTTACATCATCTTCCATTGCTGAAGACCAGTTCCAATACTATGAACAGAAGTACAGAGGACGGTAAAAATCCCCAGATATCGTTCTAGCCCTGCCTCAGATACCAAGGACTGGTTGTATCCTCGCCAAACGAGAACATTCCCATGATTCACTGCATCCCAAGTTTGTTCTTGGAAGGCAAGACCGCTCTTGCCAAGACCACAAGTACGATCTTTGCGTTCTTGGTATTAAGAAACACCCATTATAAGAGGGTGAGGTCCAGGGAGAGGCAGAGCTTGCACTGCACATGCAATGCGAGTCAGAGCCTCACCTTAGTGCGTCCAACATGGGCAGCAGATTCAAAAGTGCTGTGTCGCTGGGATCGCTGAACCAGGACTTAATTGGTATCGCGTTGTCTGTGAAGGCAAATTTGGCACATAGAAAGTGAGAAAGCAAGAACCTACTCCCACAGAAGCTCTTCACACATCAGGGCACAGGGAACTCGGGTGTCACTGCATATCAACACAAATCACAAACTAGCAAAACTGAGGTGAAAGTGTGAGAAGGAGCCAGCGTAATCTGGTGCGTTTTGAACATCACTGTAGAACAGGGGTGGACTCCAGTTTGCAAATGGACCAACGTGCAACATATCAATGTAATTTACTGAAGGTAATCCCATTCCCACGGATCTTGGCTTTGTGAGGCTGATGAAATTTGGACCTTGGGGAAAACTATTTGAGTACCTGTGCTGTAGAAGAATGAGGACACTACAATTTCAGGGACAAAGCTATCATCTGTGATGGTGAAATAGGCATTAAAGTTAAGGACAGATTATTTGAATGTTTGTGACTTTAAATAGAGCAGTACAATGGCCTCGCAATTGCAGGAATCCCTTGGTTATGCCTGTGAGTTCTCCCTCGAGCAACGGGTACTGTTTCATACTTGTGGCTAATGAGCAATTTTGCAGCTACACAGGCTCCCGCATCTTTTGAAAGCTTCCTACCGATCACCTGGCACATTGTGAGCTATGCACCGTGTGTGTGAAACATCATGATGTCTTTGTACAATCATGCATTGAACTGAACTGATTTTTAACTCCCACTCAAACTGCATGCTTTTTGGACTGAGAGAAAATTTGACTACCCAGAGGACACCAGCAAGGTGGAAGGAGGCACTGCTTCGGAGTAACCCATGTTACTGCCCCCATGCACGAAAACCATCGCACCTTCACACAAACCCAATGCAACAGAACAACCAACAAACGTCCTCAGTATCCTGGCTAAAAATAGGCAGCACGTGCTTCTGTACCCAGATTAAATTGCCAAGGACAAATACAGCAAGCTTGAGCAAAATTCCACACGGTCCCTCTCCTGGGAAGGGAGGGGTACTGCAGCTCACCTGGGTGACTCCGGTAAGCTCCGGGTGAGTTGTCCAGGATAACGATACTGGAGAGGTCGTTGTGTACCACTGACAGGTCTTTTATATAACTACCCAGGTCTAGGGTACAGTGCTGCAGGGGGGAAGGCCAACAAAGGCAAAATGTGTTAGTATAACACAAACATGGCAAAAAGCAGAGAAACAGATGGTGGTTAAGGACTAACAAGGGCGAATTAGGGGCGGGGAAGCAAGGAATGACATTCTCAGGAGGGGTTCTGCAGTCAAAGTACCCAGCTAGAACTGTGCCAAGAAAACCAGCTAACGTTAGCAGGAGTTTCAACCTTTCTTAAACAAAGGATCCTCGAATAAAAATAAAAGGAAAAGACTCAATCAGATAGAGAATGCGTGAACTAAGAATTTATGTGGACTTAATGTGTTAAATGGGGGACCAAGGGAAACAGTATTTCAGCACACTGTGTACACGGATGTGTTGACAAAGAATGCTGGAGTCTCTTGAGTCTTCAGTCTTAATAATTGCTTCTGCCCAGCTTGCTTGTTGTGTGTGGCAGGGGGACAGTGGAGTCCTTCCTGAGTGCTGTGCTCCTACTGTGAGTACCTGTCTGTAGTATCTCCGTCTCAGAATCCCCCTGTTGTTGTCCAGCTTGTCCGCGACTGCAGACCCATAGATTTCCATACTGGCCGTAAACACGACGAGCTCATACCACTGACTGACCTGAGAACAAAGGTCACGTGACATTGAGGAGAACAGGTCAGGAAGCCTGTCACAGCCACTGAGGAACATCACACCCCTATAAACTGTCTAATCATGACAATAGTTCATTTTACTTACCACTTCTAGGAAAAAATCCACATGTGGTCTTTTATGTACAAAAAATCTGACTGGATGTTTGTCTATAACCACCTAAGAGAGAGAGAGAACAAGAGTAACAATTCAGGGTTTCTTTGCCAAAGGGAATGAGTACAATGGCTTCGGTGCTGTGGGTTCGAATCAAAGTCCTGTGTGTGGGGAGTGTGCATTTTCTCCATGTTACATAAGATTTACTCTGGTTCCGAGTTCAAATGAAAGCAGCCCAAGGCAGCTCGGTGCAATGTGTTTGTGAGAATGCCCTCTACTGTTAGGTTTGTGCCCTGTCTTGTGTCATACTCTGTCTGTTACATGCTCTGGATCACTGCAACAAGGGGTGGGTGATCTTCCCAAAAAAAAAAAAAAAAAAACATCACGATCCTTATAACACACAATCACGATCCACGATCTGAATTGCAATCTTTGTTCCCAGTTTTGAAATGTACCATCAAGAATATCTAAAACAAGTCTAAGGACTTACCTATTAGCACCATTTAAAACAATATTGTATTTAACCTCCTGAAACCTAAGGAAAAAAGTGTCCTTCAATTTTAGGTTATTTGTCTTTGGAGGAAATAATACATCTTACAATTTAGAATTTTTCAAATGTATTTTTATTTTTAATTTCACAGCATGTCCTCTTTAGTGTACAACAGGAATAAATACGTTTCCTAACATCAGTGAACAGATAGATGGAAAACTAAAATGTCCACTACAATGCACATAAATTAATGGGTGGGGTCTCAGGAAGTTAAGATACCGTTTTCTAAATGATATTTAAAATAAAGTTTAATTCAGGATTTGATTACTAAACTTCATTAAACCAAAAGTTGTGTCAGAAACCTGAAGTTGTGTCACATGCTTCCTTTTAAGGTGGTTTAATAAACTTGTCGTATTACCTCCAGAAGTGCCAAGTTCACAAACTTTGCTTTGTTTAATATCTTACTGTGCTGGCCCAATTTGCATTTCGCACGTCTGCGAATGCACAGCATTTTAATATTGCAAGTTGCTGTAAATATAGACAATATGGTTTGCTATAAAAGTTGCAGCATGAACCAATCAGGCAGTGCCAGAAAATATATACAGACACTCCTCTACTTACGAACTTTCAACTTATGAACTTTCAGACATATGAACGAAGAGGACTTCAAGTCCAAATTGTTTTCATTGGGCTCCTGCTTCCTGTCCGCAACATCAATTTTTTTTCTGTGCATCAATTCCGTTTAGTACGACTTCTGGCCGCTACTCCCATCATGCAGCAGTGTAGCGTGCGTACTCCCAGCATCCTAGTTCTTTGTACTTGCGTATACTCTTAAAATGATGTTGAATTACGACTTACGAACATTTGAAGTTACGAACAGCCGTTCGGAACGTATCTCATTCGTAAGTAGAGGAATGTCTGTATAGTGCAATGCAATATAAATAGGGCAATGCAGATGTGCGAGGTACAAATCAGGCAGGCGGTATGGATTGGTTAGTTACACCTTGAATCCTTGCTTCATTCGCAAACCAAGAGAATGACTTCATACTAAACGGCTATACTGATTGGCCAAGTTATATCACGTGTCTCGCAGGGTCAAAGGGTCTCTCATGGGTGATGTATTTGAAAAACGATTCAATTGGCATGGTGGGTGAGTAAGTGTGGTATGGAGCAGGTAGTGACACACATTCCTTCTTATGTGAAGTTTGAAAGTATTAGTAGGAGAACTTAAAAGGTCACAATCTCTATGATTCGCATGAAAAAGGTAGTTTGGAAGATGCCCATGATCTATCATGGAATAAAATCATCAGATCGCCCACCCCTAACTAACAGAGATTAATGGTTACTAATCACAGAAGGATAGGCTGTCTGTTGCGATATGCAGTTTTGTTCATTCAAATAAGCTTTGTTATGAGCACAAGTGTCCACTTCTGTTCAGGTGCATGGATTAAAGACAACAAAGGATTTTTAAGGTCCGAAAACACATCCACGTTATGTTGGTTAGGTGTGTCCACTGAAGCCTCAAAGCCTGTCTGCTAAGTGTTTACCTGACATCAAGGCCTGTTTTGCGTGTTTATCAGATAGTGTCCTGGACCGTACCTTGAGGATGAAGTCCGGCGGCGTACCGGGTCGCACTGTGGGCCTCAAGACCCCATCGTGGTGGGAGTGGATTAGTGTCTCGTCCAGATCCAGAACCAGAATCTTCCTCTTCACCGCATCTTGAACAACCACAGAGCATTACTCATTGGATTAGAGCCCCCCAATCAATCTGGCATACCGTTCTGGTGCAAGGCTTTACACCTAAACCTAATACCTGTGTTATATTGAAGTACAGTAAAACCTTGGATTGCGAGTAACTTGGTCTGCGAGTGTTTTGCAAGATGAGCAAAATTTTTGAATAAATTTTAACTTGATAAACGAGCGAAGGTCTTGCAATATGAGTATTACGTATACGCTTTGTCTGCCTAGCGTCACGTAATCACAACTGAGCCGATGGTTCTTCTGTCTGTCTCTCTCTCACTGCGGGATTGTGGGTAATCGTTTCCCATGCTCGGTCTCAGTCAGCGTGCCTCACTCGTAAAGTCAAAATTTAGTAGAAAAGCACCACCCGAATAAGGGTGTAGTACTGCAAGCGATGAATCTGTTTGATGATAATGCAATGTCACATTTCCGTAAAATCGAAAAGGAGGCAAAAGCAGCTGTCATTGGACAGGTTCCTTGTTAAAGTCGCACAAAAAGAAAAAGAATCCAGATAGCAGTGATTCCGTTAGTTATAGTGAAAGTCATCCTACAAAATAACCCTCCTCTTCTCCTCTCTCTCGTGTCCCTCACACCATCCACGACTCTTTTCAAAGGTAAAGTGCAGGTTCATTTGTTTTATGTATTTTTACTTTATATTTTGCATTAATCATTGTTATATGAATATTTTTGGGTTGTGGAACAAATCATCCGAGTTTCCATTATTTCTAATAGGAAAATTCGCTTTGATATGCAAGTGCTTTGGATTACAAGCATGTTCCCGTAACGAATTATGATCGCAAACCAAAGTACCACTGTACTTAAATCATGTAAATTAACAGCTGACTCCATAGATAACATTGGAGAATCCTTCTCCAAAACCCTCTTTTCACATCCTCAAACGGCTCCAAAGTAAGAAGGTTCACTGGGAAAGTGCTTGGGTTCTGGAAGCATTTCCAAAATGTGGAGTCTTAATGAGAGGTACTTACTGAGTCTGTTTCTGGAGACAGGTGACAGAGGTAAAATGTCATAACGCACTGTCTGGTACTGGATTATCTGAAACAGGAGTGGGAACACGGTCATTTGTAGTAAATAACAAAAAAGCCCATTTTCCTAGTTGAATGATCAGTTATGTTACATGTTAAACTTTACTTCCCACAATATTACACCAATGATGCAGCAATAAGACAGGGCTGTGGAGGCAGCAGTTGCCCTGTTTTATTCACACCAACAGCAACCAATCACAAACTCACTTTTCAGCTGGGTCTTTCACCCTGTACCAGCAGTCATGGTCTAGTCCTGGTCAGCCAATGATTCACACACCAAATGAAATATGCAGGATAGCACAGAGCCCACATACTGATCCATCCAAATTTGTCTAATTATTTTGCAATGAAAAACACAAAATTCATGAATAAATGAAAACTTTAAAGCCAAACTCTAAAGTCACACGGCAGAAAAAACCAATGACTGGAATATTCACAGATCCAAACCAAGATTGAACCAAATAAAGGTGCATAAATAAAAAAAATCAGCCTACATTTTCACCTCAACGGAAAAGGTGCATAAAAGCACAGCTCTTTCATGGTTATATCAGTTTTAAGTTCTATTTTTTATTAAGCGCACCCACACGTACAGCAAGAAAACATGACATTCAGTTTAAAAAGTTCTCATTGCAGTTTCATAAATCCAATTTCAGAAATAAACATTTAACCCATGTGCAGGATTTATAGTAAACGCCAATATGGCTGGCAAGTATCAAAGGCACTCACAGATGTTCCCTGACTGCCTGTGTAATGGTGTCACACAGGAAAATAATGCCATTAGCACTGGGTTTGGCACTTCACACGCAGGAACCAAATCAGGGTAATCTGAAGATGATACCCATCCTTCCAACAAACTGCTTATTCCGATCAGGGTTATGAGGGGGCTAATCCCAGGCAGCACAGGGTACAAGGCTGTGATGCCAGTCCAGTCTGAGACACACACACACACACACACACACACACAATCGTACATCACGGCTAATTCAAAGACTAATATAAACCACGTCTTTGGACTGTGCCAATTACACACACACGTGAAGTAGAAGTGGGATTTGGTGTGAGTTAACAGTGTTACCCAGGGCCACTGGGTTGCCCCAGTTATACATACAGTGCCCACATACACCCCACGACATAAACTGCAGAGGAGTGATGTGCAAGGGTGTTGCCCATGAAGGAAGCCACTGCTTAAGCCAATGCACACAAAAGCCGGTTTAGCATTTGTCAGAGTCCATGTTGACAAAGGTGAAGACTATTGGGACTCTACACTTCAGAATGATGAGACAAAGGTAAATCTTTTCAGAAAGCATGAAAGTAGCATGGAAAATGCATGGTGCGCACAATGTTCTTCTGTGGGGGTGTATAAGTTCTGCAGTTGTTGGGGAATTGCACTTCACCGATGAAATCATGAATTCACAGATATGTTGTGGGATGCTGAAAGAGAAGATGGTATCATCTCTCCATGCCCCGGGTGGCCGGACACTCATTCAACATGACAACGACCCAAAACATACATCCAAGGCCACTGCTTCTGAGGAAGAACAGGGTGAAAGTGATTCTGTGACCAAGCATATCAGCTGACCTCAACCCAAAGGGCACCTGTGGGGAGTTCTGGAAGGACAGGCTGAGCATCATTATCCATCCAGCATCCAGGTTCTGGAAGAGCTCATTCTCCAAAAATGGAGAAAGATGTGGCAGTACGTCGCCAACTTGTTCATTCCATGTCTAGAAAAGTTGGTGCTGTTCTTAAAAATAATGGAGGCCATACAAAATATTAGTACAATTTGTTGTAGGGTATATTCATTTTTGCAACACTTCCTTTAAATACAGTTTATTATTTTCTCAGCCTAATGAGGTTGGTGATCAAGTTATGTTGCTAATGAAACAAACTCAGTTTTGTCAAAAATATGCTAATAGTTCTGGTGTTCACTGAGAAATTGATAAAAATCTTAATTTTCAAAAGGGGTGTATTCATTTATGCTGGGCACTGTAGTGTGCAAAGTGGTCATCTGTTAAATCAGAATTCTAGCTTTCAGAATTGCATAATCAACTGGACCAGGAAGAGAAACACAGCTGTGGCATTGCGTTTCAAAATAAAGTCAAATTCGATGCCAGAGGCCTTTACTTCTTTGTCTTGATCACGGCAGTGAAAACATTGTTTATGGTGCCATAGCAGAAAATGGCGAGTTTCCCTTTTGAACGTCTGCTCGGTCTCCTCTTCAAACTGAGATTCACAGGTTTTGAAATAAATGCAACTTTCAAGCCAAAATGAAAACTAATTTTAGGCCACAGTTTTGCAATCCTGAGGTACTGCTGGCTTTGGCTACACCTTTGATGAAAATCATCCATTTTTATCCTGAGCCAAAAATAAGCTGAAGCCTTAGGCCACAGATCTGCTTATACAATAAAAAGTTACCGAAAGGCGAAGGGTTGAGTTAAATGTGAATTTGCCTTTAAAATATTACTTACTCTATTTGTGCAGCAGTTTGGTCAAATTTAAAAAAATACATGCTTCAACTGCTAAACAGTATGTGCCCAAAACTGCTGTAATAATGAAATCTTTAAATCACTGCCATTTAATGTAGGCAATTCTTTTTATCTTGGCTGTTGTTAAATTAAAGCACAAAGAAGTATTTGCTTGTCACATATTGGACTCTGTGCGACTGGGTTAGTTAAGGGAAACTTATGGTTTAACAACACCCTTGTCTGCACAAAAAAATCTGAATCCAAAATCTCACATTGCTATTAGAAACAAATGTTGGTTTTCATTGTGTAGCCCAAGGTAAACTGATACAAATGTATTAATTTACCAAAATTCTGTATTAAAGCAGTGAACAGAAAAAAGAAACTTCACATGCAGCATTTTTAATAGTCAAGCATCAAAAAACTGGCCTCTGCCAAACAATGTTGATAATTAACTCAAATTTCAAGCATAGTGAATACTGCAGCATTCTTTAGAGGATTGTAGCCGTTTTAATTTGGAGCTTGTGTTGATGGAATACCTAACAGTGTGTTACCTGCATTTCCATCTATGTAGTCTGCATGAACCTTGAAAACCACAATAGAAAATAAACGCAAAACAAAAGTTGTTTCACATGTATTGTGCATCACCTAAATTTTGGCCCATATCTCCAAGCCTCCCAGATAGGAATAGCCCAGGAATCCAAGAGAGAATCCCACACTCCTCTGGGATATTTATATCCACTGCCAGCTGTCCAAGCATGTCATGGGAAGTGGAGAGAGAGCATGGTTGTGTATGTATGAGCGGGGGGGGGGGGGGGGGGGGGGGGGGGGGGGGGGGCAGAGATTGGGAGCCACAGGGTGACTTTGAACCGGGTGTACAACTACTCCCCCCAGAGAAAAAAAGTTGCCCAGCTGCTAGAAGCAACTGCTGTATTTGCCATCCCCCCCCCCCCATCTATCTCCTTAAAGGCCTGACTGCCACATCATTGCCTGTTACAGACAGGGGGCACAACATGAGGAGGCGTGTCATTTTCTGACTCCCATTCTTCCTCCTGGGCCACTGATCAGCTCATGGATTTTGATTATTTGTGTTTATCATGCAATAAAAGCCACTGCATTATAAAACAAGCAGTTATATAAGCAAACAAGCAGTATAAAGCTACTAATTATGTAGGCCACAATCGCCTAGTTGTCAGAGGGAGGAAAAAAATATATTCTAATAAATAATAATTAAAAAAAATTAAGTTGAATACTGGTGTTTACACCCCTTAAAAAAATCTTTTTTTTTTATAAAGGTCAAAGTGCATCAGCCACTGTGTGTTGGTCAGCCACATTCTGCTATCAGAGGATACAGCTTTTTCTAGCCAGAAAAAGTCCATGAAGGAGTTTTAAAGCTTTATTTCTAACATGACTTGTATTGTTTACAGACTGAGCTAGCCAACTCTAGCTGTGTGCCTAGGGTGCAATCCCTTAAAAAGGAAAATAAAATTCATGTCAAATCCTATACTTAACATGCATTTGAATCTTGCTTGGTGTGGAAAGCATGTGCAAGGCCCCTTACAACCCACCCAAAGCTGAATTTTCCTGGCAGAATGACTTGATTTTTGTCTATTCAAATCCTATGGCTGCATTTCAGTACATATATAGCAGTAAGATGAGAGCAAGGACACCTATGTACAAGTCAGACTTCAACGGGGGTATAAACACCACGCCTTCGATGGAGGTGACAAAACGCTTCCCTGACCTACAGTGACAAGCAAGGAACTACCAAAAAGCCTGCCAAATACCGGATGTATTAAGTGAAAGTGAAAGCTAAACACCTGTTTTGTATGCATTTGTAGCTTACTGCAAAGCTAGTATAAATTTTGCAACTGAAGCAACAAAATGCCATTTGCCCCTAAAACTGAAAATACCCGCTGTCCATTAACCCCAGTGTTGTTGTGCTTCTCGAGGTCACTTTTTTGAACCTATTACACTATGGCTACAAACTGTGATCATCAACTAGCAGTGTGTACCTCAAATAACATTACATCAGATCTGCTACATCATTCAACATTCATTAACAAAGTATGAGGTAAATAACTTCGGAAAACAAACAAAAGCAAGGTGCCACTCTCCACCTGTGGCGAACAGCAGGCTCGTTCTTACTGAAACATGTTGAAACAAAACGTTTTTGGGCAAAATTAAGTGAAAACATTTGCCATTGTTTATCCTGTCTGCTTTTGGTTGGAACTTAAAAAAACAACCCAAAATGAACATGTTGAATCTGAAGAAAAAACTTTTTTTTTTTAATTGTAATGGAATAAAAAATCATCAGGGAATGATACCAGGACATAGACCTAAACCTGCTAAAACATTCAAATGAAAAACATATGTCTATACATAAATAGTTTGACAAGTCAGCATTTAGCCAATATCTCAGGTTTGTGTTAGAGCCCTAATTCAATCAACTGTTAGTTGTTTCTAGCAGATGCATCACGTCAGCATAAAACTCTTTCGGTTAGGTTATTACAACTTCCAGTGAAATAAAACCGCAACACTGGCGTTTTGGTGGAAAAAATCTCCTGAAAATGCCAAAAATCAAGACGGACTTCACCGTTTGATAAAACTTTTGTTCCCACCATTTGGGAAGAATCCACTAAGTAAGGGCTTACAAATAGGTCCGAGAAAGGCAGTATACCGGCTAATCTTAAGTTAAATCAGTATCTCCCCATGACCATCTACAGAATAAAACGATTCCCTAACCTTCACAGCAAACGCAAGTAAATTCTAATGCAACCGACTGCTTATCAGATAACCTCTAACCGCTACTACGTCTCAGCAGGTGACAATATTAGATTTGAACGAGATAACATTTTGCCAAAAAAGTAAAAGTGCGCGATGCCCTTGCCTCCACAATCCCGACTGACATTTCAGTGTGTCTTATTTTCATGCAACAACACGTGAAAGTGTCAAGCGAAAAAGTCAACCGTGCTCGAAGTTTCTCCTGGACTGCAAATAAAAGGAAGCTGGCTGACCAGCTGGCAGCTATTCTTCTAAAACCAAAAAATAAAACTCAGATAATAAACAAATGAATAAAATGGCAAGAGCTCCCCATCACAACAAAAGGAAAAGATTTACAATGTGGCGGCCAAGCAACTTAACTCACCGTGCGTAGATGCTTCCTGAGCAGGTACAGGATGAAGCCCCATATTCTGGACGTCAAGCCGAGGAAAGTGCGGATCCCGAGCAGCCACTGTCGGGTCTTCAGCATGTCGGCAGCCACGCGAACGCCCGCGCGCGACCCGGGCGGACCAAAGGGCTGGATAGTTACAGCAGTCTCTATCAACCGAACACTTTCACTCGACCAGGGAACTAGTCAGACCGAGCTTACCCTCAACAGAACCTCTCATAGAGAGGGGGAGGAGGAGGGAAAGGGGGTTGCTTAAAAACGTGCTGAACCCGTCCGGACCGACGGGCACCGGGTCAAGAAAGCGCCTAAGCCTCCGTAGAAAAGATTTCGCCTACTAAAAAAAATCAATAAATAAAATATTAAAAGTTCACAAAAGCCAACTGACTGGAAGGTGAATGAATCCGCAAGCCGGCTAGCGGTCGATATCCATGGGGAGCTGTTAAAGCCAAGAAGTCGCAAGGTGGCTAGCCAGCCAAGCTAGTAAGTTTGTTGTGCTTCCAGTCCGATTTCTAAAGCCGGAAAAAACAAGTCTGAACTTCCAGTGTCCACGGTCTGTTCTGCTATAATTCCTCGCTTTTTAGGTGAAATATAATAAAGTCCCTAAAACACCAGAACTCAAAACAGTCGCCATCAAACCCCCTTCTGCTTTACAGCGAATCCGGAACCGAACTGCGAGCCGCCATCGTCGCCTTTGCCGTCACTTCCTCCTTAACCCCAGACAGCCCTCTGCTGCGGCGCGCTCCCGAGACCGCCGCGGACGAGCCTATGCACTCGGTTAACTGAAAATGGTATTAACTGAGTGTTGACCGTATTTTTAAGAACAGGTTAAACTGCAATTGTTACATAAATATAACAATAACTACACAGGCATTAACGATAATGCCCTCGATTAAACATTTTTATGCAGCTTAAGACAATGAACATGTAAATCTGACATGCATTGAATGAAAGATCATCTTAAGTCACGATTCGTAAATTCCACGTTTTATGACGTTAATTGAAGGCGCAATTTCAGCACCTGTTTAAATTGCCGAATGCATTGACAACGAGATATATGCATAACGAGAGTATGCATCTATATAAAATATCATATAATCTGATAAAAGCTTTTTCCCATTTGAATGCTTAATATGATTCATAATATGGTATTAAGCGGTTTCAGAAAATGGATGGATGGATGGAATATGATTTGCTGTTGCCTTGGGGACGGACTTTGAAACAGCCAGTATAGAATGCATAGAAATAAGCCAGTTTTTGCAAATGCATAGCTCGTCATTGCGTGGGGGGAAACGGGGGCAAAAGAAGGAGGAATAAGCAAATATGAAAACGAAAAGAGAAACAGCATTAAGTTATAAGCCAAGATCATTTTTATTTTTCAGTTTGCTCGTTTTATTTGCATTTTACATTCGTTTCTGTTTTTTGTTCTAATCCCCGTTATCGCAGCTACGCCGCATCTGGGAGCATTTCGAAATATTTGTATGTATGGTGGTGCGGTGTTTACATTTTTCAACGAATTTCTATGTATTTTGCTTAATAAATATGTAACGTCAACTTTGGTGTAATCGAAAAAACTACAGGATTGTAATTAATAAGATATTGCTGCGTTTTCCATATGAACCAACAGGGGGCGGGAAAGCCTATTCCAAATGGAATTTCTGCAAAAGACATATAGAAGTTGTTACAAACAGGCTCAGTTCATTGAAGAGCCACACTGGCCCACCCAGTCACAAGGTTAACCCACTCCAAGACTAGGCAAATGCCAACCAATCACAATTTTTCCATTAGTCTAAATAGGAATGAATCAAACCAATTAATAAGGAATATACTTTGAATTCCATAGATACAAATGTCAATATTGATCAAGTTCGATATTGTAAGGTCAGGATGGGCACACGATGTAAAACCCGTTTATTTTTATGTTGTTCAGAGATGTGTCACATGGAGATGTAGGGTTTCCCGAGCCTTCTTAACGCTATGTTGTTTGTAAGATAGAACTTACGAATGATGTAGCGTTAAAAAGGCTTCGGGAAACTCACCCATAAGCTCTATGCCTGAAGAATGATTTTCAGACATAGGTCTACAGCTTCAGTAAAATAAACAAAAGGGTTGAGCCAGGTGGGTTCTTAGTATAAGTAAAAGTATATGTAACCACTCCCAGAAGAATCAGAAACCCTTCTTAGTCAAGTGTGTTACAGTGTGCTAAGGTAGCATATTTTCGGTCCAAAGAACATTATTATACTGGTTATAAAGAATGAAATTTGAAACTCTGGATATTTCTTAATTTAGAGAATAAATTTTCATTGTAAAAAAGACTACCATAAATGGAGATCATTTCTAGACAGCAGACATAGATAGAAATTGGCTTGCGCCTTTCCCTCCAGATGTGTTAATTGTGCTCTTACCAGCCGAGTCACGATCTGTTTCTGTCAATCTTGTCCAGCTCCTGTTTGGCCAGCAGATGTCACTGCTGGCCATCCTGTGCCTTTTCATTGGCATTCATCCCAGCTACTTCTCATCCCTTGTTATGAGTTTATTTCCCACACCTGCCTCTCATATACTCCTCATTGCAAGTGTTATATGTGCCCTTCTGTTCCCCAGTCCTGGCATGGTTACTTATCATGAGCCCGAGCTCCCCATAGGTTCATGTTATGGGTCCGCTGTAGTTAGGTCCAATCAGTCTTACTTCCTTCAAAGAAATGTCAAGCCCCAGGTAAACTTGACTTAATCCCCTGGTCATTTCAATAGCTAGAAACTCCCCTAGTCCAAGTGAGGACCTATTCCCCTCTATAGTTACCTTAATGAAGTTCCCTTTTGAGGTTTCCCTATGCAAAGACTGTCTCTGGGGTTTATACTCCTCCTCACCACTATGGACATGACAGAATGCCAGGACTGGGCAAGTACCCCAGCATTTCAGATTACAGTGGACCGAGGGTCCTCTGAACTATGACAAGCCCCTTGGTATCTGGCTACATCGCCCCACCTCCTGGCAATGGACTTTGTCCTGCTGGCTACACCACTAGAGTGGAGGTGTGATACTGTAGTGTGGAGGTTCCCCGAGGTGAAAGCACTCCTCCTTGAGATGGATAAGGTGCTGACGAGACTCACCCCAGATGTGGATACTCAGGTGGCAGACAGCATGTAGTAGGTTTTAGGAGAAGTGCGGTAGTTGGCCAATGCAAGTCGACTTTAATTCCTGGAGGAGCCTGCATTTCCGGGTTCTGGACTAGGAAACACTGCGTCTGCCATCACTGTTCTGGCAATTTCAATTCGCCCACCACAGCTTCTGTTATCCCGCTGGCGCCCACCTCACCTGCTGTCGTGCTGGCACTTCCTGGTGTCTTGTTGGCACCCTCCTCTTGCCTGCAGCCTCGCTACGGGTGCTGCCTGCCTGCAGCCTTGCTGGTATCTCCTGATGACCCGTCAATGTCCTTCTCTTTTGCCCTTCCGTATTAAGAGTCTTCATCCAGCAGTTCAGTTATGCAATACACACCAGGATATCCAAATAACTCATCAGTTGAGGTACTGTGCCCAGTGTACTTGCTGTACTTGTGGAACTGGCATCACTTGGAACCGGCTATGAGGATCTATATGTGTGTTTTGTGCAGCAAATTTGTAGGCAGATGAATTTTGTGAAATCACTTTACCTAAGTTGTTTTTTTCCAGGAAACTAGGCCTGATTCAAGAGGAGCCTCACACACTCCAGCCTGTGCTTCAGATAGTGAAGACATCTACTCATCATAGCCTGGCACATCTGCTCAGGTAATGTGGCCAATGTTTGATTACTTATGCGTGGTGGTGACTGATGTATGGTTTTTACAGTGCATGTTCAATGTTGTCTGTATACATTAGGGGCCCGTAAGGCCAAGCCCCACCAGATGTCGCTGTTGAGCAGTGCGCAACATGATCGGTATGTAACACAGTCTAACAATATATATTTTTCTTCACAACTAATATTGCTGTGCATTTATTACATATGACAACGGCAGCACTGTCATGCAATCCAAATATTGCTCTGTTGCATCAGGACCATTCCTACGCTCTTCCTTTGGTGTGCATGGGTCGTATGAAGGTATGTGCATTTATTAATGAGCTGTGGGGCACGATCAGAATGGCCTGTGCTGATAGCAGTAAGCTCTTGTCAAGGTAGCTAAAGTGTGTCAGAGTGTTAGGGACAGGCTCCAGGAATGTATCAGTGTAGATAGAGGACATTTCAAACACCTAAGAGACTAAACATGACACAACTAGTACTGTAAAATAAGAACTGTATACCTACTTTAGACTCTGTATATTTTAGTGATTCATTATAGCTCAGCTTGGATAAATGACATAGTTCAGTGCTGATTGTCTAATTTATTTCGCCTTATCTTTTGTCAGACTGTTAGTGACCCATGGCCAGGCAGTCCACACACCTGACACCCTTAGAGTTTCAGAATGTCTTTGCCTGAGGCTGTTGATGGAGTATCAGCCAGCAAGAAATAGGCCAAAAGACTGCAAGGGTAAAACTATTCTGATTCCTCAGTCAATTGTGCAAACACGGTAACATTAAACAACTGTTTGAGGACAGCAGGTAGATACAGGAGTAGCTTGGTGCTGGTTACCATTGACACACTGTGTCTTCATGGTGAGACTTTTGTGTCTTCTGATATTTCACAGTAATATACAGGAAAGTAATTGTATATTCAGATTAACACTCATACTCAAATTCATCAACTTGAGTTGAATATGTGTATGAACACATATGTGTATGTGGGTTTTGAACCTACATAAGAAAAAGACAGGTCTGATGAAATAATATATCTTTACTGATCAGTTATAGTCTTCTCACCAGGGACGGACTGGTAGGTGGGGCAGCTGGAGCATCTGCCCCTGGGCCCGGGCCCCCCCAGCTATGTTGAGGGCCCCCCTGCGACTGTAAATCTCTCATATGCAAAGCATTAATGAGGATTAAGGTACTGATGTCATGGATATTGTATAGACTTGTGACATGCTACTTTTATATATTTATTTTTTATGTATACAATTTCATTGGTGGGAGTCAACAAAAAGAAAAATGGTGCAATACTTAAAACGATTTTGAAAGTAATAGTTTGTATTGTTTTGCATTTGTTTGTGGAATTTGCTAACTACTGCAGTGCATGATGGGTATGATATCTGGGGAGGGGGGCATGCCCCAGGGCCCAGTGCTCAGTTTTTCTGCCACTGCTTCTGATGCTGAGAGTTTTGGTGTACTTTTCCAGGTTACTTGATGTACAGAAGAGAACAGCTGACGATACATTGCTGCAGGGAGCACAGCTGCCTCAGCAGGTCCACCTTGCGAACCATTCCATTCATACCTGTGGACATACGGTCGTGAACTTCCAAGAGCCTGTAAATCGAGAGGGGGGGGGGAGAGTTACACCGACGTCACTGTAGCAAAAAAGTGTCGATACAAAAACTACACCTATCACTACCAGCGCACAACATGTGGTCAGCCGAAAACTGTCCAGCGTCGGGGAAGAACCTCACAGAGTGGAAAGAGATTATTAAAAAGCCTTTAACAATGATTTGTTTGCTTCATTTTTGTTGTGTGCATTTGCAATAATACATCTGTTTAAGGTTCCCAGAGACACTAAAAACTGTTCGTGCGTTGGCATTTACCTTCCAGTGTTCTCAGAAAATAAGCATTATAAAAAGGCAAGTAACATGCAAAAGACTGAAAAGGGGTGTAATTAAAATAGGAAAGACTGTAAATGCTAAGAAAAAAATCAAACAGAAGAATAAAAACGTTCATAGCTTATAACGTAATAGTATTTCTCTTATCATTTTCATACAGTATGTGCCGCTCCCCCTTCCGTTTGCCCCCCTTTCCCCCCTCCCATAGCAGTTGCTTTCGCCCTGCCTTTGGCCGAATGGCTAAAGCTTTGCACTCAATGTCTGCTTGTTTCTCCCCACGCAGGTTCGAGCTCTGCCCGCAGCCGCGACTGATAGTTGTACGGTTTCTGGCTTATGTCAAAACTGCATCGAAATAAATGAGTGTAAAATCAATTAGCAGTTGTTTGAAGGGCGCCAGCTAAGGGACATATACAAGGCCGAGTGATTTATGAATGTCAATTTTGAAACGTTTTTTCCAGTCACACAATTGTAGAATAAACGAGCACTGATATGCCTATCTATTTAGTAATTTAAAGAAGCTTTGGTATAAAAAGCGCTTAATAATAAGATTATAAGAAACTCAACTGATCGCCTTCGGCTCGAGGCCGTCGTGCATGTTTCAGTCTGCTGTTTACGGTTGAGGTATTGTATGTCATCCTGTGATATACGATCGCCAGCATTTATTTATTGTACATTTTTATTCAATTCAAATTGCTTTCATCTCCTTAAATATTGTTCTTATTAAAATCTTGTATGTATGAATATATAAATTACAATGTAACGGCTGCGAAAAATAATTGCGACCTCAAGTGTCCCAAATGAGTAAGGTTTTCATTCCTTATAGAAATGGAGATTTAGAAAGGGGCGGTCTTAGAATTGGAGGACAACCAATCATTGGTGGGAACCGATCACGGTGGGATGGGCTTTGGAGTGACCTACATATTTACAACATATGAACACATTAGATTGCCTTCTCTTCAACCAGGAAACCACTGAGTCCAGACGGTGCACAGTAAGTCCAGTATTTGCTGTCTATTTATGATGAATGCCAATTATGAGAAATTATATCTTGCATGCATCTGTAGGCAAAAACAACAAAACTACAGTGATGATTAAAGGTAGTTTTTCCACTTTGCATTACAGCTGTTTTTCAAACTGAATTGCAGGCATTGACGATTGAACTTTTTTTTTTTCTTGCCCGTCCGATATTTGTTTTAATGGAATGCTGACTTGGCGTTTTACTTCGAGAACACTGTCCGTCTCCATCCACAATAGCCCGACGGAACCGCTTACTGCACTTCCGTAAGCGCGAAGTCGACATTTGATACATACGATATATCATATATGACTGCTATAAATAGCAAGAATGAAAACTGCAAACTTTTCATATGTATTCTGGAAGTCTGCAGTAGTTCACTGCACCGTGTTACCACTTTTTAGTGGAGATTGACAAATATAATATTTTTGGAATCTCTGGTGCAGATGGTTGTTACTTGAGCCACCAGGAATTCTGTAGTATTCTTTGAAATACTACTACTAGTTGCTGTAGTAGTAATATAATAATAATAATAATGTTGCTGTTTAGATAGCCTTTATTGTCCTATAAGGATATTTGTCCTCACAGTCTGTTCCAATACAAGCAAAGTACAGTACAGGCCTCTAACATGTTAGGCACAAATACATAAAATGGCACACAAACATATACACACAATTTGTAGCGGAGATTTGATGGGTACAAGATTAATGTGACAAGTTAAGTGCAGCTATGGCAGTAGGGATGAAACTCTTGCCAAAGCAGGTGCGTTTCCATTTCAGAGTCCTGTATCTGCGACCTGGTGGCAGCAGAGTAAACTGTGGGTTAAGAGGGTGACTAGAGCCATCGGTTATGGTTCTTGCGAGGCGTATGCCAGCTTATTCTTGTGGTTATTATTATTGTTGTTGTTGTTGCCATAATTATTATTATCATTATCATCAACAATAATAATAACCACAAGAAAAGCTACAATAATGATGAATAATAACACACTGGCACGTCATCCAGGGCAAATCGTTGGCCTGTGCTGCCTGGGATAGGCTCTAGCCCCCTTGAAGCCCTGAGCAGAATGATAATGGTGACTGATGAATGCAGCGAATGCTGTGCAGTTGAATGCTCTGTCCTTCCACAGAATGGCTGGGCTGGGCGGGCTGCGGGTGGCGGTGGTGGGGGCGGGGGCCGCTGGGCTCTGTGCAGCGCGACACCTGCTGGCTCGGCAGGACACCTTTGCCCCACCTGTGGTGTACGAGCTCAGCAAGCACGTGGGAGGCACCTGGGTCTATGAAGAGCGAGTCGGGAACTACGAAAATGGGCTTCCAATCCTCAGCAGCATGTACCGCGACCTCAGGTGAACCCCATACACATGCACGGCCGGGGCGGGGGAGGGATCTCAGTCTTCATTGATCGGTTCCTCTGTTCTCACCCCTGACACTATCGGCTGTTTTTATACATGAATACTGATATCTGTCGTGTGCTTGAGCCATTACCCATGTAATTTTTAATTCCGAACAGGTGCATAGATGACCAGTTACTGTTTATATATTATAGGCTTTACAGGTATTTCATTAAATTGTAAGAAAACGAGTTCTGAAATTTTACATTAATTACAGGAATATGCTGAAAGATTACAGAACCGTGTGACACATTTTGAGGTTCACTTTATGTACCTTTGGGTTCGTAGCATATTGTAATAATATTATTGAAATAATATATGCCTTTGGTAATGTAACATCATAAACACAAAATAGGCCCAAATTCACATTTGCCTGGATGTGTTAGCTTTACTCAACCTGTTAACCAGTATCCTGTGAGTGAGTCCAGCAATGTCAACTGGTTCTCTTAATTGTGGGTATGTTGCCATGAATCCTATAGCTCAGGTTGAGTATTGTACTAATGACCCTGAGGTCATGGGTTCATATCTTCGGTGGCACCCATAAAGAATGTAGCTTTTTCTCGTAAGTTGTTTTGGATGAAATTGTCAGATAAAAGTGTAAGAGGAATGTCTTAGGCTCGCATTTATTGGCTAAGGTTGTGGATGTTGTGCCCCTTAATCGACAGTAACTTTTTTGGTGTTTCTGCTTTTACAGAACAAATATCCCCAAGGAAGTGATGTCATTTCCCGACTTCCCCTTTGAGAAGCGACTTCCATCATTCGTTCATCACACAGAAGTGCGGAAGTACCTAGAGCAGTATTGTGACCAATTCCGCGTGAGAGACCACATCAAGGTAGAGGCAGCAGCGGCCCGTTGGGTACCTGCTGGTGGCTGGGCAGGCCTGCCATGTCCAGCAATATGGAGGTTTACTCATATTCTCAGGTGGTAGTAAGCTATGAGCACGGGCACTTAATTTGTTACGATACTGCATCATTAATACGAATTTTATGCTGTGTCATTAGTGCACACTTTTTTACTTTATCTGAAAAGTGTATAACATGGACACTCTGTTAGGATGTTTTCAATGTGTGCTGTGTATTTTAATATCCTGAGGCTGCTCTCTCTCTCTGCTGTGAAGTTTGGCACCATGGTGGATTTGGTGAAGCCCGTTCAGGTGGAGAATGGTTGGCACGGACTGGCCTGGGACATCACCAGTAGTGACGGCCTGGATCCGAGCACGAGTGTCACTGAGCGCTTTGATGCCGTCATGGTATGCAATGGGTTAGTACAAACCGCCTTTCATAGGGGAGACGGACCCACTAGGTTTCATTTATCAGTTTTTCTTCTTTCGCAAGAATAAGCTCCCTCATAAACTAAGGGATATAATGGCTAATTTGTAGCAAAAATTTGTTTAGTCAGTGTTTTAAACAGGCAGTAAAGTGGGCTACTGCTATCTTGGTCTAGCCCTTATCATCTGCAAAGAAGTACACAGCATACACATGCGTGAACTGTCACATCGTCGCCATAGCGTGCACTTTATGTGATCTATGTAAGACCTTTTAAAATCTGACATGACTTGCTGGTTGAAGTTCTAATTTCTTGGCAGTTCAATGGTGACCTGGTTCCAGTTCCCAGTATTATTTAAAAGCCGCATGGGCACAGTTCTGTGGAGTTTGCATAACACTTGGACTTTAAATATCAGTGTTTTAATCCGAAAGTAACCCGGTTCAGGTTGCTTCATTTAAACATTTCACATAATCACATGAGTCCATAATACCTTTGTTACCTTATGTTACCACAACTCCTTTTAGTTAATGAGGGATATATTATATGGATTTAAGAAATATTCAGTGATACCTGTCTTACATTGTATAACAATGTAGTTACATTCTATTTTATACAACAAGTTAGTTACATTTATTAAATAAATTGTGATGCAGTTATTTTGTTTGTGGCATAGAAGTTATCACTGCAGGCTTTCAACACAGGATGGAGCTTGATGGTCATGCAGTTAGGGTTGTTCCTAGCACTTAGTTCTTAACAATTCTTGTGTTTTGCTTGACAGGCATTTCTTTGAGCCTTACATCCCTGAGATTCCGGGCTTGGGAAAGTTCCCAGGTATGTTTGAATCACTTGTGTTTGTTCCGCATACTTTCTGCACGCTGTGTGTTTCTGTGCACCTTACAGGATAATTAGATTTGATATATATAAGTGTAGAGCACTTAGTACTATAGCTATTTGTTAGGCTTCTGTGTGAAGTAACCATATTAGCCAACTTTCAGGGGGGGGGGGGCGGGACTTGGAGTACCCGAGAGCCTCCCCCTTTTGCCTGAATGAATGAAAGTGCCCCCTCCAGCTTAATGTTCTGATAGCCCTTTTTTAGATAATCAATGATCATACAAAATCTCCCCAAGTCCTCCCTTATTGTTAAAACTTACCGTGGGGGATCAGTTAGATCCACCCCCCAGTTAGAGTATCTGCCCCTTGAAAAGTCTGCTCATGTTCCTGTTAATAGGTACAGAAGGGTCAGTGTATTTATTTGAACATACCCTATTTTACATTGTTCAACTTTTGTAGTACTTAAGATTATTGAATTTCAACTTGCATTTCAAATTCTTTGTCACGTTGATGCATGTCAGGTCTCTCAAACATCAGTTCTGCATTTTCACTTAATGAGTACGCTTGGTACAGGTTGGTAACTTAAATAAGGAAGTTCATATGTGCTTTTGTTTTAAATCACTTGGAGGTGAACATATGCCAATATTCATACAAATGTATATACATATTGTATAGGAATGCACAATGCGTGGTAGGGACAACATTGTTAAATGATTTGATTATTTGCCAAAATCAATTGGTACAGGGTGTGCTGTGAGCTCTCTGCTTCTCAAAGCCTTTGGTGAACCTGGGGATGGATGTACAGTACTGTTGGGGTTATACCAGGTCCTCCGTGCTGGAGCAGTGACCTCCAGCTGATGTCAGTCCACAGCAGTCATCGCCCATGCAGAGCCGGGAGCGCAAGAGGCCCCCGTCACCTAAGCATATAGCCCATTGATTTCCTGGAGACCTTGGATTTGTTTAAGCCGGAGTGTAGTTCAAAGGGACACCTTTTCAAATAGGACCAGCCATACACACAGACTGACCCCTCAGTCCTATCTGATTTCCCAGCACATAGGCCACAAAATCCAAAAATCTATGAGTTAATCATCACCCGCTGTTATATTTTCGCAGCTTTTTAAACCATGTTTCTGCGTTGCTCTGATGCTTATGCTTGTGTTTGCAGTGTGATGAGTCTCTGTTTCTATCTGTACGATGTCAGTCATTTTGACTCTTGTACCATGTGGGCAGCTCTGGCCTCCGTCTTCATCGATTGGCTCCTCCCTGCACACCTCTAACGTGATTGGCTGCTTTTACACAGGGAAACTGATGCACAGCCATGACTACCGCAGTGCCGAGCCCTTCTCTGGAAAGTCTGTGGTGGTGCTGGGAGCTGGGCTTTCTGGACTTGATCTTGCCATGGAGCTGTCCAGCGTGGGCACACAGGTCTTCCTCGTGCTGCACTCGGAATTCTGGTAGCTATTCGACAGCCCTTTCCATGTGTCACCTCACTGGTGCGCCCCTACCTCGTGCCTTAGGTAATCCTCAGCCACAGCAAGCATCCCCTGTTGAGCCCCATGCCCCCGGGGGTGCAGCAGGCTCCACCTGTGACACGTGTCCTAGAGGACGGGGCACTGGAGTTCGAGGATGGCCAGGTGACCCGGCCAGAGGTCTTTCTGCTCTGCACTGGCTACAATTTCACCTTCCCATTCCTGCACAACCAGCTGGGCTTGCATGTCCAAGACCATTTTATTTCACCCCTCTACAAGTTCCTGATTCCCCCTGCCTTCCCCTCACTCTTCATCATGGGCATTTGCAGAGCTATCTGCCCATTTCCCCACTTCCACTGCCAGGTGAGTGATTCTGCAAAGTCTGGGACCACCTCAACACAGTATTACTCGGTTTTTGCTTGACATGTTTACATTAGGTCTCAAGCTGATTTTGGTAATTGCGCATGTAGGTATGCCTGTGTGGTCGTGTAGTGTATGTAGTGTGTGGTTCAGCGGTTCAGAGCGCTGTGCCCGTGATCGAAAGATCGCTGGCTAAAATCCGAGGGCTGGCAGAGTGATTTCACTCTTAGGCCCCTGAGCAAGGCCCTTAACCCCCAATCGCTCCATGTCCCTTTGGATAAAAGCATCGGCTGTATAGAGTCCATGTGATTGGCACATTTCAGTCTTTGACCTGAACTGAGTTATTCTTTGCTGACTCTGTTGAATGTTCTGCACGTAATTAGTTAAGTCTTATCATTTGTGGTCGAGGTACAAGGTTCAGTCCTAGCAGTCGTAATACGTGCTGTAATCCCCCCCCATTGTTTTCTCCCTCTGTCTCTCCTCCCATTCTTGATTCCTTCTTCCTACACTGATGGTTCCTGCCTCTTGGCCAGACCCAGTTTGTGCTGTCTGTGCTGGACGGGACATTCGTCCTGCCCTCGCGGGTGGAGATGGAGCGGGAAATGGAGGTGGATGTTGCGGCCCGGCGGAAACGCGGCTTTGCCACACGCCACATCCTTAAGCTGGACTCGGAGCAGTGGGCGTACAACGCTGAACTGGCCCGGCTCGGAGGCTTTCAGCCATTGCCTCCCTACTGGAGTGACCTATATGAGGCCAACAAAGTGTACCGTGCCCAGGACATGCTCGGCTACAAGACGTACCGTTACAGTGTACTGAGTGACAGGGAGTGGGTAGTGTACACACAGGAGGGCCAGCCAATCGAAAAGCCCCTACCAGCCCAGAAGGCTCAAGTTCAGAAGTAACCAATCCTGTAACCTCATAGGGTTTCCCAACCTGGACGTTTCCATTGTAAAATAACTTAATCCTCAAACCCATTTTTAGCCTTGTCCAAACCAGACCATAGAACCTTCTCATTTTTCCGATAACTGTTTTGACCACCCTTGACCCGGCCGTTTAGGTGCTTTTCCACAGATAAACTCATTTCTGCAGAAGGAAGCTTTAACATAAAAACATAGAAAAGCACTTCAGTAGAAACTATATGCAATGAAACCATTATCCCTTTGTGATTATATGGACGTTTTGACTGTGAAATAATAGGAGTCTTTAAAATAAATCTTACTATAGCATTCAGTATCAAAAAGCTAAAATAAAATATGTATAATCATGAAATGTAAAATATTAAATATACTTTTTATTAATTAAATAAGAGAATGGAGGGAAGAGACAAATATCGCACTACTGACTCTACACATTAATAAAAAACACAGGACTAGACAGTATTGTTTTTTATCACTACATATCTGACACATTAAATACTTGCATAATGTTTAGTGACTTTCTTGAAAGTGGCAGCCTGACTGGTCAGCAGTGTTTCCCGATTAATAACCATTATGAGTTCTGGTGCTTTCATGTTGGCCCTGTGGTTTACAGAATTGCTGCTGTTTGTACGAATGCGGCTTGTTTTAAGGTCTTGGCAGAGTGTAAGACTCCTGAACACCTTTCTGTTCTGTTCAGTTTCTTCATGTTCTCTGCTGTTATGTGGTTACCTCAGTCTGTTGTACAGCTATGTAACACAAAACCCTTTTAAACATTTAGTTTAATTTAGTGGATTTTTAAAAGTTGTTTTTAAATTCCAGTAGTTCCCTTTAGTCGTAGTTACTCCTAATAGCTTTTGACAATTGATGGGTAAAGTAAAAGAGGTTTAGAATATTGTTAACTGAAGTCAAAGAAATATTTTACCAACATCAGATGCTGTGATGTTATTTACTTGTTTTAAGTAAATATATCAGTTGTCAAATATCAGCAATTCTCAGCTTGTGGTTTTTGCCAGCCTTTGGAGTTTTTATAAATGAATTAATTGCTGTTAAGTTTTATTTAAATGTTTGACACAATGGTTTACCTTTACAGCACCACCAGATGGCAACAATAACAGCTTAACTGTTGAGAAATCCCCCAACATATTATTGAATACACTCTCTGGAGTCAAAGATTGTGTGTCTGTTTTATTTATGTCAGTTTTAACACTTTGGTGTTTAGTAAACAGATTTTTAATTTAGTCGTAACTGATGGCTAATCATACAAGGTGAATTTTGGGACAATTCTGAGAAAGAATGCGTTAAAACTCAAAAATAGCTTAATTTAACCAGGATCTCTTGAGAAACAAAGCAGCACAAAGCGTACAAAACCCTCCAAAAGACTCCGAACATTCCTATAAACTTAGTTACCGGATAATAAAAGTGCCTCTTAAGGGAGCGACAGTGAAGCCAGCTGCGAGCTTCTGGATGCGTTACGGTCTCTGCGGGGGAAGGTGATGCTCTTTGATCAACAGTCACTAGAGCTTTCCACAAAAAGGTCCTTCATGTGACAGTGAGGAAGAAGCACAGGCTGAAAAAAACCCAATATCCTAGATGACAAAGAGTCTGCAAATACCGCAGGAAGGGGCAAAAGTGTAACTTTTTGGCCTAAATGTTCAGAAGTTGGAGACCGGGGGCACATGATCCAGGTCTATAAGATTCTAACAGGTTTGGATGCTGTTCAACCGAATAGTTACTTCAGCATTAGTTCAAATACAAGAACTCGTGGCCATAGGTGGAAATTAGCGGGAGAACCTTTCAAACTGGATTTAAGAAAGCATTTCTTTACACAGTGTGTAGTCAGAGTATGGAATAGTCTTCCTGATAACATAGTGCAAGCTGAATCCTTG